AATAAAAAATTGAAATATTCAAATAACGAAAGAAACAAAAAAATGTCTTAAATTAAACATTAAAAAAATACCTTAGAAGTTAAATTTAATTTACAAGTGCATTATATATGAGTTTAATGAACATGTGATGAAATTAATTTAATTGATCAGTTAGAGAATCACTTTATTATCATAAAATGGTGCTGCCCAATTATATTGGGTTGCTAAAAACACAGCATACTGATTAATCATTATAGACAATTTTTAAAATAATATATAATTATATAGGATTAACAATGTTTATGAGCATAGTATACAATTTTTTTATATATATGTATTATAATTCTTGTTATTTTCTTTTTTTTTATATCCTTTTTCTTTTTTCTTTTTTTTAACATTTATTTTCCCTTTCCCTCACTTCTCTCTCTTTATCTATCTTTTTTCCATTTTCCGTTATATAAATAAATTAAATAAATACATAAATTAAAACTCCCAGCCTAGCCATGCACGTGGTGGTGAATGATTCCCAGGGAGTCGAGGACTATATTTTCAGCCAACCTCGCTACGTCCTTAATGTCGACACCTAGTTCCTCGAGGAAGCTCCTTGTTCTTTTTGGGATTGTTCCGCGAGACCCGAACCAGAGGCCTCTCACGGTGAACTCTCTCTCTCCGAAGGTTTCACGGAATTTCTCTTTTAGGAAAGGGATACATTTATCGTACGTGTTCTTCTTTTGTCTTTCCACTTCACCCGCCTGATCGAGGTCATTGCTCTCAAAGCGGACAGTTGTATCCAAGATCAGCGCTGTCCTTCCTGTCTTGGGAAATGCGACGATATCCGCGTATCTCGTAGAGCCATCACTATCGATGCAATATACCTCGTCAAAGCAGATGAATTTCCTTTCCCTAAGGGGCCTAATCAACTCGAATTTTACTCGGTGGTGACGTCGTGTTATGAGGAGGGAGTTGTTGGGGCATTTTCCCAGCACATGGGCTGGTGTTTCAGACTCTCTGCCGCATTTACGGCAGAGGGACCCAACTTCTCTGACCTGTCCGCTGACACCTGGGACTCCACGCAGGGGTGCATAATTAATGTTTAGTTTTAGGGCATTCAGACCCAGAAAGTATTTACTTTTCGTAGTTGTATCTGTTCGCTTTCGGAGTCTCTTTAAAATGGCGATCACCAATACCCTGCCACCTGCAGTTGGTCCATTCCTCAAATGCATTTTCTCGTAGCAACTGCCGTAGAGCTTTCACATTTCGGTGACCCTGATCAACCCCCAATCTCTCGGCACACTCAGCAACTTCTGCCGAATAATCGAAGGTGGATTGAAAAAGAGCATCCGGTACATTGGACAGTCGCTGAGCAATGGACCAATGTTGAAGAGGAGCCTCCCATTGGCAGCGGATTAATCCCAATCCTCGGTATCTGCTAGGGGCATACAGCATCGCAGTGGAAGCATTCGCAGGGAGTCCCTTAAAATAATGTTACAAAAAATATATTTATGTGTTTATAACATTTAAATTAATATTTTTATTTAATAAAACCGAAATATAAGGCATATGTTGAATCCATTCTTGAACATGGATCCTTGACCATCCGAAAATAGTGTTCTAGCCACTGCACTACGAGAGCACTAAAACTAAAAACGAACTAATCTTCAACTTAAAGTTCAATCTCAATGTGAGGTGTCTAAATTAGGAAAATAATGACTTTCCGTCACTTACGATAACACCTGAGACCTGTGGGGTCAGTAATGTTTTTTAAAGTTGCGTCACTCACATTAAATATGCTGCTAATTAAAATATAACAATTCAACTCCAGCCGGCGTCACGTTGCCCTTTTAACTTGAGCTGACAGTGTCCTCGTGGAGGGCAACAATGTTCCAAATGTGGATAAAAATAAAATAAGATTCACTTCATTTAAAAACAACAGAGCTCTAGAAATTTTCCTTATAAGGACGTTAGCAAGGGTAGCGTTGGCATTAAGGTTGGTCGCCGCCCTTAATCCTTAAATATATCATACGTATCTAAACCAGAGTATTTATTTTTAATATCGATTTTACATATTGGCACACACGTACACATATGTGCATCATCTATATACATTTACACCATACTTATAATTTTTACTGTTGCCCACAACAATTATATTTATTTTTCATGGATGTCATAGAATTTTTCAACTCAAAACTGTTCTTTTTGATTTAGTTTATAAACTAAAGCGTCGTTAAGCAGTCCTGAACTGTTTTCACATGTTCTTTACAGCTTTGGCGGCCTTCTTAGTCAAAAACAGTCCGAAACTGTATATTGGAACAGGCCCATTGATGTATGAGAGATCTATGAAAGATTATTTGAAAAATTTTATAACCTCTGGAACCTACAAATTTCACTAAACAGTAAGTGAAATTCGACAATTGAGTGATTTAACTTTCACGCCACCCTAACGTAGAAAATGTTTTTATTCATGTAGGAATTTAAAAAAAAAAAAGTCCTCAGAATGGAAAAGTTCCACTCACCTTTTATCTTTCAGAGATCAAGGAACAGATTTAGTTCCATGACCGTCTGATCGTTGTTAAAACCATATATATAACACCTACTATTTATAAATAGCTACATATATTCATTTATAGAGATTGTGCGGGTTGGTATTCAGGCGGCCCCATATTTCATCGAATTCCATTTATTTATTTCTCCTATGTCTGCGTAAAAGTATTTTGTCAAACACAAATGTCAAAAAGATCTGGTTCGAATTTGTTCAAATTTAAAAGAAATTTGGGGAACTATCTACAAATGGTTCTATACTCATTTTATCATCCACAAGATAACTGGAACAATTTAGGAGTACTAACATATGAAAAAATAATGCCAATAAAGAACTGCTTAAAGAAACTGGTCAATCAATATCTCATCATATTGCACAGAGGTTAAAATGGGCGGAGCATATAACTCTGAACAATCCATCTGGAAACTTCTACAGGACAATGAAGCCTCTATAATAGACAAAAGAGCACGTGGAAGCCCAAATGAATAGATGGAATCAACAAAGATCCAATAGAGTTGCATGCAGATAACTTGAATTTAAATGAGAGGAATAAGTTATGAGAAAGAAACAGCCCAAGATAGATAGAAATGGAGTAGGCTTGTTAAGGCAGCAAAACATTTACAAAGTCCATAATGTCAAAACAAAAATATGTATGTATATTATCAAATAACACCAATTGCACTAACACATTCATATATTTTTTCTTAAAATCATATATTTATATCGAACATATTGGAAATAGCAAACAACCATGAATATCTCCTACAATCAATGTATAGGATGGTAATGGAAGATATTGCATTGGCGAAATGTTTTACGTTTCTCAATCAATTTTGGTTAAGAAATCAACAATTAAGTAAATACCAGTCAGTGCATTTAGTTTGAAAAGGGTCGATATAATAAAATAACCTTATTCAAGTTGAGTGAGATTTTATTCAGTTCAGTTAATTGTTATTTTGTTCTAAAAGTTATTTTAATAAAATAGTACAGCTGTTAAACCAAGCATTATCAAATCCCTGATTCTATAATTTCACACATTCATTCAAATAAATCGTTTGACTTCAAAAATACAAAAGTACTCTTGATTAAAATCCATTTGAATCATACAAAATGTAAGTGTTTCTACTTAGTTTCAGAGACAAATATTGAAAACTATACTTATAAATTAAATTTAACAAGGAAGAAATGGAATTTGTTTAAATACATTTAGTTATGATATTAGCAACTAACTTTCACCTAAAAGTTAATTAAAATCAGTAAAACATATGAGGGTAAGTGAATCCTAAACGTTAAGGCCACAATACAAGCACAGATGATTTCAAAATTCGATACAAGATGAGTATGATATTTACATAGTTCAAGACAAAAACCTATCATTAATTTTTAAGGTTGAAATCATTGTAATTGTCGAAGGAGATTTATGTTATCTCTTGAGACCTGTAAGTACGATCTATAATATATTTAAATATTGGAGTATAATTTAAGACATTGGCGTCATACATATATTTCGCTGTATGTGGTAAACGATACTTTGTATTAATTCCTGTCAATATCGAATTTAAAGAGTTTAGGAACCGGAGGAATAAATTATATCTCAAATAGGTACAACCGATTAAATAAGATTCTTCAATGACGATTCTTCAATAAAACAATCTTCAATGACTTAAAAATAAGAAATACTTCATTTTAGGTTAGTTTTGAAATTCAGTGTTTTCATCGTTATCATCGAGAATAAACGCCACAAACGTAAGTTTGATTAGTTATTATTTCGAAAACCGTCCCAGCAGTATTATGTCATCCTTCAACCCTAATTCTTTATTGGTTATAGTGGATTCATTTAAAATACTTAAATTCCTTCTTTCGTATTACATAAATTTTAAAATTCTATAAAGTTTATTCAATTTTAGATGTTTGATTCGAGTGTGTAAACAGGAGGTTTGAGGTATTTTATGAGAAAAAATATACAGTGCAAGAATATTTAGAGAAGAAATTAATTAGAGAAGAAACACTACCCTGATTAGAGTGGCGAAATATTGAAATATTTTAGTGTTCGAAATATTTTAAACAATAAAATCCGAACCTTATAACAAATGTATCCAAAACTTCGAAATTTGAATGAGCTATATGAAAACAAAACAAGGAATACATTTATTGGAAGTAGGACATATATCAGTTGTTAAAAGATCCAATGTCTTCTTACTGTTGAGATAAACTTATAATGGGAGAACATTAGCTCTTTTAACAACTAATTTATATCCCACTCAGTTTTATTCTTGCAGTTCACTCAACTTTCGAAGTTTTGAAGATTGAATCATTTTGTTTCAAGATACAAGAATTATTAATGTGCTGAACAAACCTTTATCCGGTTTTCGAAACACTCCTTTTTCGTCAGAGCGTACCAATGACGGTTCATACAATATAGCACATTTCCATTTTTCAGGACGAACCCGACCTTCTTGGATGTCTATTGAAACGAAAAATGTCTGACGATGTAGAGAAGTGCGAAGATAATGTTGAGGTATGTTCCTTCATTAAGGAATTAAATAGTATTAAAAATGATCTCAAATAATTATATACAATAACACTCAAATTTATCCTTCTGAAATAAAATAAAGGACAAAGGAATTTGGATAATTAACTTATTGAATCAAATGAATAACAACTTTAAAATATAGTTTCCAAAATTATCTTAATTAAAACCAGAAAATGATATGTTTATTCCTTTTATTCAAGTATTCGATCCCTGTTTTTTTAACATAAATAATGGGATCCTCTTCAGTTCTGGAAAAACAAAACCTTTCATTGGTATAACAATCAAAAGTTTTCATATATTTCTACAATAATTCACAATTTTTTTTGTAATTCACAATTATAATAATTCACAAGGAATAAACAATTTTTCTTAATTTTAATTGAGCATTGATACCCCAATTTATTTTTGAAATATTAATTACAACCAAACAGAGATTTTTGTGTAGACTGTTATTGTTGGTATTAGTATTATTCTCGGAATCCAGGATCGAGGTGCGCGTTAAGGCCCACAATCGCTTGATGTCCTTAAGGCGATACTGTTAGGTCTGTCAGCATCTGCCCTGATTGGGGTATCCATGCTCAATTAAAAGTAAGAAAAATTATGAATTATTGTAGAAATGTATAAAACTTTTGATTTTTAAACCAATGATAGTTTTTTTTTTCCAAAACTGAAGAGGATCCCATTATTTATGTTAAAAAACCAGGGATCGAAACGTTTGAATAAAAGGAATAAACAGAAGTTTTTTTAACTTATTTAAGTGTATTTCATGACCTATTATCCAACTATAATTGATACTTTAAGTTATAATATATAAAGGATTATAATTATAATATATATATATATATATATATATATATTATATGAGAGAGAGGAGAGAGAGGGATCAGCGTAGGCTATTATATATAGGAGGATGCACACTTCATTAGCAACTGTAACGTTCACATCAACCACGGTCCTGTCCCATACCGTTATACGGGAAATTTAAGATGTGTATTGTTTATTACATTTTACGCCGAGTAGGAAGCGTTAACTAAACAATCATTTAATTTAGGTATCTATCAAAAATTTTTGAAATTTAAATCAAAATTGTCTTTATTTGTAGCACATATTTCCAAAAATCATTGATGATTTTACTAGTAATTAAACTAATCAAACTTGACGTAAATAGGGCCGAAATTTTGGAACGTATTCAAGGCCCGTATTAGAACAAATTATGTTAATTGGAGACTGCCCCTCCCTCCCCCCCCCATTCTCCCCAATAAAATTAGAGAGAGAGTGGGTATCGTTTCGTCCCCTCTCCCTCCACCCCCTAATATTTTGAGAAACAAAAAAAAAAATCCATAACAACTAATCCACGTGAATGAATAAAATATGTACAGGTAAGCAAGTATTTTACTCTGTGTTTCTATTATTGAACATTTAGTTAATATTCGAAGATAATTATTTGTAGCAACATATCGTAGGATTTTATAATTCATTATGTTTATCCTACTATTTTTACGTGGAAATTTTATCACATTTCCCGCGGCAAATTTGAAACATTGGAGCATTGAGAGTTTATCTACACCTCCAGCTTCGTTAACATATTTTCAAATCTACTCATACCCAAAAACAAAAAGGAAAGAACTATTATGTCGACAGCCACGTTGCAAAAACCTGAAAGAACAATTTCCATAAAAAATGAGGTTTTGAGCTTTTCTGATCAATTTTGTACTGACGCATATTCTGATCCCACGAAATGGAATCTACGATGTTTCATTTCTTTTTTATGGGTTTTTTTTTTTTAAACCAGCAAATTGTGATATGAAAACTCTTAAGTTACAGAGAAGGTTATAGAGATTGGGTAATTTCCGAAAAAACAAAATGAAATGCTCAATGAAAGTTGGTCATGAAAATACGAATTGTATAAAGCGTGCATAGACTACAGTATCAATTAGTTTTATTATTAAGCTAAAATTAATTTTTCTCATATACTTTGTATTTTTTTTTTTTTTTTATATTTCTAATAAGTGGTGGGCACTTCCAGTCCGGCGCCTCTTGATTAATGCACTGGTTCCCCCCGATCTGAGGTCGACATTGATTACCTTGGAACTAGGCGAAGCAAAGAAGAGTGTGATAAGTGGGAACATAATATTAAACGGTCTTCAAAACAATCGAAACATTCTGGACACTGCAAAATGAGCTTGGATGAAAAAAAGCTACGATGCCGCCGAATTTCAGATAGTGAGAGACAGAGAATTGGTTGGAAAATCTAACATGAGACGAAAAAAGAATTCTAGTTTCATCTTTTTCAAACCAATGAATCTCCAAAATACCAAGCTCAGAAACAAAGTGACCTACACATCAGCAGGTTACCAATAACTTACCAAGCATTGGTGAATTAAACCATGTCCATATGAAATTGAGTAATCTTTCATTAACTACCAAAACAGGCGCATTCACTTCGTTCGCGTAGCCCGTGGGATCGAATACTCGGTTTCCAGTCAAATTTTTTTAACAATTTTTCATTTGATATATCGTTTCTCTACATTTTAGAAACCGACTTTGTCCTTGCCATGCTTTGATCATGGTTATGGGTGTTAATGTAATAAATTCGATTGCTTTTACCTAACTAGTACCTGTTTATCATAATAACTAAAAAGCTATAAGTTAGAAGTAATGGCTCTAAATGATTATTAGACAGAAATACGGTCAAAAAAGTTACATAGAGCATTAAATTTATTCCTTAGGCCTGCAAAAAATAGATTGAACCGAAAATGTAGAACAAAAGTTACGCAGTATTTTTCTTCTCCTGAAAATTTTTGGGTTTTGTTCTTACAGACTTTTGCAGTGTGGATGTCTATATAAACACAGTATTATATCGTTCCTTTTAAAATTATTATGTTAATTACCACTCATAATTTGTATACATGATGTAAGCTCCACAGATTTATTTGGGGAAGTGATCCATCGCTTCCCTACTTCCCCCCTCCTCCCAGTTTGCACATATGCCAGTATATAAATTTTGTATCAGCCTAAAATATCTATAGGCCTTATTTTTCTTTAATTTGTAATCTTCAAGATATTTTTATATTCCACCTTAAATTAGTTTGTTTTTTTCATATTTTCAGTGTGTGTATACATACTTTACTGGGATATTTTTTTAATTACAAATAGTCGAATATACAATTTGCAAATGTGGAACTCTTCCCAATTTTGTTAAAATGGCCACTCCCCAATATTTTATTCTCAAAGGAAAAATTATCGACTTTGAAATATAGGTAATTGTTCAAACAATGAAAATGGTGAGAAAGTTATACTGACCATACTTGGTAGCCGTTTTTTAATATTTTACAATATTCTAAAATTTACAATATATGAAATAAGAAATTAGTTGCCTTTGAAAATAAATTGGGGAGAGCAGCGAAAACTTAATTGCGTTTTAAAAGAGTCGCTGAACCTTATTTTGATAAGATAAGGTATAAGGGAAGATTACGTAATAAACTTCATAAATAAACACTACGTTCAGAAGGAATAATTTACAGTAAAAGATAAATTTAATACTTATACTAATGTGTATGTAGAATCCAGTTCGATCATGACAGATAGCAAGCGTGCGTAGCTCAAGAATATGCGATGCCTCTTTCTTCCAAACTGTATTAGTTTTGTAATGTTAATTTATAACGCATTATAGTGTAACTAATCTGCGATAATATACAACAAAACTGGCTCACATAAACTTGAGTTTAGTTTCTACATATTCGCACGAGGGGGGATACCAAACATCTCTTCATGGATACTTGACAACTATCGTCACCAATCTTATGTTGTAAAGCGCACAACAATTAACAAAATACTATGTAAGCATCACATAATATGTAATATATGTTCTGCACTTACTACCTCTTACAATACAATGTTAACTAAAATCACTCGGATGAAAATTAAATATTCTTTTACCTTAACAAGAATATAATTCCTACAAATTAAAGAAACTCTTTCTATTTTCAACAGCTATAATTTAAAATTACCTCAGCAGATGGGGTATACTGGACACTTGGAGTAAAAATAAATTATTTAATCATTTATTCGGTTTCTAGAAACAAATAACATTAATAGAACCTAGTTGAGATCATGTTGTAGCTGTTGCATTTAATGTATGTCCAAAAAATAAATAGTCAATATTTTTTATAGAGTGATCAACAACAAAGAAGGGAGTGGGATTGCAACAGTAGCTCAGGTGGATCTGTATACCAAGAGTTTCATGTAAGTTAACTATGACATTTTCAATATCAATCCTTCTTTAAATTTTCTAAGAGCGAAAGAGATTTATATTATAAATATTATTATATAAAATATTATATATTAAGGATTGATCGATGGACAATATACGGCTCATACAACAAGAGATGATAAAAATTAATGGAATTTAATATTAAGGAGAGAGAGAGGGAAGTTAGTATTTATAGTTAATATAAAATATATAGTTAGTATATACGAGGGGTACCCCTTGTCCAATTTGTATCAATCATTGCTCAAACTGTAATTTTCATGTATTCTATAGTTCAGTTTGTATTATTTTTTATCAACTTAAAACAAAATGAGCGAAAGCACAGTTTGGACAATTTTTTAATTTATTTAGAAATCTATATTGTACATGGCGGCCTATTGCCAATTTATATTATTGTATAATTTTAATTATTCTTATTACCAATTTGTAACCATAATATTCAGCATTTCTTTTCCAAACCAAATTAAACTTTTTCCATTTTAAATTAAACATTTTCAATTTCGAATTCAACCTTTATTATTTATTTAATTATTTTTAATTTTTCGATGTATGAGTAGTTTTTTAGAATGACCTACATTTTAATATTTCGCCTCTGCATTTCGAATTATTTAAGTTTTTCGGATTTATTTAAGTTATTCGGATTTATTTGGTATAAGGATGAATTATTATTTTTCCGGAGCCGTAGATTTTCGAAATTACCTCCATTTTAAGATTACGCCACTGTGTTTCAACTTATTTAAATTATTTGGATTTATTTAAGTTATTCGGATTTCTTTGGTATAAGGATGAATGATAATTTTTCTGGAGCCGTAGATTTTGGAAATTACCTCCATTTTAAAATTAAGCCACTGTGTTTTGCCTTAGTTAATTTTTGAGACTTTAATAGATATAAGGATCTATTTTTATGTTTCCAGTAACGTAAATTTTAAAAATGGCCTCCTTTTTATAATGAGGCCGCTGTATTTAGATTTATTGAAGTTATTCGGATTTATTCGATATAACGGTGTATTCTGTTTCCGGAGCCGTAGATTTTGAAAATGACCTCCATATCAAGATTTTGCCAATGCGTTTCGCATTATTTAATTTTATTAAATTTATTTGATGTAAGAGTCTACTAATATGTTATTGGAAACGTAGTTTTTGAAAATGACCTCCATTTTAAGATTAGGCCACTTTAACTTATTTTAAAATATTGCAATTATAGGGTCGTCAGGAAGAAGCAATGTATTCTACAGATGACGAATTCTTGGACGCTACTGAAACGATACGTTCACCGTTGCTTTCGGAGGACCCAGAAGAGCAGCTTTCGGCACCCATACTGAAGCAGGTAGCAGTGGATTTCTTTTTTTATAGTATACTATTCATTTTTGTTTCTAAAAATGAAAGTCAATGGGAGAAGCATATCTTCAGTTTCGATCTAAAAACGCGAAATTGACAAATCTCAACTTTTGAAAATAGAATTAAATATTGATGATAATGAGACATGTTTTTACTTTTATGAGGGAAATATTTTTATTAGGTCTGATCTTGAGTTTTTTTCATCCATCTTTATTTACTTCTATTTTTATATATTATATTTCAAACTAGCTCAATATCTATATTGAGTTCTGGATATATTAAAATTTGATAAATTTATTAAAATAATTCTCCGATAACTAGATCTAGTACCACTATAATTCCAAATATATTACACAAAAATTATTAAAATATGAACAATCAGTTTATTTTGAAGTTGTGAAAGTATGTGATGTACACTTCAGGATCACCATGTAGCTAAGAGTAAGGAAAGCATATAGATCATCGATGGGATATCTGAAACCCACTTATGTACTAAGTGGGCACCTCCCACATTTTAGGATTATGTCAACAACTTCGTAGATGGAGTGGGTTGAAACTGTAACTGAAACAACTTTTAACTTACCTATGCTATTTCATAACCGACATTTTTTTTCTTAAAAACTAAATATACCTTCGAATTATGTAAGATTATACTTTATCTTAGATCGTGGGGTCACATTTAGTTGATTTTTAGTGCTTCCAGGAATAGAGCTTTTCTACACTTGTTATATTTTGAGATGGAAACTTTTTTAAAAATTTACGCCATAGACAGCTTGAGAAATTTTGGTATGTAAATATTGAATTGATAGAAATAATTCTGGAAATACTTGGCCAAACAAGTATTTTTAATTATTTTCATCCTCTAGATGTAAAAATCTTACCTGACATTTTCACATGGCTACCTTCTGAAATTGTTAATTTCAGCCGCGATAATATCGTTTCAAGATTTGTATTCAATCTGATAGAATTTATTGATAGGTTTGTCAAATAAGACAAATTTAAAAATGCATTACAAGCAGCGAGTGACTTTAAGGCTCACAGTTTATTCTTGGCGGCCATTTTTAATTTTCTTTTCGACTGAAAACATGTTTTGGGAAAATACCTTTAACTCTAGTTATTTTGTAGATATCAAAACAAAATAAATACTAAAATAATTTACCGAATTTTTCCTACATTTCGGTTGATCAATACATCACCTAAAAAATAGGAAAGTGGTTTAACAAAATCATGAAAATAGACAAAAAAAAGTGACTTATATGAAAGCAAATGTGTAGGGGAGAAGAGAGAATCACTTTATTTTCATAAAAGGGTACTGCCTAATTATATTGGGTTGTTTCAAACATAGCATACTTATTAATCACTTTAGACAATGTTTTAAAACTAATATACAAATATATAGAATTAACAATATGTATGAGCATAGTATGCAATATTTCATATATATTATTTTTTATATTTTATTTATTTTCCTTTTTTATTATTTTTTGACAATTTCTTTCATTAATTTATTAGCATTTTACATTCCTTTCTCTTCCTTCTCTCTCCTTATACATTTCTCTTATTCCTCCTTATGTTCTCTCCTCTCTCTTCCTAACCTAATTCATAAAATACATACTAATACATAAAGTACAGTGAACATGTTCAATAAATAATATAAAAATGCTGTAACACAAGCATGCCTCCTCCCTCCCCCCTCATGAACAAACTCTCTCCCTATCCGCTCCCATGCACATGGTGGTGGATGATTCTCAAAGAGTCGAGGATTATATTCTCTGCCAACCTTGTCACGTCTTTTATGTTGACACCAAGGCTCCATGAAGCTCCTGTGTATCGTTTGATTGAGTTTGGTATCATTCCGAGAGCTCCAAAACAAAGACCTCTCATGTGGTTAAGGCTAGGCCCGAAACTCTCGCGGAACTTTTCATTAAGGAAAGGGATGTATTTCTCATAGGTCTGTTTTCTTTTTGTTGTTGTTTTTTTTTCGCTTTCCACTTTGCCTTCCTGATCCAGGTCAGTGGTCTCATATCTCACGGTAGGATCTAAAATCATCGCCGACTTTCCCCTAGCAGAGAATGCTACAATATCGGCATATCGGGTGGATCCATCCGTATCTATGCAATATATTTCCTTGAAACAAGCGTGATCTTGAGGAGAAGGAGGATCAGTTCATATATGACTCAGTGGTGACGGCGTGTTCCAGAACCTTCTCTATGATCCCGAGTACAATAGAATAAATGGTGATAGGTCTCCAGGTAGAGATATTGTTTATATCACCTTTGCCCTCATATATTAACATTGTGCGTCTAAGTGGTTCTGGGACATAGGCTACCTTCAGCATTATCTCTGCAATCGTTTTAATAATATTTGATACATCAAAATATTTAATTGTGCGGATCAAAACTCCATCAGTCCCGGGCAATCTTTCCATTGATGTTGATTTAATTGCTTTCTTGACAGCTTCTTGCTCAACGGACACCAAATTTGGCACCGGGGTACACTGTTCGTAATCCGCACGCCTGCAGAGATCTTCGTTTTCAAAGAGGTCTTTATAATTTTTTTCGATGTCAGCTATTTTTTGAGGACACAGCTTTGGAGCGTCGGAATTCATAACAGTTTGCACAACTTTTTTTTTTTCATTTTATTATAATAATTGTATTTTTCAACCTCGTATTGATTCTGCTTCTGCCGAGAAAAGAGTCTCAACTTTAATTTTTTTTTACTTCATATCTAGTTCTATCTGTGTACTTATTGCTGATGAAATTTCGAGCTTGATAATCTTGTCCATTTTTAGATATGAATTTTCAAAAACGCTCAAAAGTCATTTTCGGCGAGATTTTAATTTGAATATCATAAAAGGTGGAATATGATGAAACATGTACACTTTGTAATACTTTTTAATAAGGATATGTCTTTATAATTTCTAATGTGGAACAAATTTAGTGGCTGATACTTCATCGGCTCCAGAGTTATATCGTATCAAATATGTCTGGAAATTGCGTTATTTAAACGATAAATTAAATTGAGGCACTGCATTGAATTTTATTTTATAAATACTACAATTCTATGGTAGGTATATAAGTTTTCCATGCATTGACCGCTATCATATCAACTGATAAATGTAACCGCCTCAACAGTGAACTGTCACCTTAACAACTCTATTTGTGATTAGGAGGAAACATTGCTTTAAAAATCATTGGTATGTGTATTGATGTTTATTTCTAAACCTTAAATTGTTCATATTCTATGTTTATTTGTTATTAAATTTTTTATTACATGATAAAAACTATTTATTACTAAGTATAAATACATATAAATTAAAATAGAATCTATAAATGCATTATAACATAAATAGATTTTATTTGTTATTAAAGAATATTTAATATATTCTTTCGATATTTAATATATATCATTCGATGCGTGATTCGAGGTTAGAAGTAAATATTACATACTCATATCAATGATTTTTAAAACAGTGCTTAACAAAAAAAAAAAAAAAAAAAAAACCGGTGCCCGCAACACACAACTTTCACTTACCGCTCAACTTTGAATAGAAATTATTTTCTGGCCATGTTGGGCTATTATAAAATTTTCGAATTGCAATTTTTAATTGAGCTAAAGCTAAAAAATTCCAGCTAACAAATCATAAATACCAATAAAATAACAAAAGTCCTATTTATTATATCACCGGTTGATTATGGATTGTACGACTATTAGTTATTAAACAGTTATTTTCCATTGCAAAGTTTACTAAAACGGAATTAAGAGATTTGCATTGTCTGTCATAGACAGGTCAAAAGTGTTCACACTAATTGTAAGTGGATACTGTTGGAATACCAAAAAAGGAAATTTCATCAAACTATTCACTAATTTAATTGTTTAAAAGGTTACATGATTTTTCGGAATAAACGGATGATAGATACCTAAATATTTAAATATAATACCAGATCTAGAGTTATTAAACTACAGTAAATATATTTAAGGTTATAAACGTATCTATGAAATATTTTTTTATTTCACTTCTTCTTTCACACAAATACAATGAAAAAGTAGTGGATACTATTGGAATATCATAAAAGTAAGATTCATGGAATTATTCACTAATTTAATTTTCTAAAAAGTTAGATGACAATATTTCGGAATAAACGGACGTTGATACCTAATTATTTAAATATAATATCAAATCTGGAATTATTAAACTACATTAAATGTATTAGGTTATAAACTTATGCTTTATACATCCATAAAATGATTTTATATTTTACTTCTTCTTTCATACAAGTACAATGTAATAGTTTTTTTAAACAATTACAATGCCTTGATTAGGTGGATTTAATGACTTTTTTCAAAGTTATATAATATTTTAAAAGTTTATATTTAGTAAGTAATTTTCATTTAATTTCCTTGAAAACATGTGATTTACGTTAAATATTATTAGTTTTCAAAAACTATTATTTATAATATTTTTATCACTGTCCGTTACCCTTCTACGACTTTCTATATTAGATATTGTTTTTTCTAAAATTCTCCGCTTTCCAGCGATATATTTTACGTACACCTTCTGACTAATATTTCGGGAGATTCATATTTGACCTGAATAGCATTTTTATTTTTTTATCCTTTATTCAATTGTCCAATTCTTTCAAAAGTTATCTTTAGCATTTTTTCATAACTCTGAATAATGTGAGATGATTAACTTTTTAAAACAAACTATATTAAAGGTACTTGAGAGGAAGACGTATATGAACATTGCACATTTTGTCCTGTAACGTGACATCAATGGGGATAAGATCTAATTTATATTAAAGACCACTTAATTATACAATGATGCACCGAGTTTAGTCAAAATCGTTAGAGCCGTTTTTGAGAAAATTTGAAAAATGTGTTTCAGCGTTGATGTAAAGTGGCACTTCCGATTTTAATGAAAAAGTTGCTGTCACATCTAAGGCATATACCTGTAATTAATACGCAATATCAGTTTCGTACGACTTCTCATTTTTGAGCTAGCCTGCTAACATACACACACACAGACACACAGACCAATTTTCGGAACTTGGTTATTTGGACTTAACGTACACCAAAACGTGTATTTCCGTTGAAAACTAAGAATCAAAAATTTTCACGATCGCAATACTTACCCTTACTATATATTACATATATACATAAGTAAAAGTAACAATACCTACCCTTACTATATATTACATATATACATAAGTGAAGGTAAAAAGGTAACCAATACAGTTGTTCAGGTTGACAGTTCACTGTTGAGGCGGTTACATTTATTAGAGAGAAAACTATTAGAAAATTATTAGAAAACTTATATACCTACCATAGAATTGGTGTAATGATAAAATAAAATTCAATGCAGTGCCTCAACTTCATTTATCCTTTAAATAACGCAATTTCCACACATTTTTGATACAATTTAACTCTGGAGCCGATGAAATCCCAGCCACTAAATTTGTTGCATATGAACTTATTAAAAAGTTATCAAATGTACAAGTTTTATCATATCCCACTCGGTTCCTTTCATTATATTCAAATTAGTTGAGACTCTCTTCTTTATTACACTTTTGCAGCCCTAAAAGTCACCTTTTACGTCTATTTTCATGATTTTTCTAAACCACTTTCCTTTCTCTTTAGGTGTTGTATTGATCAACAGAAATGTATAAAAAAAATGCACTAAATTATTTCAGTTTTTATTTTGGCTTGATATCTACAAAATAATTATAGTTACAGGTATTTTCCCAAAACATGTTTTCTACTACTAACTACTAAACTAATAAACTACGTTTTTGAACTCTCAAATAAATATGGAATAACTGGCAAAAATGATATAAAAATAAAAAAATTCGAGCAACATGGCCTTTATCCAATCACTCCACCAATTACTTCGTTTTCGATCCGCTGAATATCTTTTAATGACACATACGAAGTTATTGTAAGAACATGTGAAGGTTGCAGTCTTTTTTACATATTCACTAAAACCCTATCGATACTAGACACAATGAAGTAGGACAAATGATTTGACAATTTTTGGAAACCTAGGTTTGCCAAGGAAGCAGTTCTCACCTGGTTAAAACACCAACCAACCCTCATTTCTTGTACTGATAATCATCTGCAGGTTTCTTATCTTAATCTTTAATTGTACCCTAAGTAGTGCATCATTTTCTTTTAATACTTGTCGAATATTTCAATTTTTAAGTATTGCTTTCAACTAAAACGCTATGAAGTTTAGATACCTAGCTCTGTCCAGACCTTTATACAGATCAGCCCATAAATGTTTATTATAAACCTCAATGTAATAAAGTTTAAATAAGTCTATTATTTAATGAATGAATTAGATTATATAGTTTTTGAATGCACAGAGGAATAATTCAGTTGTTTTTCAGTTAAGACAAGAAAAAGAACAGACACGATATATCGTAGTAGACATGCTAACAGATTCTGATTCAGTTAATAACATCATTGAACAGCGTAAACAAAATGTTGAAACTATTACAAAACTACCTTGTGTAAGAACTTCAAGTAGTAATAAAAAAGTAAGTATTCCCTACACGACATCTATCTATTGATAAAAGTATAGATAATTAAGCCAAATTTAGACCAATTATATGGTAATTCTGCATTTGTTTCCTAAATATCTTCAACCTTCTGAACTCAGTCAAATTCAAATTTTCCAAGAATTATCCTCCAAATGCAAATAAGTCCAAATGCGAAAATTCTATCTTGGAGGAGCAACATTCTAAATTTAAATCCATAATGTAAATCACCGAGAACTCTAAAGGTCGGTATGCCTAATAGGAATTTACATACCAAACATAACAAGTTGGTAACATTTTAAGAAGAAAAACCTCATATTTTGGTTGGTTAATGTTGAGGTAATAAAATATTCACTTTTTAGGCAAACAAAATACCGGAAGTTAAAATGTTTACTCTAAAAATAATATGTACCTTGTAACAGTGGATCCAAATACCTTTTATTATTGACTAATCTTTATTAATTTGACTTAATAGTTACTTAAAATAATTAAATTATTTTCTCTTTATTTTTTTTATGCAGGAATCACATTGCATCCATAGCTCTGAAGAAGTACTAAATGTAATTACCCAGTCATCAGATCAACAAAACATAGCAGGTCCAAAGGTAGGGACTTCAAAATTTACATATAGTAAACTCTTAACTTACCTAAAATAACACTGACAAAAAAATAATAAACAAGCACTATTTTATAGTTGTATATCTGTATTTTGTTTTAAGTTCATTCTGGTCTCTTAATATTAATTACCAAGTCTGAAGATGATCATTGTTAATTTATCACAAGCTTACAAATAAAGAATCGAATTTTAATGATTTTTTTTTTAAACTACTAACTGTCATTAATTATGTTCTCAAAGATTTTTTTTTTTTTTTGTAGACTGAGAAAAATAAATTTTCTAGGACATTAAGACTTCCTTCTTCAGTGGCATTGGTATGTATTATTAAAATGAAATTAGCTAAGCTTTAACATCGAATATATAATCAACAAACCTCGAACCTTTTTATTAACAATGGTCAGATCTCCCTTTATTTGTTGATGCCGGTTAACTTTAAATATAGAAAATTATTAATGAGTAATAATACATGATTAAAGTCTCTTAGGAAAATACATGATTAAAGTCTCAGTTAACAATAAAGTTATAAAAATCACTCCACAACCTGAGTGCAAAATGTGCAACACTAAGAAAAAAGAGACACTTTATCATGTTTTATTAAAATGCCCAATATGGAATTGTTTGAGACTAAGAATTTACCAGGGTATGAAAAATCTTAATGGGATGGAAATATTTAAACCAATCACTATAGATGATATGAAACAATTATATTTTATTATCTCGAATATATCTAATTATAGAGATTTGGTGGGTTAATCTCAGATATTGTCCTTTAGATATTTTAGCGAAAATGTGGATTAGATTTTGGCAAGTAATTGTTACCTTTGTATGATAATTTTTTGTGTAAATGGGAAAAACAGTTCAACAGTACTTAAACACCCTCAGTGCTCAACCCACACCCTGAAGATGACCCACATGTTTGGGTTGAACCGTTGGCATAAATAAAAAATAATTTTTTTTTTTTCAAAAAAGACTGCATCCTGAATATTTATCACCCACGTTACCTTTGTATATGTAAATAAACTGTTAATTTAATTTTAAAATATGATTCAATATTAATATTTAAAAGATAAAATGTATTTATTGTTTATGTGCTCTATTAACGATTTAAGATTTTATGTTGATGTTGATAATTGTTTTATCTGCATTATATATATATATGTTTATAATTTTTATACATTATTTTAACTGTTTGATTTTTTATAAAATATGATTTGTAAGTTAATATTATAATATTCATAATATACCATAACAAAGAAAAAATATTGTATTACCATAAGGATAGTAATGTTTATAATACAAATATAGACTGTTTGTATGGGGTTCTTCCCTCAAAACAAATGAAGATTAAATAAATAAATATTATCACCTAATAAATTACATAAAAAATAAACTTGTTGGTATATAAGACATAGTAATTTATTTATAAATTAATTTATTAATTTATTTATATGTGTTTTTGTATGTCATCCTTAAATGCGAAAACAAGCAAACATATTTATAAAAAATTATGTTGTTAAAAAAAAATGTTAGAATATTGTGATCACCTTTACACACAAAAAAAGGCATTCCCTAGCCATTGAAGCCTTGGTAGAAACTGAAGAACCAAAAAAACTACTTCCAACTTGATGAGGAAAGCTCTGCAATAAAGTATTTAATTCATGAAAAAGCTCCCAGCATTTTTAATACCGTAGAATAGATGGTCAAAGCTGGGGGAGAAAGCTTTCAAAAAAGGTAATAGAAGACAATTAACTAAATTACTACCAAATTCTTAGCCTGTTATCAAGGGCGGTCCCTTCACGCCCAGCGGTATTATAAAAGGGCTCTGGCCACAGATGCAAAGTACGCATACAGTATACGTGCATAACCCTTTTACCTTAAAATGCCCTTGGGCAATAAAAGGAAATTAAAAAATTTTGTATGTATAATTCTTTACACTTATATATTGTATTTTGAAATAAATAAATTCCTGGGGGAGGTAGAAAAAAAAAAGAAGCCTGTTATCAATGTTTTGAAAAATATTTGCAGCAATAGTGTCCAGTAAAATAAATAGTAAATATATGCTTATTTTTATACCATATCAAGCAGAAAATAGACTATATTTCTTTATCAACTACCTAATAAACAAACCAACCAATTATATCAGGCCACTAGTAGTACGAAATTTACAAATTATGATAGGTTAAACCCAGAAAAAACTCTAAAGATCTATGTAACTATGTAAATCTGGCATCAAATTCTAAACAATGAAAGATGTTTTCATTCTAAAAATACAAAGGCAATGTTAAAATACAAATATTATTATAGAAGTAATAGTTGCCTCTAGTGAAGAGAAGGCTATAGCTATTCTTTCAGTTATGGCATATGGGGATACCTTGGTTGTTTGACAAGGTTATAACTATTATTTTTGATTAAAATTGATAATGAAGAAATGTTAGGACTTCAAATTAAGAATTAATTTCCCTAAACTAACTTTGTACGAAGAAATAAGGAAGATTTGTAGAGATGTGATCTAGGATGGCACTGTAGAAAAGGGAATGGAAACAATTTTCTTTTTTCAAGATAAGCAAACTATTAAGAGCTTGAATAAGTTCTCGCTCTTTCTTAACAGATGACTGGACCAGTACTGTGTGCATTTCATTTCAGATGACAAGGCAAAACTCCAAGACTTCTGTGTATAAGTTTGGACTTTAGTGTATGTTAGTTCCTTGCAGTACTAACTTTTTTTTGTTCTAAAAATGTCGAGTTTTGTGCCAAGTTTGACACTTCAAACATATAGATTTTCATCTTGGAGATAATTAACACTCTGGTGCACCGAAAATGTTTAAAACGAATAATTGGAAAATTTACTTACAACTAGCTGAATTTGGAAAATCATTACTAGTAGATGACACAATGGTTTCGAAACATTTGATGGCATTAGGAATGATCCAGAAGCAAGAACAGTAGAGTATGAGTTGAAGTTTTTGCATCATATTGTTACTAGCGATGAAACATTGATATGTTTAAAAAATCTTGGAGTAAGCCAGCCATGCTTCAACATCATCGGCAAAACCAAATATCCATGGTTCAAAGCTTCTCTACATTTTGTGGGTTCAGGATGGTGTAATTTATTATGAGCTGCTTAAACTAAATGAAAGCATCATCATGTATTTGAGCCAAGCCCTAAAATAAAAACCACCACTATACCAGCAGAGATACCACAAGGTGATTTTATTACATGACAATACTCAGCCACATGTTACTAAACAATTAAAACCTAGTAGGAAACGCTTAAACTAAAAGTTCTTCCCTACCCTGATGTATAGTGGATGTTCAATGCATTAAAACCTGTAGAATGATTAGTAAAAAAACATAAAAAATGTGGCAAAAAAAAACAACAACACCGAATATGCAATCAGGCAGCTAAAACATTAAAATAAACTATTGTGCGTACATAAACACAAAAAAGAAAATTATGAAATAAAAAAAAATTATGTTTTTTTTCTTCATAAACCAAAAAGATTAAAGCATAATGTCACAAACAAAAAACAGGTAATAAAAATATATATGTTGTTTTATTTATATTTTATTTTATGCAATTTGCACCTGCGCATCTAGCAAATTTGTTGTGTTTTTATTTTCTTGGTGTAATTGCTTGATTTTTTTTTTTTTTAATGTTGATGTTTTTATTGATGTAGTAGGTCTCTTGGCCATTTTCTTCTTAATCTTCATTGCTCAGGTAACAGGGAGTAGGAGATAGAAAGAACCAGAGGCTTGGAGTGATTTTGGGTTGAAGAATGAAATGTAATGTACTTGTCGTGGATGTAAGATTTTACTGTTGGGGTACTTAAGTCGTTAAGTATAGTAGTGTTTGAAATGTACCAAGGTGTGTTAACAATTTTTCATAAAATTTTTTATTGTGCTGTTTGTATTTTGTTTATGTGTGTGTGTTTTGCTGAACCCCAAAGTTCGGCTCCATATGTCCATATTTGTCTCAGTAATGTGTTGTAGATAAGTCGCTTGTTTCATAAGTTAAATGAAGATCTGTACTCCAGAAGACGTGAAAGTTGGCTATATCGTCCAGAAGATGAGAAAGTTGGCTATATCGTCCAGAAGATATGAAAGTTGGCTATATCGTCTAGTAAATTCTTGTCTTTTTAATTTCGTATGAATGTCCCAAGTAAGTCTTTTGTCTAAGTAGAGTCCAAGGTACCGTGCATAGTTCTTTGAAGGCACTGGATTATTGGCAATCGTTATGGGTGGACATGAGGCTTTCCTAAGAGAGAAACTGAAACTGAAGAAATGAACACATAAGAAACTAAATAGATTTAAAATATGTAATGTAAATATACTAAAAATATACATGTTAACATTTAAAAGTATAATGTGAGTTGCTTTTTAAAAACTATAATATGAAAATAATGGAAACATAATCTAAACTACATATTAATACGACAATATAGATCACTTTTCTGGCTCTCGGCAGCCATTTTATTTGATCAAGGAACTATTAAACAAAAGAGAATATCATAGAGAAGTGGTAAATCCTAATTTTATTCCTAAAATTCCAACAACTTAAATAAAAGATATTTAAAAAATTGGAAGGTTTCAAAAGTCGGTGTATTGAGACAAGATTAATTGTTTTAAATATTTTAGCATGGGGATCTTTTAAGGGCCCTGCAATTTAAAGTCCTAAAATGAACCATTTCTTAGATTAGCCATAATTTTTGCCAAAAGACTCTTAGGTGCTATGGTTGCCCCATGGATACTTATCAAAATATGTAGGCTTTAGAAATTAAAATATTGTTACTTATCATAATCTTCTACGATCTATTGAAAAGGTAAATAGAGGATAATAGATCTATGATCCCTTGGGAACTTTGGATAATATAAAAAGAAACTTATTGATATTTTTAATAAATAAATTAAAAGTATCCAGGTATGGCTTCTATACTCTCAGTAATTGACTTTCATACTCTTAATAAGTGAGATAACTACAAATCAAAGCTCTTCTATGCCTTAGTAATAGGTCTTGAGAGGGTACAACAATGGATTAGTAAGTTATGGATTAGGATATTTGCCAGTGTGGCAATTTAATGGCATATTATGTAAACTTTTATTTAGCGGTCAAGGTAAAGTATGAACCTTGATCAATTGTGTGCATTTAATAGACTTTCTCAATAATATTATATTGTATATATGAAATGGCATATTTTGCTGATGTCACTTATACATCAAATGCATTAGGGAGAAGTAAAGCTATGTGAGAGTTCTCACAGGGGTGGATTAGTTATTAATAAAAAAAATTTGGCAATGATTGAATCAAAAACGTAACAAATTACCATTAACTTAGTATTAACTGACTAATTTCTAAATTTTTTCTGAAAAACCTGGTCTTCTGTCACTTGAAATATTTTTATGAGAAATTATTTAATTATCTACAGATGTATGGGGGGGAAATTTATACACTTTCAAATTACTGGCTTGTATTCATTAAAATTGTTTTGAATAATAACTGTTTTATCTTTATTATTGTAAGGGTCTGTCCAAGATTTAAATTTTGAATAAAATAATACTCTTACTTTTGGAATTGAAAATAATAATAAATAATACCTCTTAAGAAAATAAGAATAAACTGAAATTAAAACTGAATGTAATGTTTAAATGGTAGAGTTGAGTATATTGTACTCACAAATTACAGATACTGAATAATCGTTATAATTACCTTATATCTTATTTGAGTTTCTCAAAACTACTACTAGGTTACGTCAGTTTTAAACTATAAGTCATTTAAGTTCAAGATTGATATATGTAGAAAGTTAAACTCAAAAATTATTTAGGGGTTCATATCCAGTTTAGTATCATCTTGCAATGACAATTAAAGTATTGTATTGGCAAAATAGGACTTGCTTTGACAAGTTTTAAAGCCAAAAAAAAAAGTTCCTATACATATAAAGTGTGAAATTTCTATATTTCCGACTTAGTTTGATTCATTATATGCTTAATGTTTTACATAATAAAAGAAAACTCATTTGAAAAGATTAAAAGATTAAACTATTTAGATTTTCTCTGTCATTGTAAACATTATGTTATCTGTGTTATAAATTTTGAAATTAAAATTTATTTTGAGATTCCATGCTTCTGTGCCGATTTATTTTAACTTTTATTATATACAACATGGAGGTCAAATATTATGTTATGCAAGGAATAGATTTTAAAATATAAAAAAAAAAAAAACATCCAACTTTCGAAACAATTTATTTACCACATATCTTTGGCATTAAGATCTATTATTATTTTATCGGAGATGTAGTTTTTGAAAAATACAGTCCATACAATACAATCCATTTATTGTATCTTAAATCTTCCCTCCCCCTCAATGAACATAATAATAATAGTAATCCTTAATATCTAAACAGTGACCATAAATCAAGTGCCGTCCCCAATCCTCAAATTTTCTGTACTATTGGAAACAAAACAATATTTTAAATGTTTTAGTTTAAATTTTAAGATTCAAAACTTTAAGATTATTTCAGGGATAAATACTGTGTGTGATCGACTGATATCTGAAACTGAGGTTAGCGAGGATTTACTGTACAAACTTGTAAAAAAATAATGGGTATTTAATCCTCCCACTAATTTTGATATAGATTTAAAGAAATTTAATTCCAGTTTTACATTTTTAATTTAAATTTAAACATAGGATTTAAATTTAAACATAGGATTCATGGTGGAGTTGTATTGGGCTGCCAGAAGCTAAATGGCCTAATAGCCAACGGCAGAGGAGTTTAATTAAAAAAAAAAAAAAATTTAATTTATTTTGTTAAAATAATCCAAAATTTTAATCCTCTGTGATGAGTACAGATACTTAAATTAATCTTGATTATTTCAAATGAGTACTGATGTAATCATGAATACCAAGTATCTACACTCATCTCAAAATGTATAACCATTACAAATACAGTATTTGAATGAAACTAAATACTGAATTTTGTGTTCACGATCACATTTGTAACCAAGTACCTTCCCAATTCTGTTAAATGGAATAAAAAGGAGATGTGAAAAGCCGGGAAATGAAAAATTACCATATTTTAAAACGTTGATAACTGGAGGTAATGTTATTTAATTGATTGAAAGTGAACATACAATTGTTATTTGGAATTTCATTTTAACTTTTTATTATTACTTTTTTTTTACTTGATTGAAACCATCAAATATGGAATATAAAATTTGATTAATTGCATCTGAGATCAGTGATTCATAAATGTGTTCGATCAGCAGTTTAAAAAAACTGTATGCAAAAGAAATATTCAATTGCATAAAACTTAATACCTTAGTTGTAATCATCATTATATAAATTGGCAAAGAAAAAACAGTTTATTACCTTTTTCTTCTTGTTTCTCAACTGATTTTCTTTTTTTGTTTAGTAGCTACTGGCAAGCTTTAGTGTTATGAATAAAACAAAATTTGCGAATAGTGTATATAAATAAAAATGTAAATGTTAGTTTTTTCAAAACTGCTAATCTCTGAAAGTTCTTGGTGCTTTGAAATTTTGATACAAAATTAATCAAGTTCAGATTTGTTTTTATATACATTTCATTACCATTCTACCTTTCATTTCAAAATGGCAGCTCTAAAATTGCTGTAATGATTTTATTGAACTTTCTGAATGAAAGTCTTCCACTTTAAGCTCTTTTAATGTATATAACATTCTTTCCCAAAAAGAGGCTGGAATATATTAGTAACAATTTGCTTCAGCATGAAAAGATCATGTAAAAATATTACTATTAAAATAGCTAACTCAATGTTTTTGGAAAATGGACTTACATCGTATCATATTACATTTCAAAATACAAAATAAAGAGCTCATGTATATAAATTTTATATATATATATATATATATATATATATATATATATATATATATATATTATATATATATATCTGTTTGTTTTAGCCTACTGTTAAACCTGATCGTCCTGCAAGAGGTGATGGACGTCCTCCAGTTGGCGTTTCGAAAATTCCAATTCCAGTGTCATCAGTGACCAAACTACAACAGATCAGCACAACATCAGAGCAGGTTTTTTTTCACACTTCTAAATTCCACTTTTATTTGTTGAAAATATAGAATTTAAGAAAAAGATATTTTAGGAGTAAGTTTGGATGATTCTCTAAGGAGAAACAACTCGGGAATGTTTTCTGTTGCAAGACAAATCTGGAAAAACATTTTATTTATATCCATGTTCATTTGTGTTTTTGAAAAATCCTTCATTCATTCATACATAGTTGGCACAACAACCTGTTAACAGGTCTAGGTCTCCTTCAAATATCTCTGGCAGTTGGCTCTTTCTGTTGCCGCAGCTCTCCAGTTCCTAACGCCAAGGAGATCGTCTGCGTCCGCTGTGACAGAGTCAGCCTACCTGACATTTGGCCTACCCATTCTTCGCTTGCCATGAAGCTCTTCAGCCAATGTCCTCATACGGATCTCGTCCTCCTTCATCCTTGCAATGTGGCCCGCCCATTGAAGTCTCCCAATCTTGATCCACTTGATGATTTCTGGATCTCTGTGCAGTCTTGAGAGTTCCTGATTCTTCCTCCTTATCCAGGTGTCTCCATCTCAAACCGGACCAAAAATTCTTCTCAATCTCTTCCGTTCAAACACCAGAAGGAGGTTCTCACTGGCTCTAGTGAAGTCCTAGGTCTGACCCATACATAAGTACTGGATGAATCAGGGTCTTATATAGGCTGATCTTGTTCTTGTTGGGGAGGTGTCTGCTTTTGAAGTATTTCGCTAGCCCAAAATAGCTTTGATTGGCTGCGGCAGTTCTTCGGTTGATCTCCTGGGATATGTCATTTTGAGTATTTATTTCTGAGCCCAGGTATACGAACTTTGCACCCTCTCAAATCTATATGGTCCAACTTCGAAAAAACCTGTTCCTACCTCTGATGGTCCTATTTTTAAATACTTTGTCTTGGCTTCGTTGATGACCAAGCCAAGAAGTTTGGTTTCTTATTCTAGAGCCAGGAATGCTTCTTTTAGGTAACGCTCAGATCTGGCAGCTATGTCAAAGTCATCTGCATACCCCAGAAACTGGATCATACTGTTGAGTAACGTGGCCCGTGTTTGGATCCTTGATCTACATACTGCTCGCTCCACCACCAATTTAAAGAGAAGGCATGCAAGGGCACCTCCCTGTCTCACACTGATGTTTGTGGCAAGAGATTCAGAGAGGTCAGATCCGATACGAACCACGCTATTCGACCCCAACATGGTCATTCTCATCAGACGAATCAGCTTCCTGGGTATGTTCATTTCTTCTAGCACCTGGTAGAGCTCAGGTCAGGTTACACTATCGTACGCAGACTTGAAATCCGCAAGACTTGAAGTTTTGGAGTTCCTTTATAAGTCCATCGTCACCGTAGCGAATTATCTCCGCTTGTATGCCGTCTAGTCCCGGGGCATTGTTGTTCTTTAGCTTCATAACGGCCGCCTCGACTTCATCGTGGTCGGGTGGTTCTGCATCGTTTGAGAGGTCTTCTGCCCTTGCGATTATGCTGGCTTCCTCATCTGCATCGTCTTTATGAAGGACTTTTCCAAAGTACTGCCTCCATCTCTCCAGGATCTCTCCCTTTTCCGTCAGGAGATTTCCATCTGAATCCTTGCAGATGACTCGGTTTAAAAACCGACTTCCCTTCATTCACCTTCTGGAAGAATAGCCTTCATAAGAATACTTTCATGTAGAGTTCTGTGGGTCTCAACGTCCTCCATTCTTTTGTTCTCCCATGTTCTTTTCTTTATGTGGTGGATCTTCTTTTCCTCCCTTCTCCTGTTTCTATACTCCACCTGTGATCGCCGCATGTAGCGTTGGATCATCTTCTTATTTGCCTTGTTCTTCCGAATTGTGCATTCTAGGCAGTCATTGTCGAACCACGGTGTCCTGGCCTTCCTTGTTTGAGGTCCGAGCGTCTCCTTCGCTGTATCTTTGAGAGCTTCGGCTATTCCTGCCCACTGATCATCCACTGTCTCGGCTCTTTCTCTCAATTCCTCTGCGAGTTTAACTTCTAATCGCTGCCGGTATGTTATGCACTGTTCCATATCTTTTAGTTTGGATGCATCATATTTCTGTTGGGCCGGACCAGCTGCTACATATCTTTTCGTTGATATTCGAAGGCGGATCCTGGCGTTGCTCAAGAAATGATCCGAGTTGACGTTTGCGCCCCTGTAGACTCTAACTCCAATAAGGTTAGATCTGTGGCGTGAGCTAATTAAAATATGGTCTATTAGATTCGTGACTGCCCCATTTGGCGATCTCCAAGTGGCTTTGTGGATGTTCTTGCCAGGGAACAATATGCTGCCAATGACTAGACCTTGTGCTGCAGCAAAGTCTATGAGCCTTTGACCATTCTCATTCGTGCTTTCATGTAGACTGAAGGCTCCTGTTGTTGGACGATAAATGGTTTCCTGACCAATTTGGGCATTAAGATCACCAAGAATGATCTTGTTATCATTTTCGGGCCGTTCCTAAAAGTTGCTTGCCAATGCTTCATAGAAGATATCCTTATCCTCGTCTGATGAGACTTTGGTTGGTGCTTGACTGTTTATAATAGATAGATTGAAGAACCTTCCCTTGATACGTATATAACACAGTCCGGGAGAGATAGGCTTGAACTTAAGGACAAGCTGGCGTGCCCTTCCTCTAACTATAAATCCTGTGCCTAAGGCGTGTTTGCTTTCATGGCAACTATAATATACTATGTGGAACCTCTTTTCTAGCTAGCCACATCTGAGCCTGTGTACCTCCTGGATTGCTGCCATGTCCACGCGGTATTGTCAAGCTCTGCAAGGAGTGCCCGAAGGACTCCTGGTCTATGTAGGAATAAAATGTTCCAATAAGCTAATCTTAAGTCATGATGGCGGTTCCTGGGTCTATTCCTTAAAATCAGTCCAGCTTATATGCTTTGTAAAGGTTTTGTGGTATTTAAGTTTTGGGAGAATGGGCTATCGGCGCACTGCCCCCGAGTTAGGTGGAGGGGCCTGACGCACTCCCCCATCCGGGGCGGCTACCCAGGGAAGGTGACCCTGGGGTATGTACTGTGATTGACCTTTGTCTATAATGAAGGGTGTTGTAGTGTGCTGTTATTGATTACTGTGTGCATGTTAGTGTGAGTGTTTCCCCCAACCTGAAGGACCGGTAGCTGGGTGCAGCCTTACGGCTGTGCTATAGGGCCGCCACATCCCTACGCCAATTTGAAAAATCCTTGCAAAACATAATTTTTACACTGAAAAAGTGAAGTCTTGAACTATATGACCATATCAATGGAAATAAATAAATTTACATTTTAAAAAAACTTATATTACTATCCTTAAACAAGAATTATAATGATAATTACATATTTATCAATTAATTGGTATCAAATATTTAATTGCTTGTTCAAAAGAATATTTTTATCATAATGTATACTTCAGTATGCTGTAATAAACCAGTATTAAAATGTAAATGATCTTCATTAAAATTAAAACAATGGGTTCTTGTTATGAGCTGTATTATTCTTTATATACTAGATAAGTTTATGTCTTTACAACTGGTATTTGATCATAGAAAAAGATTTGATAATTAATAGATAGATGCGTAGTTGACTGTTGAAATTGTAATGATGAAAAATATCAGGATATGCAGTCATTAATCATGTTTATTAAGTTGGCCGAAATTTTGACCCAAGGTACTATTGATCCAAGTAGTGTTACAAAATGAGACAATGACTGACTACTCAGTGTTATTTGAACAGGGTCTTAGCTCCAATAGTGAAATTCATAGAAGGAGCAATAATTGGCCAAGAATTTTATTTTTGTTGTTGAGAACTTTAGATCTCATAGAGTTAAACCTGTAAATGAACGCTTTAAAAATTAAGAAATTCGCTACCTCGATTGGTTTGCTTGATCTCCAGATATAAATCCCATTGAACATTTACTGGATCAACTTCAAAGACAGATTTTAGGACCGATTACCCTTCCACAAACTCTGGATGAACTGCACAATGCCATCTTAGCAGAATATCTTTAGATGGGGTTAATTCTCCCTCCCCCCCCCCCAACTGTACCAATAAGTGGATAATGCCAATTCAGGTAGTGTCTTCCAGAATGTGGTCATCTGAGCTTTAACTAGATTCAGAAAAACAACCAATAGAATACCTGTTAGTGGATCTTAGCACGTCACGGCACCAAAGGGTGACAGAAATGTTGGTATTACTGCAAGAAGCAACTCTTTTCATAGTACCCGACATAGTTTAAATTGAGTGTTGAACGTTCTGCCAAGGCCTATACCAACATAAACCAAGCCAGGAGTCGGGGATAAGGGTGTGGAATTAATGCCAGATTCAAAATCCCACTGGGAGAAGAATGCAGGAAATAGCAGTGCTGTGCACAAGCCTTCTCCTGCTCGGCCATCCTGCCTCTGTATTTTTAAATACTTATTACCTTGTAACATTTACATTTAGTTTTGAAATTATTTTTAATATTTTCTATTAAATAACTCTTGAATGACCATTACTTCACGCCATTCCACCCATATCCATACGATATCTGTACCTACTCAGTTCTTGTCTTGCCTTCAAACCTTTGGTAATGGTTAAGCTACTATTTATATTAATTATTTGGTTAATTTATTTTCATTTTTTATATACTTACCTTTTTTTATTTTTTTATTACATGATAATATTTTCTTAGTGTATTGTTATGTTTATATTATTGTTGTCACATGTTTATACTTTTTCTTTTCTTATTTATATACTTCTATATCTATCATTTTTCTTATAGAATTTTGTAATTTTTAGCTCTGATGAATTTACTGCATATTCTTACTACTTTTCATCCTTATAATTATTTATAGTAATTTAGAAGTTTACTGATCTTTAATCCTAAATTATGATGTTACGTAACCTTTTTCAGGGTAAAAAAAAAATAATAAAAACTATCAATCTATGTTATATTAATAGTATATTTGTATCAAATTGATTATAATATTGAAGAAAATAAAATTTTACAGAATTCATCTGAGTCAGAAAGTTACCAGACAAAACCTAATAAACAATCTGGACCTAAAAAAAAACCACATACTCCCATAGAGATGCCAAATAAAGAAAAAGAAACAGAAGCTAAAGCAATTCCTGAATCTTTAAATGAAATGGTAAAACCAGATGAAACTTTTAAAATGAAATATTCCATGTGTATTGTATTTTTAAGTCCCATAGAATGAGGAACTTAATATCTTGGTGGGTAACATTACTCAAAAATTAGAATCACTTCTTTATATTCAACTTCCAGAAAAAAATTCTGTTTCATAGAAAATTAACTTTCTATTTTTTAGAGAATCCAGTCAGTCCATTAGTTTTTACTTTGGTCGTCCAATCAATTATTTAGTTTTGGTGTAAAATTATCCCTAATTATAAAGTTTCCCCTTTTTACAAAACTTAAATCATTTGTATATAAATAATTCAACAATCAATTAAAAACAAAACTATTGTCAAAGAAATGGAATGCTGAATGAAATTCATAAAAATATTGTAAGGTTATGAGAAAACCAAAGCTCAAAAAACATCATTTGCAGCAACAACTGCAGTTTCTTGAAAGACATCAAGATAACAAAAAAATGATCAAGCGTTATTTTCAATGATGAAAAAAATTTAACATTAATGGTCCAAATGGTTTTAATTACCACTGGCATGACCTCAGAAAAGAAATTAAAAAAGTTGGCGTAGGTTACATTAGGGTGGTCAGAGTAATGGGCTGCTTTTAATGAAAATGGGAAGTCTGAAATTGCATTAATTATCCGCAAAATGAATGCTGATAGTTATAAAAATGTTAGAAGATTTCCTTTTGCCGTTTATTACAAGTTGAAAGAAAAATATATCATTTTTCAGCAGGATAACATGCCAATCCATATAGAACGATCCATAAAACAATAGTTTGAGAATTTCAGGATCAATATTTGGATTGGTCAGCTCCTAGTTTGGATCTCAATCCAATTGAGAATTTGAAAATAGCTTCAACGTCGTACTCATACTATAGCTGTATGCTAAATATATTGTTATTTTCAAATGAAATGGGCTATAATAGAGCTCTCCTAATGAATATTAATTGAAAATAAGAAAAAATAAATAATAAAATGAAAAAAAATATTGGAAAAATTTCTAATCGATTTTGATGATTTTTTTTTTCCTTTTGTAGGGAATTTAGTAATCTTTTATATAATCATGGGCATAAGCAAGGGAAAAATGTGTAATTTTCTATTTATTCACAAGTAAAGTTTCTTTTATTTCATAACTTGTTTGCCTGAATTTTCGGGGTGATTGGACTATTTTGCCCACCTGAAGGAGAAGAAAGCCTTCAAAATTGGTGGCTCAATCTTGAGATTTGGTGAAGAATTAACAATGATATGGCTTGCAGATCAAAAACACCATCGATAAATAATATAAACTCCTCCTCTCTCGATCATGGAGGCCTCAAGTTGATGAATGAAACATGAATTCAATGACAGTACTGCAATTAACGTAAGGTTATGTGGGACCTACACTTAACCTTAACTTATATTCACTGTACCATCCCTTTTCCAGCTCTTAGGAGCAATGGATTTTGGTGAATGAGGTATCAATTTATTTGTGAAGATGGGTATTTCATAGAGAATTGATGAATTCCTATTTGATCTTTTAAATTTCTACTATTAAATCAATAAATGTTTTTGATAAAAGTAGGTGTTTTCAAAACTCAGATGCCACCAAGGTTAGGTAGATTGCTTTGGTACACGGGGTGTAGCGTTATAAATCCCAATAATGTACTGATTTCAAGATGTAACATAATTTATTCTGATAGCCTCCTTGGTGGCATGGTTCCCATAAAATACTTATCCCATTTTCGGTTTATATTTTTCAAGGAAGCTCTGTAAACAATTTAAATATCCTTATAATTTGAAAAACTAATAAAATTAGAACCACCATATACCATGTCTTTGGTAATTTTTCATCATTATCCAATGATTGAGCCATCATTTTTAAAATTATCTTCTCCTTAAGATGGAAAAAAAAGAAGCACATCTTGCATAAAAGTGAGAAAAAAAGTTATGATGAACAGGAAATTTATTTGGGCATAACTCAAAAAGTATACAATTATAAATAACCTGTTTAGAGTTTAATTGTAAATATTCTTTTGACGGAATTATAAATAGCCTTCCTTTCCGTTTTGTCAGGGGGCTAGGTTATTTACACTCGTGAATTTAATTGTCTTAAAACAAAACACCGGCTCTGAATATAGACTTTTTTAGGGTGTTTAACTGTTGTTGGGAATTCGGGAACCTAATACTTTTGTGACACTGAGTGACAAGAAATAATAAGAATGTATATATATATATATATATATATATATATATATATATATATATATATATATATATATATATATATATTATATATATTATATATCTGAAATGTGGGACTTTTGTCCACTGTACAATTGAGTACAATTCATCTTGCAACCTCACATTCCTATATATTCCTTCTCATGCCCTTACACAATGTCACATAAAGGAGTAAATACTAGGAGCTATCTACTACACAATTGATAGTAGATTATACTACACCATAATTAGGAAGTTTTCCGAAATCTCAACAAAATAAAATAAAAATCTAAATCAGACCATTTTAGCAAAAAAACAGCCAATTATAATTTGTACACATGTTTCGGTCTATTGTTTTGAGCAAAAATTAATTCCTCTTTCTCATAATGCACAGCATTTACTTAATTCCATTTTATATTTTATGTTATTCTTTCACTGATATTATGCAAATTATTCGCATGAGCCAACTAGTATATGATGTACTTTTAATATTTTGAGGTGTTTATTTGTACACTATGATAAAATAAAAAAACATAAAAATCAGATTTGAATTTTTGAGAGTTTTACCTGGAAGTTGAAATTTTTATTGAAGTTTAAAAAAATAGAGGCTTCTGAAATAAATAAAGTAAAAATTTATAATACATTAATACTCAAAAAAATATTTCCACTTACTCCAAGTATTTTTTTTCAATGATGTAACAATAAGTTTTAACCTAAAGAATACGCCAGAATCTGTATCCTGTTATTCTACTGCATCATCGGTACCAGAACCAACTGAACCAGTTATCACCAGCAAACAATCAGCTAAACCACCCTGTAAAGCTTTGACTAGACCATCATCAGCATTACAAAACGAAGATAAAATGGATACAGGCAATGAAAATACAGATACAGTAAGAATTATAATATTTTTTTCTTTATTCTTTTTTATTTGTATAAAGTTTTTAATAAATTATAATGTATTGTGAATTAATAAATTTACAATGACATTATATCGAATATCAACATTGTATATAAGAGTAGCAATTTAAATTTTATAGTATTGGGTTGGAAAATAAGTCCTTTCAGTTTTTCTGTTTATTTTTATGTCACTGTGATACACTTCTTATCTGATGAACTATTTATTGATTTTTTATGATTAAGGATTGTTAAAACTAGCTTAGTATTGCACTGTGAATATGTAAGAAAATATCATTCATTATCGACATATTTTGTTATTTTTAAAAAGTAAGTGTACTGCAGAAATTCATAGAAAAATTTGCAGTGTTTATGCCTGATGATGCCTTAACCAAACGCACCTGTCAAAATTGTTTTACCAAATTTCATTCATGAAATTTTGACATCAATGATACTCAACGGTCTGGCTGTTGGTTTCCTTATCGCTTAAGCTCTCTATATTTACTCCTTCCAAGAATGAGGGAGATAGTGGTTATTTATTTGTTTTAATCCACTAATTTTCTGTTTCGCTATAGTTATTTATTTTTAAGTTTGATTTATGGTGAGAACATTGTTAAAAAACTTCATTGGTTTTATAAATGTCAAATTTTATAATTTTTTATTGTAAGATACTTGTAGCATTGAAATTATTATATACAAATCAAGACGAGAGCTTTCTCTAATCCATCGTCAAATGGAGAAATTGCGTCAAGGCTAATCATGTGGAATTGATGGATATTTTATGGTGTTTGATAAATGGAATTATGTAGACTTATATTGGCTTTGAACCTTTGGGTTTATGGGCTAAGTCTTTTATTATTATTATTATTACTAATTCTGGAGAGGGCAGTGAACCTGAACAACAACTCAGATGGTGAAAATAAAAATGATGGGCCTGAAGAAGTGCCAATGAAGAGCATGGACTCGAGCACACACAGGTTTTTGGCTTGTAGCAAGAAGACTTGAATGTAAAGGAAATAGTTTTGGAAGGGAATAGAAATGAACTTGACCAGAAGGATAAGGAGGAGGTCCAGGAAGGTTGTACATGTCACGGACACTCATAAATACTGGTTACATCAAAATCAAGAATAACACAGCTATTATATATTGTAGTTCTAATAATTGTTTTGTTTCTTATGTTAATATTTTGTAATTATTTTATTTAAAAATTCCTCTGATTATAAATATAAAAGTAATATAGTGTGGGTGTGTGGGTGCTTGCATGGGTGCATGTGTGTGTGTGTGTGTGTCTGTGTGTTAGAAACAGTCTACCTCTAAAACGAAAAGTCATACAAAACTTATATTACATATTTAAGATAGGTGGCTGGGATGTTACAGCAACTTTTTCCTTAACCAGAAGTGTCACTTTATATCAACCAGTATACACATTTTTACAATGTCCTCAAAAACAGCTCAAACGATATTGATTAAATTTGATGTATCATTTTATAATTAAGTGATCGTTAATATTATTTAGGTCTTATCCCCATTAATGTCACTTTACAGGGCTCAAGTGCCCAATAATCAACATTTCTTAGTCTAAAATAGCTTTAATTTGGTTTATTTTAAATAATTAACTATCTATAATTGTCAGCAGTTACAAAAAAAGCTAAATATAACTTTTGAAAGAATTTGATAATTGAGAAATGGAGAAAAAATGGAAAATGCCTATTAAGGACAAAAATGAATCTCTGGAAATAATAGTCAGGAGACATATGTGTAATATATCATTGGATAGGGGTGAATTTAAAAAAAACAAAAAACAATATCTAATATAGAAAGTCGTAGAAGGTAATGGAGAGTTACGAAGAATTATTAATAATAATTTGTGAAAACTAATGTTATTTAACTGAAATCACATGTTTACAAGGAAATTAAATTAAATTTACTAACTAAATGTAAACTTTAAAATCTTTTTTTAAGTTTGAGAAAAGTATTTAAAATTCACCTAATCAAAGTAATGTCGTTGTTTAAAAAAATATTTCATTGTACTTGTGTGAAAAAAAAAGTAAGATATAAAAATATTTCATGGATGTATAAAGCATATGTTTATAACCTTAAATGCATTTACTGTAGTTTAATAATGCTAGATCTGATACTATATATAAATAATTAGGTATCAACATTGATTTATTCCGAAAAATGTCATGGAACCTTTTAGAAAATTAAATTAGTGAATAATTTGATGATTTTTCCCTTCGTGTAATCCCAACAATATCTACTTACAATTAGTGTGACAACTTTTGACCTATCTATGGCAGGCAATGAAAATCTCATAATTTCATTTTAGTAAACTTTACAATGGAAAAATGACACTTTGATAACTAATAGGCATACAATCCATAATCGTTTATAGGTTGAATATACAGATATACTTTCAAATCTGTAGACATATATATATAAAATACCAATATATATATAGTTTAGAGACTGGAGTTAAGTGGTTTACAAAAACCGATGGAGTTGAGATTTTTATTGCTTACTTGTTGCTTGAAATAATAAATAGGGTTTTTGTTATTTTAATGGACTTAAGGATTTCTTATCTGTAAGCTTTAAGCTGCATCTCTGTTAAAAATGCACTTCAAAAATTTTCTAATACCCTAACATTGCCAGAAAACAATTTATATTCAAATTAGAGCGGTAAGTGAAAGTTGTGTGATGGACGCACCAGATTTTTTATTATCGAATAGTATCTATCACATACTTTGCCCCATAGAGGAAGTGAGTCTGTTGGAGCATAAATGATATATCAATATTCCCTTTATTGGGGAAGGAATAAAATATGACACATTTCTGTTTTTGTTTTTCTGATAATTGTTTTTGCTATAACCTGTTTATTTTAAGCCCAAATAGAAAGAAAATGTTAATTTATAAATTAACCAGCATAGCCCCTTTTATAAATTATTTACCACCAACTCCCAGTTAGATTTATTCACCTTAACTCTGCTAGGCTGAAAAGTTATAAAGATGTCCTTCTGTTCAATATTTATTTCAAAATTTAGAAGTTAAAATAAATTTACTTGAGCTTCTTTGATTTCTCTTAAAGTTATTGGACATTTAATATAATGGACTTATGGATAATGTTATTTTTTTATACCTGTATTACCATCCTTGATCAGATTATCATTCAATCGGGTTATTAAAGAAATTTTATTTCTAATGTTCAAATAATGAAAGCTACTATTAAATTCTTTCAATAATTTTCTTTTCACATACTGAATCAAAATGATATAGTAACTCCCATGTCACCAATCACAAGAATATTTAACAGAAATATAAAGGTCCTCAAATAATTTAGATTTTGTAATTATAAAACAATAGTTTGACAAAAATGTTTTATATCCAAAAATAAATTTCTTTCATAAGCCAAGACAAAAATAATATGAATACATATAAAAATAATACCAAATAGAAATTCATTATATCTCAACCATTCACTTTTCAGAATTCAAAAACAGAAAATCAAATAATGGAAGAAAAATATAATTTGCCTTTTGCTCCCGAGGTGAGTCTGTAGTTTGATAATTACTTTCCTTTTTAATCCATTAATTTATTTACTGATTATTTGAATGTAACTAAGAAAGTAAATACTCTTAACTAATCTTCATTCTTAATATACCAATTTAATTACCAATAGACTGTTTCACAGACGGGGCTTTCGAGCTGAAGCCCTCTTCCCTCCCAAAATGGTAAAATATAACCATTTTTTAAAGAAAGAAATATTAAAAACTATCTCTTAAAGTATTGTTGTTCATGTAATTACATTTAATAGAACTTCAAGAATCACTTAAACTCTATTTCATATAAGTAATTAATTTCTTTCCTTTTTTAAAAAAAGTTAATTATCGTTTTATATATATGAAAAAAAAAAAGGTTTCAGGCTGAAGGCCCCCCAAATTTAATCCTGGATCCGCTAGTGGACTGTTTTGATTATTCTAGTAATAAAGGTCTACTTAGGTGGCTATATTTCCAGAGGGTGATATATGGAGGTGATATATCAATACCTGTTGGTAGGAATAAGGGGATCTGGAAACTCACTTGTAGTGGGTAGGGCACTGTTGCTTGATCATCCCAAAAAGAATGGGGGAGACTCTCGCACCCATCTTCCTCTCTAGACTTTCCGTTTCTCTACTCATTTGCCACCCTTAAGTATCTTATTACCATTCAACAATATATTAAGTTTTATAAATCCTGCCTATAAAGTCAAACAAAGGTGATTTGGAATAAAAGTTAAAAAATTTATTTTATAAAATTATTGAAGCAGATATGATTTCATTTTTTTTAACAGGAACTTATTATTACAAAAGATGAAAGGAAATTATCTCCTGAAAAGCCGAGAATAAAACGTACTCGATCTCAGGTAAGTTATATTTTTATTTTTGCTTTTCTTATTCCGTACAGTCTGGGAACCCCTTAATTCTTACTTTATATATTTTCAAGACTATACAACAATAAAGTCATAAGCTATATACATTTTATTTGCCACTGAATTACACATTGGAATAACTGAATCCAGAAATTTTTTCACTTTGCGATCTTTTGATTTTTTACACAGCCAAATTTCTGTGAAATATGTTCTTTTAACCCTGAACTCCACTTAATGTTATTTACCTTTCTCATAACAAAATATTCCAGGATCTTTAAACATGATAAATAAAGGGGGAAATTCATAGAGGCATGAAAATCTGTTGTAATATCTGTATTTAATAAGAGAAATGATAGAGAATGCTACAGTTAACTCTTCTTTCTAAGACTTTTATTGTATATCATAGGATCTATGAATTAATCCAGTGAAAAAATAGAAAATCTTTATAATATATATTTTCACTAAATACACAACTTTTATGATAAAATAAAACAATATTTTCATATTGTGGAAGACAAATGCCCAAAAATGGATATATAAACAACTTAAGGAAGAACATTTTAAGTGAAGGATAGATCATGAGGTTGTATTAATGGAGTGAAAAACCACCTTGCTTCCCATAACCTCAGATACCTGCTTTGTTGAATAGTTTTTTTTTTTCTGTTTACAATAATTTGTTAATTGATTGTAGTTTTAATAAATTCAAATAATAATTTGAATACCAATATCAATTTTCATTTGAGATAAAGTTATTTAAAAGAATATTTAAATTGAGAAATTGGCAATACAATATTTTTTTATTTATATTTTAAAAATATTTAATGCTCATAAATCATAATTTCAGAATAAAAGTATTGAAGATGAACAAGATGCTTTTACACCAAATGACACAAGTCAAGTTAATTCAATAAAGGAGGGAGCAGAAACCAAAAGAATGCGTGTTGCAAACAAACCACCCTCCAGAGAAGAACCAGAAAAGTGTTTTGTAAAACCACCTGAGCCTGCTCTTAAAGATAAAAGGAAAAAAGAAATTGAGGCTGTCAGGCACAGATTGGCCAAGGATAGACTTAATTTAATCAACAGCAGAGAAAGAGATGAAGTAAGTGCTGGTAGGCAATGCCTTTTGGTCCTTGATAACAATAATGAACAAAAAACTCAGGATTCATTAAAATCCGAGAGTATTCAGAGGTCAGCTTCTAGGAAATCAGATAGGGGTACACCACAAATTGCAAATAGGGCACGAGCATCCCCAAGCAATGCAGGTTCAGAAAAAAATATAGCAATGCCTGAGAAAGTTTCTTCATCTCCAAGGCAGTTATCACCCATAGTAATGAATATGAGTATTATAGAAAAAAGACGACAATGGCGGCAGTCCAGAGAGGCAGTGAATGCTGATCAGAAATCCAATACCAAGAGTAGCAATATGCTTGATATTAAGACTCCACTATTTAAATCAAACCAACTGAAAACAAATCCATTAGTAAGAAATTATTTTCTATTATTTATATCTTTATTTTGCAATACAATAATATATCTCATATCTAGAAAAAAAGTTATAAAATAAAAAGGGTGCAGATCATTAAATATCTTTTGTTAGAACGAATATTAGAGACAGGATGCGTTTTATGTAGAAGCTGTTAGAGTATTTCCTCTAACATATTGCTGTTAAATCACCTATTATGTCTAATGGTTGTGCCAGATATTTTATGGCTGGCTGTTCTTGGATATAATAAGGTACTGACCATTAAAATTTTTGACGGGAATCAGTTGTGCCTTTTTTTTTTTTCTTTTTTTTTAAACCACTGTAGCTATTTGCACTTCAATTAATATATAATAGTCTTACTAATGAGAATTTTTTTATTTTGATTATTCGGCACCATAGTTAGCTTTCTTCCCAATTATTTTTTTTTCAAAAGAATATTTCATCAGAATATTTTTTAGTCAATGCATCCTAAATTTGAAACCAAGATAAATATATTTTTAAAATGATACAGATGTGTCTGTATCAGAAATTTCTAATTAAATTAACTAAAAATTTTAATAAACTTAATATTAAATTCAGTAATTAATATGCTGATATTAAATGAAATACAATTCAGTGATTGAAATTTTACAGGGACAGCGGCATCAAGAAAATGTATCCAATGCACCTATGAAAAGTGCACTGGAGGATGAATCTCTTAAAGTATGTTATTAAATCCAATTGAAATGTTCATTACTATAATAACTTCTGACATTTTTAGAGTATACAAAATATGACAAATTAGTCTTGTAATGTTGAGTGACTTCAACATACTGCTGACACAGTTCAAAATAATGATAAATAGCAATTCTACCTTATATGGCATTGAACCTATTGCCGCAGGAGAATTCTAAGCTTTTGACAAATTAAATTTCAAAGAAAATTATTCATTATAAGCATATTTTTTTAATTTTTTTTTCTTTTTATTTCGTTGCAAGAATGGTCTTCTTGTTATGTTAAAGTCATAAGGTAGAATGAAAATCATTATTGTGTTTAAAAAAAAAATTTATTTTTTTAATTACTAAAAAGTCACTATGGTTTAATGTTAATTATATATTATATATTAGTATCAGTGTTATAAATAATTAAAGAAATTAAATTTTTAAGTATAAATATCATAACTGTATGAAAAATTCATTTTAGTTAGAGTAATGACTGGGTTTCAGTTACGGTATGACATTTTATCATTTAATGCAATATATATATATATATATATTTTATTTTTTTTTAAGTCAGAATAAAAAATTGTCACAGAGTTGTGAAAAGGTTAATGAAAGTTTTAAAAATATCTTAATAAATATAAATAACTTTAAGCATCTTATTACTGGAAAGATTTACGGTAATCACAACCAAAACTATATAAACCTCTTTTTTTCTTTCAATAATGGCAAGAGATTTATTGAACTGTTAGGAAGGTTTTTTTTATGTTTCCATACCCTCCACAAAATCACAAATTTTCTCCAAACTCTTTGTTTTATGAAAGTTTTCCTTTTTAACTTATTTCTTTTCAGTCACTATTTTGGTCTTATTGATGACTATATAAGTGATTATGCATGTATATCTACTTAACACTCGATAGATATAAAGCAGAAACTACTAAATATTATATAAAAACTACTGAATAATTTTTCACTTTTCTGAGGGAAGTCAAAATGTGGTTCTTCATTGATTAGAAAAAGAATTGAAATTTAATTTATAATATTTTTTTTTTTTAGGACCATTGCAAAAATGACATTTCCAGGGTTCAAATTTTTTTTTTTTTTTTTTATTTGTTTATTTAGAAATATTACATTCTGTCACATCAAGGACATTTATAATAGTGTTCTGAGAAAGCACACTCACACTCTATTTACAATAAAAAAAATAAAATAAAATAATACAGAAACTTAATAATAATAAATACAATGAATAAAATAAAAATAAATACAATAAAATAAAATAAATGTATATAAACAAAAGAACTAACCTAATCATACACACTCGGGCTTGAGTGGAGGATCTGGCCATTGCCAAAACTCCAATAGATGCTTATTTACAATAGGTCTCTGGGCCACTGCCGCTTCAACCTTCGAGGAGGATTGTAAGGATGGGTGGTGCTGGATAGAGATTGTGCAAGGGGATTTGGATGATAGGTAAGGTTCTGGTGAAATTTGGAGAATTTTTCTGGAATAAGGTCTAGGACAAATGGGATATTAAGGTCATGGTGTAGGATTTTGTTATTTACATAGAACGGAGCATCAACTATTGTTCGAAGGACTTTAGATTGAAAGGATTGAATACGTTTGATGTTAGAAGCTTTTGCTGTACCCCACAGTTCAAGTCCGTATGTCCATATAGGTTTCAGTATTGTCTTGTAGATAAGTAATTTGTTTTCAATAGAAAGTTTGGATTTTCTGTTTAGTAGTCTGTATAGCTGGCCGTATCGTCGGTTGAGTTCTTGTCTTTTGAGTCTAGTATGTGGGTTCCACGTCAGTCTTCGGTCTAAATGAAAGCCAAGATACCGGACTGTGTCTGAGTAAGGAAGCTGGATGGAATTAAAGTGTACTGGTGGACAGGAACTGCGTCGGAGTGTAAAGGTAATGTGTTGGCATTTAGATTCATTAACTTTAATGCGCCAGTTATTACACCAGTGCTCAATCAAGGTGAGGTGGTTTTGGAGATTTAAGGATGCTATGTTGGGATCTGAGTCGGATGATAGAATAGCGGTGTCATCAGCAAAAGTTGCCAGGAAGGTATCGGGATGGACAGGGATATCGGCGGTAAAGAGGATGTAAAGGACGGGACCCAATACGCTACCTTGAGGAACACCTGCCTCAATTGGATAGCAATGCGAAAATTCAGTACCGCAACGAACTCGGAAGGTACGATCTGAGAGGTAGGAACGGAGAACAAGGTACAAGGACTGAGGAAGATAGTTTTTCAGCTTGGAAAGAAGCCCGGCGTGCCATACCCGGTCGAAAGCTTGAGCTATGTCCAGAAATGCACCCGAGCAATATTGCTTGCTTTCCAATGCTGCGGAAATATGATCAACCACTCGGAGTCCTTGTTGGACTGTAGAGTGTTGTGAACGAAATCCGAACTGATGGGAAGGAAGAGTTTGGGATTCTATAAAGGGTAGGATGCGTTTTAGGAGGATCTTTTCAAAGATTTTTGAGAGAATAGGAAGAAGGCTAATTGGTCTGTAGGACGTTGAGGTGTTGGGAGGTTTGCCTGGTTTCGGAAACAGGATAATAGTGGAATGTTTCCACAAAAGAGGAAAGTGGGTGGTTCGTAGGATGCTATTGTATATGTATGTGAGGAATATGACAGCTTTAGGAGGGAGTTGTCTAAGGATCTGAGAGGTAAGCAGGTCGTATCCAGGTGATTTACGGGTAGGTAGTTTTTGTAAAAGGAATTTGACCTCAGAAGGATTAACTGCTTTAGGCGGTAAGGAGAGTGGGATGGGTGAATTAAGGAATTCCTCTACTGCTGACGTGTGGGTGGGATTGGATTCTGGATGAGAGGTGAATGTAAGGGAAAGGTTTTTGGCGAATTCTTCGGCTCTATCTTCGTCAGATGCTGCCCAAGAGCCATCACCTCGACGGAGAGGATGTGATATGTGATGGGGTTTTAGGATATGTTTGGTGGTCTTCCATAGGGAATTGTCATGAGAAGAGAGGGAAGTGAGGTAGGAGTTGAAGGATTGGGATCTGAAGGTGGCCAATTCTATCTTTAGTTTTTTGCAAAAATAATTATAGGATTGGCGATCGGTGGGGTGTCTAGTACGTTGCCATAATAATCTGGCACGGCGTTTGGTATGGATTAGGTCTATGAGGTGTTGAGGTAACTTATTTTTCTTAGGAGTTCTTGAGGAGTGGTTTGGAAAGGAAGCAGTCCAGATTGCTTGTTGGATAGTGGTGGTAAAAAAGTGTACGGTATTGTCAAGGTCATCTGGGGTTTTCAGGGTCATTCTGAGGTCAATTTTATCGGTAAGGATTTGGTGAAAGAGTTTCCAGTTAACTGGGCCTCTGATGAAGGACGGTGGAGAAGACTTGGGAATAGGAGCTAGAGATAATTGGAGTAATAATGGACTATGATCTGAGGATAGTTCGCCAAGAGGGGTAAGGGAATGATTGAGGGGACCTAAGCCACTGTGGATGAAAAAATCAAGGATATCGGGATTGCGGTTAGGATCTGTGGGCCAGTAGGTAGGTGAGTTGGGTGGAAGGAGACTGAAACGTTGGGTATTGAGTGCAGACAGAAATGTTCTGCCACGAGAATTCGTGGTTCTTGAACCCCAAACTTGATGCTTGGCATTTAAGTCTGCACCCAGGATGAAATGATGACCTAAGGAGTTGAGGAGAGAACTGAACTGGACTTTGGATATGGATCTGTTAGGAGGGCAATATGCTGATGCAAGGGTGACTGGAAAGGAGAAGGCTTTGATTACAATAGCGGTTGACTGTAGGAAATCTTGAGTAGGTAATGGGAGTAAGTGATGGGAGAGGGATTGGTGTACGATGACAGCAGTGCCGGCATGTGCTCTGCCATCAGGGTGGTCAGTACGGTATGTTAAATACTGTGGGATTTTTAAATGCTGTTTTATGGTCAGTCGAGTTTCTGTAATTAGGGCTACGTCAATGTTCTTGTCTTGTAGTAAAGCTGTTAGTTCGTCAACGTGATTTCTAACACCATTCGCATTCCAAAGGAGAATGGACATGGGTTTTGGTATGTGGGTCATTAAGGATTTTTCAAAGGAGGGATGAGGTGAGATACGAGATTTGTAAGGAGTGATATGAGTGGAGTGACTAGGGATTTGAAATCGGTTAGGAAAGATGCTAACAAACTAGTGAGATCTGTTGCATTTGAAGGAGGAGGAATATGAGGAATTTGAGGTTGTTGATGATTATGTGTGTTAGGATGAACAGAATATTGAGATTGGGGCTGAGGTAGTTGCTGCGGCAGGGCTTCACATGTATTATTGGGGTTCTTACCTCCAAGTAGTTCGGAGTATGATAAATTATTGTTAACAATTCTAGAAGGTTCTCTTCTTGGTCTGGTTCTCTCATCTTGAATCCGGTTCTTCTGGTATCTGGATTTGAGGCTCTTATAGGTTTGGCAGCCTTTGTAGTTGGCCGGGTGTCCCTCCTGGCATAGTGCACACACTGCAGGATCTTGTGTTGGTTTGGTGCACTCCACAGATTTGTGCTGTTCACCGCATTTCACGCAACGCGGCAGATGGTGACAATAAGTTTTCGTGTGGCCATACGCCTGGCAATTGTGGCACTGCACAATTTCCTTCTTGGGGTATGGCTTCTCTATCTTCACGATAGTGTAGTACAATCTCTTGATATCATATATTTTTTCAATGCCAGGTGATGGCTCTAGATCCACGAAAAATAAAGGTAGTGGAACTTTATTACTCACTCCTGGCTGCTCCTTATTCTCCTTCAGAACGTTGGTTACCTGACGCACTTTGAAACCAAGCGTCGCTAGTTCTTCTTTTATCACTTCAGTTGGGGTTGAGGAGTGTAAATTTCTAACCACCACTCGTAGCGATCTCTCCTGTTTCAGCTGGTACGTGTGGAAATTTGCATTAGTTTCTGACAGGTACTTCACAATTTTTCGGTAGGCTTCTGCAGTATCAGGTGTTATTTTTGTGTCGTTAGTCCTGTTGAGGCAAGAATAACTGCCGGAGCAGATTTCGTTTAGCTGTGTACACAGAAGTTGAAAATTTTTGATGTTTTTAACAAATATCGGAGGAGGCCTTGGTTCCCTGGGTACTGCTGCTGACTCCATTACTTCTCTGTCATTATGAAGCACTTGGAACGGGTTTGGAGTGAAGAAAGGAGATTCTTCAACCATTTCTTGCGAAGAAGTACCTGGTTGAGGCTGAGGTTCTGTATCTGAAGTTTTCACTGTGGTTATTGGAGCTATTTCTCGCAGGCAGCGACGAGTTCTTTGTTTCACTGGTGAATCACGAGGGGTACTAACTCCGTCTGACCGAGTCCTCTTAGTGGGCACCTTACTGGACATCACTGGCTGACAATGCCGCATATCATAAGAGAAGAAAAAAAAAATTAAAAAAAAAAAAAAAAAAAAAAAAAAATATTAAAAAAAAAATATGTAGCAAACTGTAAATAACAACTGCTCTGGTGTACAGTTCAACTATATTCAGTAAATAATCAAAGAGATTCCGCTGAAAAAATAGGCAACAACTGAGAGAAGATTTCAGAACACGTCCTTCCTACTTAGCAACAAATATTGATGGATTTCATAAGTAAGAGTAAGGTATTTTTCATAACATAATGGCTCTAACTACTAGATGAAGACTTAAGAAAGCATCATTTTGAATCTTAGAATTTCATCTTGCAATCTTAGTATTACCCATAAATCATTAGATAAAAATAAGTGAAATCAATTGCAATTAAATTGAGAATATCTGACTGTCAATCGTACCAAGATTTATAACTTTATTGATTGAGTATACTAATCGTAATCATTTGGTGAATTACATATTGACTGTATTTAGCAAATCTACATAAAAAGAGATTTCACTTTAATAGTTCAACAATAGAGAAATAAGGAAATGTTGCCTTTAAATGATGTTTTTCATCATATAGCTTTAGTGAATCCCCCATAATTACTATAATAAATAGATTTTACAAAGAATTATAGGAAGGAATAGGGAAAATTTTATCTACAGTAAATTTGAAAAATATATTTTATTTATTTAAAATTTAATACAAATTTAAAATGTGTTTTTTATTTGGTCCTTGGATAACAATAAAATAAATCTAAGGATTCGGTTTAGGAAGTTGACTCAGCTCAGCTGTGCTTTCGGTGGCTGGTCAGCCTTATACATTCATTTATTATCTCAAAACATACAATATCATATGTGCTTATAATATAAAACAGTTCAGTATTATTTGTGCCTTTTTTCGGAGAAGTATTTTTATACATAATTTCTGTTAGTGCAAAAGTTCGTAAGTATTCATGGGCTCACTGAACTTTTTGAGTTATTCGCAAATAAAATTCTGACTCCGTATAACTTTTTTTTAAGCTTCTTTTCAAGAAAGTTTGCTTATAAACATAAATTAAAAGGGCTTCAAGGGGAAGACTAGCCAATTTTCCTTAAAATTGTTACAGCCTTTTTGGTGCTGTAGTCTATAGTGACAGATGTTTTTTGGGCTGCCATTATAAAAATGAAAGATTATATGGTAATGTAATGTATATAAAAATACTTCTGAATTCAACTACAATGTTATATCCAAATTTCAAACCAATCGATGAAGAACTTTTCGGAGATAGCAGTTTTGAATAAACTAACATTTACATTTTCCTATATAAACAGTGTTTCCAAATATATTTTATTGATAATACTAAAATTCGTCAATAGCTATTAATCAAACAACAAAAAAAAAAGCAGAAAATTGGTTAAGACAGAGAGAAGGAAAAGGTATTGAACTGTTTTGTCTTTGCCTATTTATATAATAATAATAATTACTGACTTCATGCTGTTGAAAATAGGTTTTAGGGCAGACCTCGCTAAGAAGTTATATTACAACTATTTCAATATCATTTGCTGACATGCTTAGGCTAAGAATGATATCAATTATTGGGAAATTAAACTTAATAATTTATTATTGGCACACAATAGCCCTAACAAGGATGCAGTTCTCTCGCCTCAACAAAAATATATATTATTACTAATACTATTTGGTTTTGTTTTTTTTTTTCAGAGAAAAACCACACTTGTTGAAAAGCGGAAAATGATGATGAAACAAAAAGAAGCCACAAATAATTTAAATAAACCAGCAACTGGAGATGCAGTGTCACAGCGAGCTGGAAAAGGCTTAGAGCGAGCAAGTAGAGAGGTATAGATGGCAAAAAATAATTACTAATTGATTATTAACTAATAATTATTATTATTAGAATATTAACCTTAATAGATTAAGCAAAAAATGTATATATTTCTGAAATAATTTTAAAGTGATGTACCTAATATGATTTAAACAATAAGAAAATACTCAGAACATAATAAATGAAGTACTCAGAGCAATAAAACCTAAAATAATGCTTGAGTCAAGAATTGACGTCATAGTAGCACTGTTACTATAAAATATAACTGGTCTTACTTTTTTATTCCACCATTTACTATAGTGTAAGCAAGATGTATAATACTACCTGTTGGAATATTATGTTTACATAGTCAGATTGAATTATATCAACGAAATTTGTATTGATCAATCCAAATGAAATCACCCACACCATCTTTAGAGACATTTTTTATTTTTATTAATTTTTTTTAACAATTATTCCCTATTTTATGGTGGTTCATTTAATGACAAAACTATGATTAAAACATATTAAGGCTCAAGACATTTTTCTGTGTTTCTAAAATAAAATAAAACTAAAATAACATAATGATTTTTTCTTCATTTTTGTCATACATCACCTAAAAGGAAGGAAAGTGGTTTTAAAAATCAGGAAAATTAGCATAACACAAAATATATTTTACCTTGAAAGTTTAATCATCTAAAGTCTTTTAATCCTGTAATCATCTTTGATTTATTTTTCTTTTATAGGTCTATCACTGTATTATATATCAGAGAAATTTCATTCTTAAAACCTTGTCCTTTTTTAAATGTGATTTTTCAAAAAACAGCTATAAGTAATTTTAAGTGATGCCCTTTCTACTCTTAACATGGGTATTTTTGCAAGTATTCAAACAAAATAAAAACTAAAATTATGATGTGTTGCCCTATATTTTTGTCCCGTAAATAAATCTCCTCAATAGTCGCCAAAGAGATTAAAAAAATTCACAACTATAAAATTAAAATGATCATAAAAGGAGATATTTAGCCCTATAAAATTGTATTTCATTATTGAAAACCTTGTCGTTTTTTAAGTATGAATTTTCCAAAAGGGCTAAAAGTCATTTTTTAATTTAATATCATAAAAGAGGCTGGATGAAAAATTATACAACTTATACATTTCATCATGGGTGATAAATATTCAGGATGCCGTCATAAAGTTAAATCAGTGCCGACGTTTCAACCCAAACATGTGAGTCATCATCAGGGCTGAACCTTTTTTTAAATACAATCAGAGATATAATATTATGCGACTGATAATGGTTAATAATAAATTATAGTGATTGATGGTACACGAATCTTAACTAATATTACAATACAAAATATTATAACTTCAATCAAACTATATTATATTTATATTGATTGGCATCTCCTACTTACGTTCATTTCATTACTAGCAATAGTCACAATTCTGTAACCATAAGAAACAACGCAAATCTTGTACACATCTTGAATATTTAGTCAGCAAATTATTTACATTCTATAAACAGAAATGTTACCTCCCTCTCCCTCCCTTCTGACTATGTTTACCTTTGAATGCTTTGAATGAAGTTAGTGCTATCTGAAAAAGGACAACTGGGAAATCCTCCCCCGACCCTTTCACTTACCTACCAAATGTGTCAGTACTTGAATACCTTCAGTGCTCGAACCAGATTAATAAGTGTGTGTGTGTGCTAACACTGCTAACAGTCTAGCTCATAAAAGAAAAGTAGTACGAAACTGATATTAAGTATTTAAGGTTTGTATATGGGTCAGATGTGACAGCAACTTTTTCGTTAAAATCGGCTAACCGGAAGTGCCACTTTATATCAATGGTGAAACCATTTTTACAATTTTCAGATTAAACTCGGTGTATCATTGTATAATTAAGTGGTCTTTAATATCAATCAGGTCTTATCTGCATTGATGTCACTTTACAGGGCTTAAATGCCCAATGTTCGTATACGTCCACCTCTAAAGTACCTTTAATATAGTTTATTTCAAAAAATTAATCACCTCAAGTTATTCAGAGTTACAAAAAAATGCTAGATATAACTTTTGAAAGAATTTGAGAATTGAATAAAGGAGAAAAAAATAAAAATGCTTATCCGGGTCAAAAATTAATCTCGGGAAATAACTGTCAGAAGGTGTACGTACAATATACTGTTGGAAAGCGAAGAATTTTAGAAAAAACAATATCTAATATAGAAAGTTGTAGAAGGTAAGGGAGAGTGGAGAAAACATAATAAGTAATAATGTCAGAAAACTAAGTTTATTCCAAAAATCTATCTATGAAAATCTTGTAATTTTGTTTTAGTAAACTTTACAATGGAAAATAATAGGTTTATAACTAATAGTCCTACGATCCATTATCATTTATAGGTTAAATATGCAGATATACTTTCAAATCTGTATAGACTTGAGCACTCTTAAAATAATTTATTTCTGAAATAAATTATATGGTTATTCCACGAATGAATTATTTCCAGAATAATGGTTATTTCTGAAATAATATTTCAAACTGTCAAATGAAATAATCTCGATGGAATACTGCTGAATTCATTTCTGAAATAATTATTTCAATATTTTAACATTCTTTGGAATAAAGTAAATTATTTCAAAATGAGTTATTTCTGAAATAAATTATTTCAGAACTATTATTTCAGAATTATTTATTTCATAAATAAATTATTGCAAAAAATCAAGAAAAAAAAATTCAGAAGTAATATTGTTCTGAAATAACATAAAAAATTTACCAATATGCACAATGTTTTCAGGGTATCTTTTTCATATTTGACAGTATTTTCATAAATTTCATATATAGCGAAAACATAATACTCGACTCTGATATCAATTAAATCCGAAAAATTACAAAAAGTCGATGTGGAAGGGTGGGGTAGCCGCAAATCTCTCTCTCACACTCTCTCTCTTTCTCACACACAAACACACACACACACAATTTTTTCAGATTTATGTTCAATAAAATATTTATTTGTTACAAAATTAATATTTTTTTCATTTCTTTATCTCATTATTGTTCCTCCTCCAAAGGTTTTTGTTTTAGGTAGCTTAAGAAATAGCATCACGAAATTAATATATTTTTTTTTTTAAACCTAATTTAAAATGTCCACTCCTTTGACAATGAATCTAATTAATTATGAGTATTAAATACAATAATATAAAGATAAATAATGCAATATCATAATTCTGCTTTTGATAATGTTTATTCTAGAAACCATTATTAGCAAGTCAAAAACAATCAAACAGTGATATCCGAAAACAGTCCATCAGTAAATCAACTGAAAAGACAGCGATCTGTAAGTCAATGCTAATCTCATTTAAAAGTTCATTAAATTAAGTCAAATGAAACACCAGTTATATGTTCTTGTTTTAATTATATTTCAGTACAACCAAGCTTCACGATGCAAGAAGTGCAAGAGGAATTGGCAGGGACAGAAGTACAAGCCAAGCCCTCAACTACTTCAACTATAAATACGAAAGTATCCTTGGCTTCAATGCATAATGTTTACAAAATGCACTTCAAAAGATGTGAAGAACAAGTCAGTGAAGTAAAAAGAGCTAAGGTAAAGTACAAGCAAGTATCCAATTTGCATTTTATCTATAAATGATGGTCAATTTTTGAAACTACTGCAGCATTGATAGCATTGATGAATATGATCCTTTATAAACAGCATTGATGAATTTACTTCTTCTTTTCGCTCTATCCATTTGCCTTTCAGTGTGGGGGGTGCTTCTAATCATAGGTGCCATGCACTTCTGTCCCTTCATTTCCGAGGCAGTTACACAATTTAGTCGTCTCTCATTCATAATCCAGCACTCCGCTCCATTGAAAAGTACTGGTAGAAGACAGACATGAATAAGTTGAGCTTTATCAATTTTTCCTTTTTCCGATATTTTAGTTATAAATCTGGTAGGAAACGGAGTTTGGAATAGAGATTCTGCAGGAGATTTTCGATTCTACTTTACCAGAACAATTAATCACTGCACCAAGGTAAGTGAAATCTGTCACCCAAGGGTGCCCATTTCTCCAAGGTCAATGGCGCGTGAACTTCCTCCCCCCTTCCCTCCTCCTTCCAAAGTATTTTATTGCTCTCCTTGTTTTAATAACAGTGCAAGCTAAAGTATAATTTTAGAAATCATAGGTCATATAAATTATATCTGCAGAGGTCTGTTCTATGCATTCCTCTTTTCCCCAAGTTTGAAACTTTTAATTTTGAAAATTCATAACCCCCTCAAAATATGCTCGATCAAAAATTTTAATGGCATAATTTGCGCTTTAAACCCTCCCTCTTTGCTCCTCTGCTGTCACCACCTCCTTTTACTATCCACTACAGACAATCTGGACATCTTCTTGAGATCTGTCAATATAGAGTACTTTGCTTCTTTTTGGTATTAATAGTCATTCCCTTTCTCCTCAGTTTTCCATTCCATTCCGTTACTTCCTATTGAAGTGGATCTGGAGATTCGGCAATAAATACTTGAAAACTGATCGGCTCTATGATCTTCTGTATATTTCATAAGATGTTTCTCATGCAAGTAAGCTGTGGGCCTACTATGCCCAGAACCTGATGAAGGGACTGCCTCATTTAGTGCTTTCAGGCCAGCTCTCCCATTACTTCATGGGAAAGAGCTTATACCACTGCTACTGAACTGAAATGGTGTTTCATTCCTAAGAATACACTGATTCAGGCTGTAATCGGTCCCTCCTCCTTTACCAGAACTTGGGACCTGTAGCTATATCTAGAAAAATTAACATATATTAAATATTTGTGGGTCAATTCATATATCGACCAATGGTGTTTGCTGAAAAAAAAAGTTTTTCCCTATATTTGTGTATTATTCAGAGAGTTAAAAACAGTTATTCATTATTTATTTTAGCTTCATCTTTTCTTTTGAATGTCAATGTTGCAATCATATGTCAACTTTATATTGTAAATTTCACAGAGGTTTGCATTAAATTTTAGCTCTTTTGTTTTTTAAGATATTTGGTTCAAACTAAAATCTTATTAAAGAGCATGTACAATATTTTCTGTTCAGTACATATATCGCTCTCTGCTTACAAGTAAAAAAACAAAAAACGGAAAATTTCCTTTTTCTTTCATCTTTCACCGCACCCTCAATCAACTTCATCCTTTATAATTAAAACTGGTAAACATAAAACTAAGACTCCCCTTTAATTTCTTTTAAATGCAGTGTAGTATACTACTTCCCTAAAAAGTATCAGGCTTGGAAGTTATATTCTTTTTTTAGTTATAGGTCTTCTAATATTGTTATTTTTCTAAAACCAGATATTTTAAATCTCAAAGTTCTCAGAAGAGTCCCATTTTTAAAAATCTAGAATAAAAAATACATTTTACTGTGTTAAAAGTGGTAAAAGTTTTATCATTCAGAATTTATTAATTTTTAAATATACCAATACGTATATTTTTTATTAAGTATTTTAAAAATGAGATATCTCAAAAGAATTAACTTTCAAAATTCATAATTTTTAGAACACATTGTTTTATTATTTTTCAATTAGTAGTTCAATTTTCATCACTGACTTTATTATTATTGTGTAGAATTTTTTAAATATAGCTTAGAATTTTATAAATATAGAAGTGCTAACTATTGAACAGCCAAAATATTAATAAATACTTTTTTTTTTTACAAATCTCTGAAAATAGTACAAATAGAAGTGCTAACTATTGAACAGCCAAAATATTAATAAATACTTTTTTTTTTTACAAATCTCAGAAAATAGTACAAATACAGGATGTTTCAGTGTTAAGTGGCCAAATTGCGAAAATTAACTTAGGATCTCTAAACAAGAAAAAAATTACCTCCCAAGGTATGTCCGCAAATGCTTTGTTCAGGGGATATTCCTAAAGATTTTTGTTTTTATGAATTACTAGCTTTATCCGGCCATGTGCTGCTGTGGCTTAGCCTGGCAAAATGGAAAAGAAAGAAAATAGAAAGCACATATGAGTGGATTAATACCAAAGGACATCTGTCATTTTTTAAAAGTTGGGGAACGAATTGGTCTGTAAAATGGCTTCAATTTAGAATAATTCTAATGATTTTTTTTTCATGATTCAACTTGAACATTCGTAATCATCTGAGTGAATCTGGAATAATAAATCTGGAAATTAAAAGTACTGCGTTTAAACATAAGGATATTCACAAATATACTTGGACATTACCGGATTCGCAAACACGAAATCAAATCGATCAAGTCTATCGCGAGGCAGAATATGCGTCAGATTATGAATTAGTAATCGCAAAACTTCGGCAAAAACTTAATATAAAAAAGAGTAAATAAAACCGTTGCGATTCCAAGAATTTTAATTTGGAAAAATTAAAAAATCCATCAACTAGAACTCAATTCAAGCTTGAAGTTAAGAATAGGTTTAAAGCTTTAGAAGCTTCTGAAGAGGACTGCGATAATATAGATAAGTTATGGGCAGGGATCAGGGATAATATTAAAGAAGCCAGTAACTTGTGCCTTGGAAAAAAGGAAAATAACAAACCGTGGTTTGATGAAGATTGCTTAAACATGTGCGAAACAAGAAAAGTAGCTAAAATAAAAACTCTAAATAATCCTAGTGAAAACAATCTTGAATATTTCCGGGCCTTAAAGAATATATAGAAAACAATGAAGAGACATGTACAAAGGTATAAATAAATCACATAAATTTTTAGGACCCGTAACGACTGGAATCAGAGATGAAAATAACAATATCCTCACCGACTCTGTAGACATATTGAGTAAGTTTAAGAAACACTTTGACAATATTTTAAATACGAGAAATAATGATCTGTGTCCCCATTCAAAGTACCAGACTGCTGAACCGTTAATAGAAGAACCAAGTAAAAAGGAAGTTGAAATAGCTATTGGAAAACTAAAATCTTATAAAGCAGTGGGGACCGATGATATTCCTAGTGAATTAATTAAGGCATGAGGAGAAGCTGGAGTTTATAAAATACATTTTTTGGGTAAAAAGAATGAGAAAATGCCCGAAGAATGGAAAGAATCCATTCTTATTCCGATTCACAAAAAGGGTCCGAGGACGGGTTGTAATAACTATCGAGGAATTTCACTCCTCCCGGTTTGTTATAAAATATTCATGTTAATCCTAACTATTCGAATCATGGAATACGCCGAGGAAATTATCGGAGACTACCAATGTGGGTTTAGGAGGAACCGTTCGGCTATTGAACAAATATTTTCGTTTCGACAAATATTAGAGAACAAATTAGAATACAACAGTGTTGTGCACCAGCTGTATATATATTTTTTTTTATAAACACGGATAAGACAAAATATATGGTTAGCTGCAAAAACAGCGACAATTTCGATGATATCGATATAGAAGGGAATGTATTTGAACAGGTAGAGAAGTTTAGGTATCTGGGGTCTACGATAACTAGAAAAAACGAAATTGAAGAGAAGATTAAGGTTAGGCTGAAGGCGGGAAATGCTTGTTATTTTTCTTTGTCAAAATTACTTAGTTCTTGCCTGCTGTCCCCAAACTTAAAAATTAGAATTTACAAAACGATTATCCTACCTACAGTTCTTTATGGATGCGAAACGTGGCCACTTACATTAAGGAATGAACAACGTCTTAAAGTTTTTGAAAATAAAGTATTGCACAGAATATTCGGACCGAAAAAGGCCGAGTCAAGCTTATTACAATTTAGGCGGTTACACAACGCTGAATTGCGTTAATAAAATGGGCATGCAAAATCGCTGAGCTCAGTAACGAAAGAATTCCTAAAAAATTAATATGTGCTGTACCTATTGGCAAGCGTCCGAGGAGTAGACCAAAGCGAAGGTGGGAAGATTGCGTTAAGGCTGACTTGGGGGGGTTGGGTTTAGACGGAACCCAGTGGATGGAAGAATGTGGACATCGGCATCAAACCTTCGGGTTCACTAAGCCTTATTATTATTTATTATTAATGGTGAATATGCTGATATGGATAACTGTATCTTGTGAAACAATAACACAGCAGCAGTGCGGTTCTGCCACTGCTGCTGTTGAAGAAAGATGCCGAGCCTGTCTTAATGCTCAAAGAAATCACTTTGAACAACATTTAATATGAATTTAATGTTTACATTTAATTAATAAAGTAGTTAGAACAAATAAATAAGTTTTATTTTCTTAATATAACGTAAATAATTCATAACAATGAAAATCTTTAGGTTTGAATATCTCCTAAACAAAACGTTTGCAAACATAGCTTTATAGGAATTTTTTTTCTTGTTTTGAAGTCCTTAATTCATATTTTCAGTTTGAACACTTAACCCTGAAACACCCTGTATACTTTTTCAAATTAAATTGGTCGGTTTGATATTAATTGATCTCTGTATAAGGTTTTGCAGTACTCCAATACTTGACCAATCTCTATTGTAAGTCGTAAGTCTTAAGTTTAGCTCACATATCGACTAATAATTCATGAAAACTCAGATTATTTATTTTTATTATTAAACCAACTATTATTGAATAATCTCAAGTATTTTGTTATGATTATTCTTCATTTGAGGGTTGTTTAAAATTACAATTAATGCTGATTGAGACTGATTTATATAACATCTAATTTTCTCATCTTGATACATACATTATATCTATTTTGTTTTTTATTTATAAATAATATTACATCAGTAACTACTAAAATAAAATAATGAAACAGGACAAATTGAGCTCGAATTTGGAAAGACTTGAAGCACTAAGAAGTCAAATGATTCTGAAGTTTGGAGAAGATACAGAGGATTTCATACCCCCTCTATATGTAGTGGAAAGTGTTGTACAAAACTCGCCTTTGGTCATGACATCAGCTAGAGGTAAGGTAAAAGTCTCAAAATAATATCATTAATTTTTTTTTCTTTCAATATCTGTTATGGAAAATTACTTTATAAGGTCTTATTTATTAATTATATATATATGTGATACGTATTTGGGTGATGTGAATAATTTGTGAAGTATAAATAAATATAGCAATAAAGATGACAAGACTGGTCCAGACCACTGAGCAGCAAGTGCACAATTGGTTTGGGTCTGTCCGCTATTGGATGTCTATTAGAGTAACATTGAATCTCAAGTGTTTTTGTTTTAAAACCCCTTAATATTAATATTAGCGAATTGAGACAAATGTTACTTTTATTTGAACAAAGAAATACCAGTAGAAATGATCAAGTATTTAAACCATACCATAAACGAACAACCTTCAGCACCAAAGTATGTTTTATATACAAAAAACCAGAGCATTTGAAAAAAGATTTCTGGTTTAATAAAGATAAAAATGGTGAATTACATAAAAACAGACCCCTGATACACTGCAAAAATCTTATTAGAAATAGAAATAGAAAATCATCTTTATTCCGGGACTAGGTCCCTTATGAATAACAGTATTGTTCATATAAATTCACAATAAATCTGGCCAAAAGACTTATTACAATAAAAAATAACAAAATAATAGTAATAAATTAAGTATAATAGCTCTTAGGGTATATTAACGAGAATAGTTGGGTAATAGGGGTTCAGTACTACAATATTGGAGCTAAAACAATAGCATAATAATCACTAAATGAAATTAGAAAGGAATGCAAAATCAATTTTATAGGCAAAGCATTGTAGTGATGGAATATAAAAATTTAAAAAAAAAAAATAACTGTTTATATATAATGAAATAAATTGTAAAAAAAAAAGAAATGATTTACATATGTTCCCTAAGATGTTTAAGTGAATACATGTAAAGATTAGGAGAAGAAAAAAATAAAATAAAGTGTATATATATACACACATAAAGAGGAGTGTGTCGAAGATAAGTAGAAAATAAAATACATTTCAAAGAAATGCAATCTCATGAATAGGAAAATTAGAAATTAAGAAAACAAATTTTACCTACTCACAATGCTTTGTGAGTGGTGGTGAAAATTCACTTTCAACACAGATTAAAAAATAAGAGAAACAAAAGAATGTATAAAGAAAATTAAAGCCTTATTACATAATATATATTTAGCCAGCATCTGATTGGATTGTGAAGAGGAATTGGAATAAGAGCTTTTTAAAGATGGATAAGGATGATGCATGGCAGATTTTTAGTGGGATGGAATTCCAGAATGCAGTGGAACGGACAACATAGGAATGTTTAAATGATGCAGATCTGTGAAAAGGGATTTAAAGATCAGGAAGACAAGATCTTGTGGAGAGGGTGTGGATATATGATTTGAATTGTAGGAAATTTTATGCGTAGGACAGACTATGATTATTGATTATTTGGTAAAGCAATGTGCCTAGGAAATATTGTCTTCGGAAGGAAGGGAAGAGCCATCCTAATTCAGCATAGTGGTGGGAAACACGGGAACGCCTCAGGTTCCTGGTGACAAATTTTAGGAAGGCATTCATAATTCTTTTCAGTCTCTCCCCGAGTTCTGCGGAGAGGCCACCATACACCATGCAGCCGTAATCAAGGTGAGAGAAGATACTATGAGTCTACGTGTGGGAATGGGTAGGAGATGGCGGAAGCAATGAAATAGTTTCAAGATACCAATTGACTGTCGGGAGATGTGAGCAATATGAAATGAAATGAAATGAAAATAGATTTTTATTATCCTGGGACTTTTGTCCCTTTAGGACAAATTATAGATAAAGACGAAATGCCTGTGCGGCCATAAAATTAAATTAAATATTTACAATGTTCATTAAAATAAAAATATTGGAAGAAAATACATGTGAAAATAATAAAAATAAAATAACATAATTAAACAAAACCATTTCTGGGTGAACTTAAAGAGTTCTCTTATCTAGTTTCATTGATCGATCGGGTTAGGAAAGAAGTAGGTGTTTTTTACTGGGAAGGTGATGATGATGGGATGGTCATTTAGGTACAGAATAGGAATGTTGGTATTGTTGGCTCTGAGAAGGGATTTCAATGACAATGGCTTGAGTTTTTGCAGCATTTAATCTTAATCCATTTAAGCTTGCCCAGGCACTGACTTACTGTACGTACTGACTGTCTTCTTGAATTTTGGCAAATGCATCATGCAACTCTGAGGGATGGAAGGAAAGGTAAATTTGGGAATCATCGGCGTAGATGTGATGGGAGCAGTGAAGAGTTGATTTATGGATGTTGTTGCTATAAGAACTAAAAAGGAGAGGAGATATGCTAGAGTACTGGGCCACTCCTGAGGACAGAGTAAGATAGGAAGACAAGGGTTGATTAGGGATAGCAACAGCTTGTGAGCATTAAGAGAGGAAAAATTGAAACCACAGGATAGAACTATTGGACAAGGGCAATGATTTTAATTTGGAAAAGAGAATGGAATGGTTAATGGTATCAAAGGCTTTGGAAAAGTCAAGGATTATAAAGACTATTAGTTTTTGGTCATCTATGGCAGACTGAGGGTCACTAATGATTTTGATTAGGGCGGATTGTGTGGAGTAACCTGATCGGAAACCAGATTGGTAAAGGTCAAGTTGATTGGACTGTTCCAGGAAGTTGGAAACTTGGGATTGCACTATTCTCTCCAGGGGTTTCAAAAGGTTAGAAAGGCCTGAGATCTTTCTATTGAGATTGGCCGGAAATCTTCAGGGGAAGACGGGTTAGAATTTTTATTTAAAGGACGGGCCGTGGCTTTTTCTTTTTTCCACAAGGAAGGTAATACTGAATTATGAAGGGAGAAATTATAGATGAAAAGGAGTACCAGAAGGATTTCAGGGAGGCATAATTTGATTAATTTGACAGGAATGCCATCTAGACCAATAGAATTAGAGTGTGATTTCTTCACGGTGGATATGAGGTCTGTGGTAGAAATATCTTAAAAATAAAAATCGTCGTCATTGAAAGATGTTCCAGGAAAAAAATAAAGAAGAGGTAAATGGAGGAGTTGAAAAGAAAGTAGATATAAAATAAGAATTTAAGTCATTTGGTGAAACTGGGAGCACTGTAGAGGGAGGGGATTTGGAAAAGGAAGAGTTTACGAAGGAGTAGCCATTTGGATTTGGAATTGGGAGCTGATGAAAGGGCTTCATGAAAATAGGTAGATTTGGCTTGTCAGATTGTGGTTTGTGTCAGGTTGCAGAGCGCCCTAAACGCTTGATATTCGTCAGCCAGCCTAGTACGTCTAAAGCGTCTACAGGCAGCATCACGCCACATCTGACTGACACATCCAAGAAGCAGGAAGGCGACGAAAGGTGGAGGTTTTGAGAGGGGCATGGATATTAATAAGATTGGAGGTGAGAATGTCAACCATGGAATCAATTGAGGTTCAGGAATATATTCTATTCCAATCTAGGGATTCCAGGGAAGGTAAGATTTTTTTCCAAGTAAGACCATTAAGGTTACAGAAAGTTATGGTTCTAGGTAGGATCGGAGGGGTTTGGATACAAACAAACAAAGAAACAAAAGAAGGTTAAAGGAAAAGATCAAGATTGGAGTGTCAATGACGGTGGTAATGATTTAAATATTCCCAAGCCAGATGGAAGTGGTAAAGAAGAAGTTGAACCAGAAAAAAAAAAAAAAAAATCAAGAGGAAAATAATCAGGTTTGAGGCAGCAGTAAATGATATTGTTATGCCAAAGGTAGCTGAAATTAGTGACAAGGATTTTAAACTGGAAGAATCTGATTAGAAAACAAAAAAGAATGAGGGAAGAACAGAAGGGTAAGGTTAAGGTTAAGTTTTCTGAAGGAGAAGATAAAGTAAATGAAGAGAAGGATCTTTAAAAGAATAAAATAAAATAAAAATAGACAATAAAGCTTCTGAAAAAAACAGTAAGTTGAAAAGACTGAAACTAACACCAAAACGGCAAAAAATCCAAGTCCTTCAAGTCCAGTTGGAATGAATATTGCAGAAAAATGTGAATATAAGGGGAGGAAGAGAAGGATGTAATGGAAAAGCTTGTAGTAAAAGCAGGGCCAGCCAAGAAGCTTATATATAAAGAATGGAAGAAAAAAAAGAAAAAGCAAGATTGTCAGAAATAGATGGAGGCATTGATAAAAATTGGTAGACAATAAAAAAGAACACACCTCATAAACAGTGAGCTCCACTTCGTCAAAGATACATAGAGAAAGGAGAGATCGAAATTGTCTACAAAGAGACAAAGACCAGATAGTAGACATTTTAACCAAGGATGTGACTAAAGAAGTGATGGAGAGAAAATTAGATAATACCTTTGTATTAGGGCTGATGTATTAAGAAAGAAAGAAGTTTTTGGAAGGAAATTGTTGAGGAAAATTATTTTATTGTTTCTTATTTATTAATTGTATAAATGTGATATATTTGATTGATATAAATAATTTTTAAAGTATAAATAAATATAGCAATGAACCTAGAAACACTGGAGCAACCAATGAGCCGCATGGGCATGCTTGGCTTGAGTCTATTTGCAAGTGGCATCCATAAGAATAACATTGAACCTCGACTATGTTTGTTTTAATACCCCATGATCCCTTAGCACTATCTCCTTAGTTCTATTATGATAGTTCTATTTACATGGTGCCATGCCTTAAGTTATTTTAGTAAATGATAAAGTAATTTATCATTTTATGCACGTTATTTATATCTGATGACAGATGCCAGCTTTCTAATTACTGCAAAGATTATATTCTAGGTTCTCAGATTTATTTTTTAGTTTATATAACTGCATTTTTAGGCTTTGCTTTAAAGTAGCTTTGGTATGAATATACATACTGCTCAAAAATGAATATGGATATTTCTGAATTATTCTTATATTATTCATTTTAATTAAAATATCCTGTTTATTTTGATTTTTAGGAAGTCTGTCCCTTATTTGTTGGTAAACTAAAAAGTAAACGACCAGTATTCTTTATTTCTAATAAATTATTAATTATAGGATAGTCAATATGAAGAATATTCTTTGTGTAAACCAACAGTTTTTTTTTGTCTTTTCATTTTAATCCAGTAATATTCTGAGAAGGCATATTGAACCAAAAGTTGGCAATATTATCGTGAGAATGATCGGTCAAGGGCACCGGCAAGTGAATATTGCTGATTTAGGTAGTGTCTCCCAGAATGTGGTCACCCGAGCTGGCAGTACCAATAGGAGACCTGTTATTGGATCTCAACACATCACGACACTAAGGGATGACAGAAATAATGGTATTACTGCAGGAAGTAATCCTTTTCATAATGCCCGATAGTGCCTAAATGAAATTTTTAATGTTCTGCTGAGACTCTTACCAACACAAACCATTCCTAATCATTAGTGAAAAGTTGGTCTAACATCTTATGCTTTTATAAGATGACTTGCAGTAACATCAATTAGCCTTCTTTCCCAATTCCTAATATTTTCTGTTATATTTTCTTGCAGTATTTTGTTGCTTTCTTCTATTTTCTGAAGGAGTATTAGAAACAGGTTAGTACCTCCTGAACTAAAATTGTCCTCTATCTTCTTCTTCTTTTTGGCCTGTGGCTGGGTTTTCTTCGGGATTTGAATCACTGTTTCTTCAGTTGATCTCAGTTCTGTTTGTTTGGGTGTTTTCTGATCCGCTACTGCTTCAGATCGTTTAGGCTTTGGTAGTGTTTATTTTTCTACTCTAAGAGCCATCTTAAAAAGTATGTGTGTATGTTATCCCTTTTAATTTAATACCTATTTTAACCTTTTAGGAAGGAGTTACACGCTATCATGAAAATAATTCCCAATACATTTAAAATTATTCCAATAATAATCAACCACAATGAAAACTAGCCACTTTTAATACAAGACCATTAAATAGGAGAGTGAAGATTTTCGAATATTAAAAATAGGTTTGACACAACTTATTGAACCGCAGAATCAGCATAGTTCAAATCAAAATAAGAAAAAATTTAACTAAATTTTGTACGTTATAACATTCATCAGTTTTACAGTCATTACCTTAAATAATCAAATTATATATATTAAATTATCTCAAACTAATCGAATTCATTACATTCGAATAACCGAATTAAATTAAATCGAAGATGTTTTCCTATTGTACGATTCTTAGTACCAACATATTACAATGCCACCTTTATTAATCATGGGTACGCAATTCTAAAAATCAATTAATTTAATCTTAGATACAAATAGTAAATTTAATGATACGTTCTTCACACAGGATGCCATTTTAAATGCTGTTACTTGCCTTACGTTTCTACGGCGAGTAGGGGGTTCCAGGAACCGTATTTATTTGTATTTATATATATTTAATATTTATATTTGTACTTATATCGGTTCCAAAAGGGAACTGATCAACTGAAAGATATCTGAATTATGTATTTGAAGGTTAGATACCTCAGACCCCCTACTGTAGTATCCTAGATTGAGTCATATAATTTTTATTGAATTTCTTTTCTAAAGGTATCATGTTTATAAATTTACTATTTGTTTCTATAACTAATAGGTGGCATGCAAGGTAGAACGTAAAATTAACAAGATGGTTTACTAACTAATATATTTACAAACTTAAATAACCAAAAACATATATATACAAAATAATAACCAAACCTATATACATAATGAATAGTAGAGAATCATACTAGAGGAGAATGCTATTTTTTGATATGCCTGATTTAAGTTACTTTGATCTATTTTCTATTAATGATTTATGGTTTGCCACACAAGTTTACATATAGATAACTAAATGAACGTTACCACTTTGCCGCTTCTTCAGTGTGAGCGGGGGTTGCCGATGTCTCGAGCTGTCATCTCATAGCCGCCTCCTTGGACACTCCGTCGATCTGCTCTCTCCGGCTGTCTTCGTCTTCCTCCTTGTCTTCGTCCCAGTCCTCTATTTTCAACCTTTCTAGCCTCTCTCTTTTTGAACTTTTTCCTGATTGTCTGAATTTTCCTAGCATAGGGGATGACCACGCCCTCTCCCCCAGGCCAAGATATTCCAGCAGGTATATTTTAGGTATTTCTGGTGGAAGGTGTGAAAGGTCTTTCTGGAAGGTGTTAATGTTTCCTTTGATCCTGTTTAAACACTTAGATGTGAGACTGTTGTCGGTCCTTAAGTGTTTCTTTGCCCCTGTAAGAGCGATGTCGGTCTTTTTGGGTTCTTAAGAGTTTTATTGCTCTCTCTCAGGTACCCAACCGCCCAGGTGTTAGCAATTATCTTTAAAATATATTAATTTATTTGAAATAATTAAATAAATTCCACAGGCGGTCTTTAGAATACATAGCAATACGTGACCTGATAGGAGAAAAGTTGGTCACCAATGTCTTAAAAATCTGGACATTTCACATTTGCTCCTTCTTGCATTGTCCCCAGATCTCAATTCCATTGAGCACATCTGGGATGAACTGTAGAGAATGTTTGTTAACAACCATCTACAGTTTCTTAACCTTCAGCAACTGAGAGCAGTATTACCATGTTTCTAGTATGAAATTCCTTGTGAAATCAGTGACAACACTATAAACAGTATGCCCAATAGGTGCAAGGAGGTAGTGCATAAAAGAGGATATTACACAAATTATTAAATTTTATATTTAGCTACTATAGTAATACTTTTCAAGGGCACTCAATGTTCTTGTATATTGTGTCTTGAAGGAATATATAAGCCCTTATACTTTTAAAAAAATTTATTTTACTTCCGACTACGTTTCAAGCTGATAAGCTCTTTATCAAGTCATCTACAAATAACAATTAAACAAAGATAATTTACAGCTCTGGTCATTTATTATCTAGTCATATAACGAGTGAGAACTTATCAAAAACATTTTTTTATATACTATAATATATTTCAATATATAATTTCATGAACAACTATTTGTAGTACACCAATTGTCACAGATAACTACATTCCTCGTCACCATCTCCCTTAAAGTTTTGCGCATCAATTTAAATTGCGCCTACAGTAAAAATTTATGTATGCGATTATTTAAGAAGTTATACGATTGCTATTATTGATTACTATTGTTTCATTTAAACAGTATGCTCAAAAATCAGTGCCTCTCATATTCTCAGTCTCTACTAAGCTGTTTTATTCCAGTGAGGATTTTTCCTCAATTCTCTCCATTTTTCTGGGTATACACTTCGTTTAAGATCTTTGGAGGGCCATTTGGACTTTATCAATTGGTCTAGTTACTTTTAATTTTCTATGTTTCATGCAAATGACGGACATGTTTTACAGAATTTTCTTTTACCAAGTTACCAATCTTGGTAGTGACTAATCACTTATACTAATCTTCTAATCACTTCCTGAGGCTTTCATTTGTTATAATTTATTTGTGTGTTTCCTGTTGATCTGCATAAATATCTCATTTCAAAATCACCAATTTGGCTTCCAGGTAATATTTTGACACCCTGTTAGGATAAGAAGGGAATAACTTTTAATTATGTATTTTCATATCTATTTTCACTTTACTGTTTATCTTTGTTTCCCACATGATCTTCTATGTATTTCTCTTAGAATTCTATTTCCTCTCTTAATCGATACAATTTCCACACTCAGTTATCTTATATTAACTTGTATTTTTTATTTCATTTATTTTTATTTTTCTATTGTATGTTTTATTGATATAGCAATGATAGCAAATAATGTTCATTAGGTTATATTTTCTCTCTGTTTCCAAATTTTCATTAATTTGAACTGCATTTCTTTACCATCAAAAGATTTTCTTCCCTTAGTGTGGTGGCAGAACTTTTAGATTTAGGTGACAAGTTTATTTCAAAACCATTGTGTACCATTCAACATTGTAAATTGTTTTAATTCATGACTCTACAACACTATCAAGAATAGCTCAAAATGTAAATAAATTACAAAAAAATATAATAATTCGTGGAAACAAACAACAGTGTAAAATGACAAGAATATATTTTAATGAGGACTTTGAAAAAAAAAATACTGGTTTACTAAACTATCAGATATTTTACTGCAGTAAAACAGATCTTATATAATCATATAATGTCATACATATCAAGTATTTAAATTTAACAATAATTTCATTTTAAATATCAGCATAATGAATTCTTATATACAAATAAAAACATTATTGACTTAGCATTTGCTGGAAAGGTATGAATACAGAAGTTCTAGAAGAGGTTGCTGAATCACTTATCCTACTTGGAAATAATCAACAATTAAAACATGACATAGAAAATCTACGGATGCAACTTGATGAAGCAAAGGAAATTGGATATGCAAATGTAATTACTTTTATTTTTTTTACTACATATTTAGAATTCATAATTAAATCAAAAATCCTATTATTCCCTTGCTTGGATAATTATAGTCATTTTCGGTTGCTATTCCAGAATTGCTATCCTTGGCCAGAGGCTTCAGTCTTCAGCCACTTTCTATTTTCTCTACTTTACCTCATCACAATTAAATAACAGCTCAAAGGCAAGTTTATGTGGCACTATCATACAACTTACCATTTTCTATTTCTGTACTCTCCAATTTTATTGACAAAATATTAACACAATTTAATTATGTTACTATAATCTTAATATTAGGATATGCATGGTGTTTTAGGATTAAGTGGCCAAACTGCAAAAATTAACTAAGGACCTCAAATCCAGAAAAAAAATTCCTATGAAGGTATGTCCACAAACGCTTTGTTTAGGAGATATTCACATCTTAAGATTTTCGTTGTTATGAATTATTTACATTACATGAAATAAATAAAACCTATTTATTTGTTCTAACTACTTTATTAATTAAATGTAAATATGGTTGTCCTGGACATTACAGAAGAGGTCCATGATAATGGCTAAATGATAATTATCCCAATCAATGGATTGACCAGTGACTTGCCCTGCACGCTCTCCAGACCTGACACCATTGGATTTTTTTGTTTGGAGTGACATTAAACAAAAAGTCTAAGCAAGTCCGGTCAATGACCTTAAATCCTTACTAAGAAGGATAATTGAATCTTATGAAACAATAACACATACCCAGTGCCGTTCTGTCATTACTGCTGTTGAAGGAAGATGTCGAGCTTGTCTTAATGCTCTAGGAAATCACTTTGAGCAACATTTAATATGAATTTAATGTTTACATTTAATTAATAAAGTAATTGTTGCAAATAAATAAGTTTTATTTACTTTATATAACGTAAATAATTCATAACAATGAAAATCTTAAGGTGTGAATATCTCCTAAACAAAGCATAGGAATTTTTTTTCTGGATTTGAGGTCCTTAATTCATATTTTCAGTTTGGCCATTTAACCCTGTAGTGAGGGAAATAAAATCAATCTGGGTTCAACAATGATGTAGATAAGACAAAACATACTGCAGTGTATAGACAATGTTATCCAAGCAACAAGATCAGCATAGATGAAAATATTCCTAAAAATTAATAATTCAGAAAAAAACAGACAGCTATAAATGAATGAGCATGTTCTTAATTATTTTTGTCAAAGAAATAAAAATATAACATGGTCATAGTCTATTTTTAAACATTTTTTTTCAGAAAAAAGAAGATGATGTGATTGCAGATCTAAAACAAAGAATTCGAGAAATGTCATTAACTCTAGCACTTGCTGAAAAAAGACAGGAGACTCTTGAAGAAAAAATGGAAGGAAAACAAAAGGAAATCATTTCACTCAATAATGAAAACAAGCAAATGAATGACCTTTCCAGGCAAAGAGACCAGCAGTAAGTATAGAACGAGTAAAATCATTAGATAGAAGAACTTGTATCTTCAATACAAGGTACTTTAGTCTCTGGATCAGACCTCCCTAACATGCACCTTCCCCTCCCCCTCCCCACATTCCTTTAAATTGCATATTGTTGTGTTTCTTGTAACTATTTATTAAAAAAATGTTTGGGTTGAAACATTGGCAAAAATAAAAAAATTTAAAAGGACTGCGTCCTGAATATTTATCACCCATGATATGTAGAACAGTCGACTAACTTCCTTCAAAAATAAGTTTTACTAAACAACCCGGCAACTATTCATTATATGTAGTTCTAGGGTAGGTGATTCTGGCCCACTGTGTACTTAATTGATTGTTTGGCCATTCACCTATTTCAAAATTCTATGTTTTTTACATGTTTATACAGTAATTAATTAGGAACAAATCCTAAAAATATAATGTTCATTTTTTTGTTCCAAATGTCCAAATAAGATTTAAAACAAAAAATATTATTAAATAGTATCTAACCAGTTTGAGATGAAAATATATTTTTTTATGTAATTTTGATTTTATCTACTAAAATGTTCTTGTAAAACCAGGGACAATATATGGCAAAATTAAAAGAGTAAATAAAAAACAATTGCTTTTGAACAAAACTATTTAAGCTGCAATATAAAAATATATGTAAAAATCACACATAAACTCGATACCATGATAAGCTGGTTGAACTTCAATCGAAATAAACACAATCACAAATAAGATTTTTCTTTTTTACCAACTCAGAGTAAAAATTAATTTAAATTTATTGAAAATTACATGAAGTACTTTTAGTCTAAGGGGCGGCTACTGACTGCTATCTGGCAATGTTTATAACCTGAACACTGATAGCTCCCATAATGCAGTGATAAGCCTTCTCCTACTTCATATCTTCGTATTGTTGTATTAAATTCGTATTATTGAAAGTGTAAACAGATACAAAAACAAATACAAAATAATGAATTGCCTGTTCTTCTGAAAACGGTAAATCCCATATTCTGAGATGATCCATAATATGACGAAAATAAACGAAAAAAAAAAATGAAAAATAAACACCAAGGGGTCACAAACTAAAAAAAAATGTAAAATAAACACAAACAGGCCAAAAACTAAAAATAAACACAAACGGGCCAAAAACTAAAAATAAACACAAACGGGCCAAAAGTAAACAATTTAATAAGTGAACGTAATGGAATAACTGAAAACCAAACAATGCAATAACTCAAAAGTTTGGCGGGAAAAGAAGAGGGAGGTTATGTAACATGATGACATGACCTTAGATAAGATAGATAAGAAGTGAGGTTTCAAAACGGCCCCTTAGATTATAAGTATGAATCTAAGTTACAGCAGTAAGTGTCATGCCAGTAAGGTTTGGAATCCAAGAAACAATACAGTATAAATTAACTCTTTGAATAAAACATAAAAGTTTATAACCCCATAAAAATATTGTCATAACCTAACTTCCACTCCACATGATCAGTACCTTTCCCATTTCACTGTCATTATATTGTTAACAATTAATTATATTAATTTTAATTATTGAATGGAATTCAATGAAATTGATGTTAGGAAATTTCTATACTATTCTCCAAATTTCCTCCAAGTTTGAGTCAAATCGAATGCGTAGTTTTCAAACTATTGGCTTGCCAAATAATACGTTTGCTGATCCGAAAGCGAAAGTATTTTTTCTAGGAGAAGTGGATAGAATTTGATTAAATTCATACCTACTTGATTATCTGTTTACCAATACCTAACTTCCCTCCAAATTTGAGCCAAATCGAACTTGCGGTTTTAGAGATATAGACGTATCATGAAAAACATTTTTGCTCATATATACGAGAAATTAGTAGGCAGAATTCAATAAAATTGTCTTTACATTATTTTTTCAACATTACCTACCTTTTATCTAACTTTGAGCCAAATCGAACGACCCCTTTCTGAAATATTGGCATATCTAAAAAAATACTTATGTGCCATATAGTGTGTAAGCGGAAGTGCTAGATGGAATTTGATGAAATTGATATGGGATCATCTAGGCACCAATCTGCATAATCTCTGAAAATTTCATGAAAATCAGATGAATGGTACTAGGTGATATGCCCGTCACATCGATTTGACTACAGACAGACATCGAACCAAATTTGATCCTTGTCTGAAACGTAAAACGCGAGTGGAAATTTTCAATTTTGAGCACACAATTTTTTTAACCTCTCTCACGAACACAATGCTTCCCTACCTTTGGAAGCAAAAGAGATTAAAACAAGAGAATAATAATTGGACAGTAAAATAAATTGTGCCAACATAAAATATCTGGTGTGCACAACACACAACTTTCCCTTGCCACTCTACTTTGAATTTAAATTATTTTCTGGCAATGTTGAGCGATTATGAAATTTTTGAAGTGCATTTTTAATCGAGCTAAAGTATAAAGCTTACAGCTAACAAACCATTAATACAATTAATAAAAAAATCCTATTTATTATATTAGCGGCTGATTATGGATTGTACAATCCGTTGATTATGGATTGGACGATTATTGGTTATTAAACTGTTATTTACATTGCAAAGTTTACTAAAATGAAATCACGAGATTTGCATTGCCTATCATAGATAAATCAAAAATTGTCAAACTAATTGTAAGTGCATCCTGTTAGAACATCACAAAGGGAAAATTCATCGAATTATTCACTGATTTAATTTTCTAAAAGTTTATGATGATTTTTCAGAATAAACGGATGATAAATACCAAATTATTTAAATATATCATATCTATAGTTATTAAACTACAGTAAATGTATTTAAGGTTATAAGCATATGTTTTACATGAACCATGAAATATTTTTATATTTCATTTCTTCTTTCACCCAAGTATTATAAAATAGTATTTTAAACAATGTCATTGCCTTGATTCAGTGGATTTTAAATACTTTTTTCAACCTTAAAAAAAAATTTAAAACTTAAAAAAGTTTAGATTTAGTAAGAAAATTTCATTTAATTTCCTTGGAAACATGTGTTAATTATGTTAAATAATGTTAATTTTCAGAAATTATTATTTATATTTTTTTCGTCACTCTCTGTTACCTTCTACAGCTTTATTTATTAGATATTTTTTTTTTCTAAAATTCTCCATTTTCTTACGATATATTATACGTATACCTTCTGACTATTATTTCCGGAGATTTGTTTTCAACCTCGATTTTTCTTTTTTCTTCTCCTTTATTCAAATGCCAAATTCTTTCAAAAGTTATATTTAACCTTTTTTCATAACTCCAAGCAATGATAGATTTTTTTGTATATAAAATAAATCAAATTAATTGATACATTAGAGAAAGATGTATATGAACATGAGTGTAATTAAAATCGTTAGAGCCGTTTTTGAGAAAATTGTAAAAATGTGTTACATCAATTATATAAAGTGCCACTTCTGGTTTGCTAATTTTGACAAAAAAAGTTGCCGTAACATCCCAAACATGTACAAACCTTAAATACAAAATTTCAGTTCCAGACAACTTTTCATTTTTGAGCTAGACTGTTCATACACACACACACACACACACAAACCATTTTGCGACACTTGGTTATTTGGACTGAGAGGACCTCAAAACACTGGGATTCGTGTGTGGCGCACATGCACAGGACCATACAGACGCGCACACGCACAGGCGCACACAGACCAGTTTGCCTGACTGGGTTATTTGAACTCAGGAGACCTTCAATCGAGTATTTTCATTGAAAACTCTGATTCAAAAATGTTCACCATAGCAATACTTATACTTACTATATATTACATACAGAAAGTAAAAAATCATTGATTTTGTCAATTTTTCTATATATTACTAACTAATTTTGACTTGGTTTTAATTATCAATTATAAATATCAGAAAATGTGTGCTAGGGCTTTTTCTTTGTTAACAAAATTTTCATCACTACTAAATAATTTAATTTTGGAAGATGGTGTACTGAAAAAATACTTTTCTTCAGATTTTGGATAAAATATATCCCCACATATATTATTACAGTAACGCTCGAAATTGATTTGTACCAAATATAAGCTCATGTCATGCTCAAATACCATGAATGAGGTACCGTTGGATTCAAAATTTCACGGGGGGTTAGCAAACCGTATTCTTCACTTTTGTTTTTCTTTCTAAAATAAATAAACTCGATACAAACATTTTGCTAGGCTTCAATACTGGAACGGTGGTAGGTCTGTAGATCGATACGGGACAAATTGGATCTTGAAGATTTTGATGCGTACAGCAAACCCGGATAGTTCCTCCGGAACTATCGGATCCTGCGTTTTAAGCCTCTAAACATACTATTTTCGAGATAACGCAAGGCATAGGGTTCGCATCCACACAACCTTACGTTAATTATAGTACTGTCATTGAATACATGTCTCATTTTGTCGACTTGAGGTCTCTATGATCGAGAGAGGAGAATTTTATATTATCGATGGTGTTTTTGATCGGCAAGACATATCATCGTTAATTTTTCACTAAATCTCAAGATTGAGCCACCAATTTGGAAGGCTTCCTTCTCCTTCGGGGGGACAAAATAGTACAATCACCTCAAAAATTCAGACAAACAAGTTATGAAAGAAAACATACTTCATTTGCGAATAACTGGAAAATTACAAACTTTTCCCATGATTTTATAAAAGATTACTAAATTCCCTACAAAATGAAATAAAATCATCGAAATCGGACAATTTTTAGCAAAGATACAGTTTACTGAAATTTGTAAACATGTTGGTTCCAAACAAAGATGAAGATTTAAATTAATTTTTGTTTCCTTTGTCGATTATATTTATCGATAAAGGAACAATTGATTTCTTTATCTTTTGATATGTTGCATTATTTTATTTTCTTATTAATTTGGCATTTGATATGAATATACTGTGCGAATTTTTAGCACGGGCATACTAGTTGAAATATAATAAAAAAATTGTAAAAAAAAAAACGAAATTGACAAAAGAGTAAGTGAAATTAAAATTTTTTAAATAAAAAAGTATATTTATTCTTAAAAGGGGGTCAGAAGAATATATGTAGGCACTTAAGAAATATTGGTGAGAGGAGAGGAAGGGAAGTGTAACATAATAACATTGTCTTAATATTTGGGAGGGAAATATGTTAATTACCTGTAATTTGATATAATTATTGCCTATAAAGTTAATTGAAGGTTTTGTATTATTTCAAGTAAATGACTTTGAAATATTGGAGGGGATAGCCCCCTTCATAAAATAGTGGGGTGAGAAGTAGAAAGTGTCAGTGACTATGGTCAGAAACGCCAATAAAATTTCATTTTAAAATGTTAGTTATAATCATGCTAAACCTAGGTAGTGATATTGGTATAAAATACTTAGGCAAAAAAAATAAATAAACATGGTTTATTATAACTGAAGTGCCATTATAAAATATTCAAATTCCTGTTATTAAAGGCCGCTCCCTCTCCTCCACTCTTCCTGTATATCCTTTATATTCTTCCCCTCTTCCTCAGCTTGGCCTTCTATAACATAGTGTACATAACCATCATAACTAGACTTTGCCCCTAAAACATTTAGAAAGATCAATTATTTTATTTTTTAATTGGATTAGATGTCACAATATGATAGTAGGATTGCAGATTAGGGATGATCAGTTGTGGAATACAGATTTGAGCATAATGCTCTTTGCTATCTTGATACATTACCACTCACCAATAGGTGAGTACTTAGAAGTGATCCAATATTCCGCCTGGTCAGATGATCCTAATTAACCAGCAATATGAGACAACTAACTACATGTATAGGGCATGTGCTCAACCTCAGCAGCCTGAGTTTTAACCCAGCAATAGGCTAAGAACCGCAATATTAAAATTAAAAAAGTTTTATAAAACTGAATATATTTTAACCATAATTATATGTTTATTAAAAACGTTGGTATTATGAACTAATAACAATCTCTATATGTCTACAATATGTAATCTAATTATTATTTATCATTTATGTAAATGATTGTTTCATTAAATGATAACTGAAATTATAAATTACTAGACTATCAGCTTTGAGGAAACAGATTGAAGAGAAAAATAGAGAGTTGGAAAGTGTTCATAAGAAGCTTGCTGAAGCAAATAAAAATTTGCATGAAGAATCATACAACAGGTGAGAACAAAAATTATCTTTTTCATTAAAATATAGTGTATATATATTATACTAAGTTTCTTAAAAACTGTATCACCTCAACCCATTTTCTTGGGTTCATTAGTTAGTAAGAAAGTATTATCTAGACAAACGGTGCCAAGGAGGTAATTCGGCCAGGATAGCTCTCAACCACCAGTTTTTCCCCCAATTAAGGATGTGCACAAGTTCTGTCATGAGGATGAAGCAGCTTATAACTCCATAGCCCTTGGAGCCATCATCGTAATGTCCTTTTCTTCAACTCCAACTCACTTGGAATTAAGAACAGTGACAAATCGGTTGAGTTCCGTGAATTATGGTTGTCCAGGAGTAGCTGGGGCTATATATATATTTCTTTCCCTTTATTATCCATGGACAAATTTCCAGATGGTAAATAATACGCAGAAAAAACACCACATCCAATCCAGGCCTGCAATTAACCATTGACAAATTCTATCCTCTGCATAAAGTTTACTAATTTTAAACCTGGAATGTTTGTTGTTGTTATAGTTAGCTGGTTTATCAGATGATTAAATGGCCTCCCAGGGCTCCATTAAGGAAATGGGCTCTAGTTTTAGAATTACCTAAGTTTAAATGTTGTTGATTCCATTATAGTAAATTAAGAGAGGAAAAACATAGTAAATTGTTAAATGGAATAATATTATAATGAAAAAAATAATTAATAATAAATGAAACTGAGTGACTTACACTCGTTGTAGTTAAGAAAATAAGTACCAATCTTCTATCTGACATCTTCAGCATTAATATTGTTATTTTTTTATTTATCAATTAAAATTATTTAATAGAGAGTTGAGTAACATTGAACATCAAAAACTAATGGAGGAGAAAAATGAAATTGAAAAAGAAATGCAAGAAATGAATGATAGGTTTACAGATTATGAAGAAAGAGAGGAATGCCTCAACACTATACTTGAAAATGGTAAGATAGTAATTAGATAACAGAATTTTTAGCTCCTGAAAAATATTACTACCTATTAGAAATCCAAGCAAATAACCTCATCCTTTTTCAAATAATAATTGATAGCTTTAAACTTCAACCATACAATAATAAGTAGGTACAGAACCATGTTTTTACTTCGGATGGGATATAATGTCTGCAATCCTAATAATGTTCTCTCTAGTTCCACTTTTTAGAAGGAGGCTATTTCTTTGTTATTCAAAATAAGGTTGCTCAAAACTCCTCCGCTCAACCTGAGGGCTTGATTATAATGGAAATGACTTTTTTTCTTCAGATATTGGCTATCATTAATAAACTAACCAACAAATTAAATTTATTGCTCTTTGAAAAATTATATTTTTCTGATACGTTATTTGAATTTTTGTTAATAATTATGTGTTTTCGTTTTGATGCGGTGGTAAAATTAATGTTATATATTTACAAAAAAAAGTAATTTAACAAAAAAAAAAAATACCAATTTGTTACATTTAAATATTTAAAAAAAAAACTATTTTTTTTTTATAATGTCAAGGCATGGAATATAAAATTACGATTAAAATCTCTAAATTAATAAGATGCAGAAAACCTATATTCAGTTTCCACAATTATATTCCTGAAAATATATATGCTTTAATTATATGATGGTATAGCTGGAAAATATTCAATAACTTAATAAGAGAGAGAGAGATACTAATAATTAGTGTGATGTATGGTTCTAAAATTATTATGAATTAAACCGAAAACAGGTGTTAACTATGGATTTTAATTTCTAAATAAGTTTAACATGATAATATATAACTGTATTTTTCAAAGTGAGCCAATTTACAGTATGTTAGCTTAAATTAAACATATTGGAGTGCTACAAATGGGTAGTTTCTCTTCATGTTGTACATGTCACGTTACTTGTTTCATATTTACTTGATCTATTTATCATTTAATACAGTTGTAAATTTCAATAATAATAAAATAAATAAAAAATTAAGCACTATTTTTTTTATTAGTCTATTCTTGCAGTTTTAAAATAGATTTGATGATAAAGGCAATGCTACATTACTGTAAACATTAGCACTCAATTATCTCTAATAATTTCTTATATAAGTATTAATTTAATTTAAGAATTATATGATATAATTTAAAATCAAGTGATATTTACACATTTTTCACAAAATTACTTTTTGTTTGAATGATTTATTTCAGAAAAGAAAAAAAACAAAAAATTAGAAGAATTATTAGGTCAAAAGGAGGATGAACTCAATGTAATGGAAAAGAAATTGTTTGAAATGGTATGTTCACATTTATTCCATATAAAAAAATAAAATGGAAAAATAATTGTTTTGATTAGGTTTTTTCCTAAACTTAAGATCTAATTTTTTACATTGTATTTAATTTTAAGATAACAATTGCATCGTGGTTCACAACCATTAAATTTGTATAACTAACCATCTTGTACTCCCAACAAACATTAATTTAATGCTCTATTTGATATAACTTATTATATTTATACCAAAAACTAATATTACTGTGAGTTTTAAGGATTCCGCAAAGCTCAGTTTGAAGGTGTGTTTGATACACATCTAGATTAATTAATTTTATTTTTTATTGGTTTAATGAAATGAATCAATGAATGGATTCGTTGGCAAAAATGACTAATACACCCATCATTTTTAAATTCCATATTTTTGGACTAAGTGCCCTTTTGTTATTAACAATTGTGCATTAACTCAAATCTAGTTATCTGTTTGCATTTTGATTTTATTTAACATAATCAATTAATTAAATATACATTTTTTATACTTGTAGGTTAGGACTTCACATTATTATAATAATAATAACACTCATATTGATCACAACAGTCCTATTTTTAAATATTTAAAACAATTGGACGGAATTGTTTTAAATTTTTTTTTAAACAAGTTTCATTCCTTGAAAATGACCTAAGGGCTGAAACGCGGTGTAAAAAATAAAATAACGACTGTTGTGATCAATATGGGTGTTTTTATTATTAGAATTGAATAAAGTTATAAAATTATTTTTATTAAATCAGAATTTTTTTTAATTTCTTCCTTTTACTGAATTATTTGATGTTATATCACTACTTTGGGAGAATGCTAACCCAAATAAAAATATAAAAAGTCTCGTCTTTAGCATAATCGTAATCACAATGTTGATTATGATTAAGCAAAAATGGAAAATTGTTCAATTTTTTATTTCTCCTACATTTCTAAAAAATATATGAATATATATTTAAACATGTATCTACACTTACAAAGATACCATCCTACCAAAAGTTAAATTTTTAGTTGTGTCAATCTTCTTTAATATACAAAGAATTTTTATATAATATTCTTATATAAAATATTTCAAAATTTTAAACATTCATGTAATAAGTTATGTTTAGGAAGCCTCTTCATCAAGCAATATGATGATTGTTAATGACCAACTTAAAAAAAAAGATAGAATAATACAAGAACTTGAGGTCATGAAAGCAAATTTGCAGGGTCAAATAAGAGAACTGTAAGTATAGAAATTCATTACCTATAACTGAGCTAACATTTAAAAATAAGTGTTGTAAATCAATGTTCAGTTAATTCTGAGATGGTGTGTTGGTTTCAATTTGCTAAAAAACCTTTTGCAGGCCTTTTGTGACAAAATAATGAAATATCTGCAAACTAAATACTTTTCATTTGATCTGAAATTTTAATTTAATGATATTTTCATTGAAGTTTGGGACTGCCAGATGATGTCTAGATATATCCTTATGATACTTATTAAGTTGATACCATCACAATCACACAGTGGTTGTAGCAACTTAACGCATGTCTGACTTGCCTCTGTAATAGTTATAAAATATACACAGTAACAACATAACAACAAACAACAAGTTGGCTCCTACTAATAATTCGCAGAAACTAGTTTTACATATTATTAAATTTATGCTTATTACAATAATTTTAATACAAAATCTAAAATCAAAGGCCTTATATATCTGGTAACGTATACTTATTCCAATCACTTTCTAGGTCTATTATTGGCTGCTCTATTTAATATTTTTTATTATCAAAATCAGGTTTATGGTTGTTTCAACACTACTTCTAGTGAGGGCTGTGTCTAATTTTGGCATTATTTATAAGTTACTAGCTTTACCCGGCCACGCGTTGCTGTGGCTCTATCTGGCAAAATGGTAAAGAAATAAAATAGAAAGCACATATGAGTGGATTAATACTAAAGGATGTGGCATTTTTAAAAAGTTGAGAAACAACTTTGTCTGTAACATGGCTTCAAACTAATTCTAATGATTTTTATTCATGATTCAACTTGAACATTCTTAATCATCAGAGTGAATACGCCGTTATTCTTGATCATCAGAAACAGTCTGAGTTGAACTTATAAAACTAAAATTGATTTTATCTTGTGTTTATTTTTTTTTGTATTTAATGTTCAACTTTGTGTTGATTATTTTATGGCAAATAAAAATGTAAATGTTCGTTTGTTCAAACTCTTAAATCTCGGAAAGTTCTTCACCCGTCGCATTGAAATTTTGTTTTAACTTTGTATTTAAATATAGCTACTATTATGAAATATAAAGTGAAACTATAAATATTTATTAAAAACTCACCATCAGTTGAATGTAAAAGCAACACATGTGGTGACAAATATTTTACGATACTGTTTCAAAGTTTTCTATTTCAAGATTTTCAAATATCAAATGGGCCATGCATTGAAATTGCGCTATACCATTTACCAGAGCGTTCATTTCGTGTGCATTACAGCTGCCTTCCACCTCCCTCAAAAGATTTTGTATACCCTCTCATCTAAGATATTTGATTGCTTGCTTCTTCTTAATAACAACTTGATTAAATATAGAGTCATAAAATAAACCTTGGAAAAATAAACCTTACTCATGAAAAAAACCCTACAGTAAACGGTACAATCTTATTCCAATGTAATGTTAAAGAAAATAATTTATTAAAAAATAAAATAAACTGAAATCAATGAAAAACTGATTTCTAAAAGGAACATAAACTGTGATAATTATTACTCAAGATTTAAATATTTTTAATTAATAGCAAATAAAATATTTGAGATGTATCACACTACTAAGAAAACATTAGGGAAAACAAAAAATGAATATAAAGAGTCTATAATAGTATTGACCTATATAAGGATAATCATATAACTTTTTCAAATGATAATTTCAGTTACTGCAGTAATTATAAAAATTTCGATTAATCAATAACAAAAAACAAAAGAAAAGGGAAATGGCCTTTGCTGAAGAGAAACTAGTAATTGTTTAAAACACTATAACTCTGCAACCAATCGTCCGATTACGATAATTTTTTTATTTTGTAGGAAATTCAGGAAGTTTTCAAATAAATATGGGTATTATCAATCAAAAATTGTGTACTTTTTTAGTTATTGGCAAATAAAATTTTGAATTCATCGTAACATTTTTCTGCTTGTTTTCGGGAAAGTATGTTATATGTATAAATTAAAAGAGTTTCAAGAGGAAGACTTTAGCCAAGTTCTGTTAAAATCGTTTAAGCCGTTTTGGCGCTGCACTTTATATAGTCACGCTTTTCGGCTGCCATTTCGAAACGAAAGGCTGGATGGTAATAAAATGTTCAAGAAACACTCCTGAATTTGATTGCAATGCTGTGTAACAATTTCAAAGGAATCGGTGAAGAACTTTCAGAGAATAGCGGCTTTGAACAAAAAAACATTTATATTTTTAATTTTTCTACACAAATAAAATTTTTGTGAGACAGAAGTACTACGCCAGAAACCTTCGCGGGTGTGAACGCAACAACTTCCCAAAGTTTCATAGCGATCGGATGAATGATTTAGTGATACATAAAGAACAAACAGACAGACATACATTCATTATATAGAGAGAGATTTCTAGAATACCCTAATTAAATTCAGGTATTGTGTTAGCTATAGTTATAATATTTTCACCAAAAGGAGTATATATATTTTTTTTTGTTAAATTTTTTGTCTGTTGGCCAGAAGAAATATAAGGGAAGATCCGAAAACGTACGATGCAACAAACTTAGCTCAATAAGTAGCTATTATTTTTTTAATCACTTTAAATTTTTAATATTTTGTTAAAGTATGTTTTAATTTTTGAAACAAACCATTTTTTTAAAAACTATTTCAACCTCATATTTTCTTCTACTTAACAACGTATTTTCATAACAGCCACTTTCGTCATACTAAGTTTTTCTTCAGGGCTGATGCACTCCCTGATGTTAAATTTACTTGATATATTGTCCTTTATGCTTTTAAGAATATAATGGGTGCTAAACATTAAAAGGTGAATGAAAGCGATTCATATCATAGGTTATGTTTTTGAGCTGAACAGTAGAGCTGTCGTATCGGATCGTGACGGGTCTTATGTAACTACGGCCTTAGATGTATTGAGGCTCTTTCATACCAAAAAACAGACTGAAAATTTTCCACAAAATACATTATCCTGAAAAAGTATATTCAACAAATGATTAACTCTTTGTAAAATAGTAATAAAATAATTGAAATGAAGATTAGATAAGTGTTAATGACCTCGTGGGTTTTACACCTATATAAGTCCTAAATAACAAAAAAAACTTTGTATAATAATTTTTACTTCTGCTATTAATATTTCACTTAACTTTATGTATAGTTTTGAAAGTTTTTAATTTAGTTCATTTTTTTATTTGAATTATTTCAGGTGTTGTTTGCTGAGTGATATGTTTGCTTTAAGAGGAATAGAGTACAATACTGATCATATTCATTCCTCGATCTCTGCTGGATCAATACCGCAACTAAAGGAAGAGGTAATATTATTAATTGATAAAAACCTGAGGAGAAGATGGTCCAAGTGGCAGTCAAGAATAACTCCAAAAAATACCAGAAACCTTATATATTTCGTTTCTACTATTTTTACTTTCATTTTCCTAAATATTTAATATATAGCAAGGGTGTAACTGCGATCATGAAAAATTTTAAATATTAGTTTTAAAGGATATATAAATTCAGGTCCTCTTGAGTCAAAATAAATATGGCCCACAAAATGTTTTGTGTGTATGTGAACAGGCTACCAATAAAACAAAAAATGAGAATAACTGAAATTTCGTATTTAAGGTAGGTATGCCTGGGATATTACAGCAATTTGTTTGTCAAAATTGGCTGACCCAGAAATACTGCTTTACATCATCGATTTTACATAGTTTTACAATTTTCTCAAAAAGGCTCTTAACAATTTTGATTATACTCCTTATGTCAATGTAAAATTAATAATCTTTAATATCAACTAGGTGTAATCCTCATTGATGTAGCATAACATACTTTAATAAATGTTGAATTCTTAAAATGTCTTCCCTTAAAGTACCTTCAATTTGATGAATATAAAAATATAAAAAATTTTGATAACTGACTACAGGAGAAGAAAAGGAAAAATATTTTTGAGTTTAAGAATGAATTTCTGGAACTAACAGAATGTATCTGTTTGATATATTATTGGAAATTTAAGGAGAACAATAAATGTAAAATAGGACATGTGGTGAAGTATGTATGAATAGCAGGACTAAGATATTTCATGTGTTACGATTGACATGAAATATGTGATTCGTATTATTTTAATGGCCTTATTAGTTCTTGGATTGATAACTATGTCTGAAATTCATAAATGTGTTCTTTAAGATTAAGTTCTGTTAAAAATATACTTCAAAAACTTTTTTAATAGCCTGATTTTGGCAGAAAATAATTTCTACTCATGTAGAGTGATGATTGAAAGTTGCTTAAAGCGCGTAATAGATTTTTTGGAGTTATTCTTTACTGTCACTCAAACCTTAATTGGATCTTAAATTAAATTTAAGATTTAACTGAAATTGAGAAATTTTTATAATTTAGTGAAATGTATTAACAGACACATACTATATTCATCCATCAAATATTTTCATTTTCTTTTATTTTCGTTAATAGCTTAGTATTTACATTGCTTAAAAAAATGGTCTATGGTTGTGTTTGGACTATTTTACCTAAGAAGTTCAAGTTGTTAACTACTTTGAGTACTTCACCTTTATAGTATACCTCCTCTATTAAAAGCATTCTTAAGGTACAGAAAAGCTATATACTGTTCCTGCCTGTATTCTATAATTTTTCTATCTTATCTCTTGGAACAAATGGTCCTTGGTCTGTCTTCTATAACAGAAAGCTACCTGTCTCTCCTTCAGCTGCTTGGACTGTGAGGACTTTAATTGGAGAAGGTTGTAGGCGTAAGAAGGACGATGATTGTTGATGATTTGATAAAGGAACATACCTAGGAAATATTGTCCTAAAAAGGAGGAAAAGAGCCACTTTAACTCAGTGTAGTTGTGAGAGACATGGGAATATCTCGGGGCACCAATTACAAATCTTATGCAGCTATTCATTAGTCTTTTCAGTCTATCACAAAACTCCACCGAGAGGCCATCATACACCACACAGCTGTAGTCAAAGTAAGAAGTTAAGTTAGAAGTTATTTTAATGAGGGTGAGAGGAAGATGAATTCTATGTAGTCAGCCAAATATATCGAGGTCCGAGGTCTGTTCAATCAGGATAACTTTATGGATATCCTCCTTCTGACATCGCACCTTTCTGATGGCAAACCACGTATATTTGATTTTCTCCGCAGTTATCTTCTGTTGAGCAAGCCAATATAAGTGTCTGTTCGTGGGAGTCGTTTCCTCACTCGGATATACCCGGTGGCAGTCATTCTCCCACCAACCAAAATCTCAAGTGGAGAGGTCACTCTTGATTTTTCTTTTCGCTATTAAGTCTTCTCTGACTGACATAACCCTTTAGCTATGGGGTTCAGATTTAGTAACTAAGAAACAAATTTTATTAGCTCAAAATTATGGAAAATTGGCTCCTCTGAATAAATACAAAAATAGACATGGTAGTCTTTACCTTTGGGGTACAGAATTATCAATCATATTAAAGAAACAGTACTTTTTAATCCTAAAATTCTGGATTGAGTTTTGAATAACAATATATAGGTTATTATTTTTACTTTTTAAAAAAAATTATTTTATTAACTTGTGAGTTTTCATATTTATCATTTTATATACTTATATAATCCATGTTATATCTTTACCATTTAAGCTAATGAAAGTGATGGAAGAACGAATAGAGGAAGGAAACAAAGCAATTAATGAAGCAAGATCAAAAATTGTTGAATTACAAAATCAAGTGAAAATTTTACAAATAGAGCTTGAAGACAGTAAAATGATGTCAGAAAGACTTTCAAATGTTATAACTCATCAGAAACCTTGGGATGCAGACAAGCCATGGGAAGATCACCAGAGACCGTGGTCTTCTGATATGGTATAATATAAAAATATTGTAATTATAATAAAATTGTATTTTGAATTATTTTCATTTTTCAAAATGACTTCATGGTTACTTAATTTGAAGGTTTATCGTTATACAGGGCCAGAATTAGGATTTTTTTTCAGAAGGGGTAATCTTAATTTTCACATCTCACCACTCTTCCCCAATTAAAGACAACCTTTTATATCAGTATTTTAGATAATTTATTTCAAAACAATTCTAATATTTAAAAGAATATTTTTTACTGAAACTAAAAAAAATTCTTGAATTTACTGCTCTCTAAATTCTGCTACTTGGGGCAAGTCCTTTGACCATCTCTAATTCTAGCCCTGTCATACTTTGAGACGTCAGTACAATTTTTATCGGTAGAATGGAAGTGGAAAATAACAAATTTTTCATCAACCGTGAGGTCGGGAGACACTCCTGAGGCACGCCCAGCTTTTTTTTTTTTTTTTTTTTTTTTTGCCTGTTTTAAGTGCTCTACGACCTTTATTGTTACTAATAAAATATTTTGAAAACAGCGTATATAAATAAAAATGTAAATGTTAGTTTGTCCAAAACCGCTTATCTCCGACAGTTCTTCGCCAATTGCTTCAAAATTTTGACACAATTTTTAGGATTTTCCCTGGCCAGGGGTTGTGAGCGGGGATTTAAAAGACTTCCCCGGCACCGGGACGTGAGCTCATGACTATTTTTATATCTTTGATTCATATGTCAGGTTGCCGGGCAACGGCTGTGCAGTGCACACGCTTTAGCCCATTTGGCCACCCCGCCCACTATGGGCACGTCCAGCCTCTATAAAATGGGTACTGTTAATTAATAATTAATTAAGAGGGAAAATATGGCGGTTGAGCATGATATTTGTCGCCTCTGTCACCTCCCTGCTCAACCGTTGGCCTTGAAACAGTATTTCTTTACAAAGTACTGAACTCAAGACCTTTCACAGGTTATAGTAGCACAGGTTTTATAGTTGGAAATAAATTTTTCCAATAGTTTTGATAGTTAGTCAAAATATTTCACCATTTAAACAGTGAGTACAAAACTATCTGGAACTTTAATTTTTAAAAAAATTTGGTAAAGAAATATATTAATTTTCCCAACTCTTTGGATTTTCACTTTCTTGGTACAATTATTGACTTCTTGTAACAATCATTTTCTTTCCCATTCAAACACAAAATTTTATCGATAAAATAACAATATTGTATCGATAAAAATTGATTTTTATAACTGTATTTTTTATAAGTTATATAGTGGATGTATTGTTAGTGTAATAGTAATCAAGTATTTTTGACATTTTTATACTATCACAAACTTGTTAATGAAAAATGTTAATATTATTTATTGTCATTATTTTTTCTTCCAAGGCCTCAGCAAGACATGCAGTTCATAACAGTATAATAGAAAATTCTCTTCGGGACAACAAAAGCTTCAGAGATGGGGATATCCACAGTCTAATGCCTTCCATAGCCAGTTCATTTGTTTGTTCTGATGTACGTATAATTTAAAGATTTATTTTAATTTTTGACCTCTAATTTGATTAAATGATTTCTTTATATTTCAATATTTCAGCTTTCCAAACTTAAAATTTTACTTCCTCCCACCAATTATTTAATACTACTCTCATATTTAACAGACAGACATTTTGTACTAAAAGTAGGTACAGAACATTCAAACATTAAATCTATTAAAGCAGGAGTAATTCAGGATAGTGTCCTTGGACCAATATTGTTTATTATATATATGTCTGACCTACTGCAACACAGTGACACTCTACTGGCTACTTTTGCTGATGATACTGCAATCCTCAGCTCAGATAAAAATCCTGTTCGAGCATCCACCACTCTTCAAAACCACTTGAACGATATTGCTGATTGGGCCACAAGGTGGAAAATTAACATGAATGAAACAAAAAGTTTGTACGTAGTATTCATTCTTAATCATACCCCTTTCCCCAAAATATATTTTAATAACATTGAAATTCCTGCATCCGATGTAATTAAATATTTGTGTTTTTACCTGGACAAAAGACTAACTTGGAGGACACACACTGGACAAAAATGCATGGAATTGAACAGATGATACGGTCTTTTATCCAGATTACTTGACAGACGTTCAAAATTATCTTTGACTAACAAACTAACTCTCTATAAAGTTTTACTTAAACCAATTTGGACTTATGGCATAGAACTGTGGGGTTCTGCTAAAACTTCCAATATTAAAAAAATCCAGTCTTTCCAATCCAAAACATTACGAAGGATAGTTGACGCACCATTTTATGTGCCATACGATAGATTGCTTAAAGTCTTGAACATCCCAACAATTTTAGACTCTGCAAAAGAAAACTACAATAACTTTCACCAAATACTAACTTACAACAAATCCTCTGACAGAAAACCTTTAAACCCACTTGAAACTCGTACAGCCCACCTCCACGATTACGTAGGCGGGGGCCAAGAGACCTACTGAACTGAACTATTTCCTGGATTGTGATGGGACGCTGTGAAGCTGCCAAAAAATTCGCTCATTGCAAAGAAATTTGCAGATCGCAAATTTAATTTTTTATGTTTATGTATTAATAAATATTTCAATTACAATTTATATAACAAACAAAGTCAGAAAAAGTAATCGAAATATAATAGAGAAAATATAATTTCAATTAAAGATATTCATTATTTCATATCAATTTTAAATTTTAGATTGTCAACTGATGGCTTCAACAATAAATATTTTTTTCATATCCATATTTTATTGAGATTCACAGATTTATCTAATTGATTTTGTCATTTCATCATTATCATTATATAAACCTATTTTGGAAACAGTCAAAAAACAATTTCATACATTAGTAAGTTTGTAATAATAAAATTTACTTAATAAATTATTATAATAATAAAATTTACTAAATAAATTATTGTAATAATAAAATAAATAGTAGTCTTTATTTTCTAAATTTTATTGTATTTGAATAATAAATCCTATTTTAATCAATCTTTGTCAAATTTTTATTATTATTTTATTTTTATTAATTCTTCTTTTTATTTTTATAAAATAACAATATGTAAAATTTTATCAGAAATTTACTACTTTATTTTTATAGGCTACAATGGCTAGGAATAATTTCAATGAACTTTTTGGTTTATTGGAAAGAAAAAGAAGACAATTGTTACAATTAGAGAGGAAATATCAGGACATGGAGGAAGTTCATTCTCACTGTGCACAAAAGCGTTCACGTAACGAAACAAGGATAGCTCAACTGGAAATGATGTTAGCGTAAGTTCAATAGACAGTTTACTAAAATTTTGCTCATAATTTTCTTTTTAAAAAATGAGAAGTGATATAATTTCTAAAATTTATTGGAATGAGATATAAGTTGGTGAAAAAATGAATCATAAATTCAATTCAATTGGTATAATGATTGATACAGTTATACATTCTATTTTATAATGTAAAAAAAAATAATCTATTCAAGAATTAGAAGGCCTGGTGGTATTCCAGGTTGAGAGTAATCAAGTGCTAAGTCTGTTTTAAAGCAATATGGAGGAGCTTGACAAAGAAAAATTGATTTTCCCTACTAAGTATGGCCGATTATATTCCCTTATGTACATAGAAAGTGATAAATATCAATCATATATTACATTAAATACCATATTCCCTAAGGTTAAAACTGTACAAATTAGATCATCCAGCACATTACCTTATTAAATTAATATTTAATATGTATTATTACTTTAAGCCTAAGGGAAATTGCACTATTGGTAAACTTAATGAATTAGAGGACCTCTTCCATAGTTTTGTTTTGTACCCAATTTATACTGCTTTCCACCTTCATTTTCTACCTCATTCCTTGAATATGATGAGATTGAATTATATGGAATTATTCAAAGTTGACAATGGCAACTTCCTTACAAACTTGATTCATTATACTAGGCTGTACGAAATTTTTCATTGTCAATTCGATTTTGTTGATCTGTTTATTATAATAACAATGATTAGATATTATAAAATTATGGTTAGGATTATGTGTTGTTTATTATCTATGATAGCTATAATACTTGAAAGAATTTAAATGTTGCATATCATCAGCCGATCTGCAAAAGCCTGTAAGAACAAAAACTAAAAAGTTTCAGAAAACGAAAAAAACCTGCATAATTTTTGTTCTATGAACATTATATTTTTGGTTCAATTTTTTTAGCAGGTCTAAGACAAAGATGAAGTGCTCTATGTAACTTTTTTTATTGTAATCTTTTTTTATTGTAATTTCATCCAAATAATCTTTTAGAGTTATTTCCATAACTTACAGCTTTTTACTTTCTTTGAAAAACAGGTATTAATTAGGTGAAAGCAATAAAATTAATTGTAGTAACACTCATAACTTGGTTAATAATGATCAAATCATGGCAGAAACAAAGTCAGTTTCCAAAATGTATAGAAACATTACTTCAATAGAAAATTTGTAAAACATTTTACTGGAAAGCGAGTATTTGATCACATGGGCTATTAATTTATTTTGTCCTCCGCTGTAGGGGAGGCTCAGTTGGTATACATAAAACCCATTTTGGAGTATTCCATGAAAGAAGAGACTAATTTTCTTTAGTTCCATTAATATTGTTAATCTCTGAATGGAAAAGAAAAGTGTGTCAACTGAGTAGAGATCTATTATAAATTAATTCTGAATCTGACTTGCCTCCAAGGTACTTGATACAGACATCAAATCCATAATCTCATAAATAATTAATTATAAATAGAAGTCCAAATGATATAAAAGTCTATTTAAACTAGTGTTTTTTAGGCAACTTTCCAATTTGAATTTAATTAAGTCAAATATCTCTAATGAGTTCAAAATAGGCAACATTCAACTTATTGGCAAAATTTGACTTATTTATGCAGTTAGTCATACTTTTCCCTCCACAGTTGGAGGGACAAGTCTGGTTTGGAGTTCTCTTGCCAAATTGTAGATATTGTATATAGGTGTGTATGTGTTTTTTTTATTTATGTATGGCTGGGTATATCTAGAAGTAGATAGGTATGGCTGAACCTTCTGGTAAGGCCCTCACATCAACTAAAAAGTACCCGTTTGGGATTTTGACACTACTTTTGAGTAAGAGTAAGTTGAAATGTAAGGCATAAATTTTATGTGAAGGGAACCAGTTAGGGATTGGTAGTAGTCATAACCTGTGACTTAAATAATGAAAAGAAATACTCATGAACACGTCAATACTGAGCCATTATCAAAATTTTATTTATAGTGTGATCATGGGATTCTTGTTCCCATCTGTCAAAGTAAAACAACTCTTTTGAAGTTATATCTTTTTTAATAATAAATGCTAATACTTTTATAAGATTTTAGGTATTCATTTAGCATTGATTTTCTTCCATTCTGCTTAATTTTTGTTTATTATTGTTCGATATTTACATCCCTCATGACATCTCTTTTCAAAGGTTTAAAGAACTGAGTTCAGATATGTAAAAACATTTTTATATATCAATATATATTTTTTTAATATATCAAATTACTATCTTGATATATTTTTAAAATACATTTACTATATATATATATACATATAGAGAGAGAGAGAGAGAGAGAGTTTTTTTTTCCGTATTCACACCCCTATTGTGTAGATGGTTGTTACAGATTGCACAAACTGTGAAGTGTAATAGAGGGAATAAAACGCTAAGATGTCCAAGTTGAGTTTTTCAAAAGTTTTTGAAGTGCAGAAATCAACACTAGATGTATATAAATGTATGATTATTCAAAAAGTGACTTTTCTTGACCCAAGCCTTATCAAATAAAAAATAATTTTGAAAAAAATCTTGTATCATTATATTTTATCATTGTAAAAAATCAAGTACATTTTTCTATACAGAATTCAGTTAATCGGCTGTAAAATATGTAAATATTTGTATTCGATGTCATCATCTGTTCATGGTCATCTTGTAAACATGTTTGTGAGGTTTGGAAGATTTTCTAATGACAAGATTATTGTCAATACAGAATTCTAATTGGTTCTTCTGTTATTGTTCATTATTCTTTCGCCTCCATGGGAACACATGCATCAATGAGCTCTTCTGTGATTTCTGTCATTCCTCTTATTCAGTTCTCTCTTGACTATTAAATTTCTACTTCTACTTCTTTCAATTACATGAGCGAGGTTCTTGTAGAATTATTCCACTTCCATCACAAATGAATCCTTAGTTGATGCTTAGATCTGGACCAATGTAACTTTTTCTTCCAGAGAATGACATTGAAAGATGTTATTCTAGAGTTGACCAGTTCCCAATCTTGAATTTCTAGAAAAAGCTGATCATTGAAAATCAGTCAAACTCACTCCTTTGCTTGGTTACTCTGCAGAACTCGTGAATAGAACAGGCTGTATCCTTTGCCCAGATTTGTTTCTCCAGAACAATTATTTCTGATTTTGCATGTCCCTGGGATTCTAATTTTTATGGGATTAGATCTTCTCCACAATCTCCACTTCCTTTCAATAGAGTGTGTATATTCTGTGTACCGAATCTGATATCCTCTTACAGACCAGGTCGTTTTAGTAGAAACTGTTCATCTCTCAGGCTTGTACTCCGCTATGGATGATTGGCCCTGTAGAGGAGGCCCCATTGTTTACTGCAAACTGGTTGTCAGTTATACTCTCTCTCCATACTCCATACCAGTTATACTATAAATTTTAAATTTAAATGGTTATATTTTATAAAGGGAGTGGGTTGCCTCAGTGGTAGGGTACTGAGCTTCTAACACTAAAGGTCCCAGGTTCAAACCCCGGCTCATGGCAGAAAATCTATTTATCTCTTTCATTAGCCATGGGGCGACCCTGGGTCAGGAAACCCTCGTGGGGCACACCCAGCCTGTATAAAGTGGGTGCCCTTAATTAAATAATTAATTAAGGAGAAAAACCTGGCGGTTCAGCATGCTATTGGTCAAATCACCTCCTTGCACAACCGTTGACCTAGAAACAGTGCTTTCTCTAAAGTAGTACTGAACCCAAGACCCTTCATGGGTTGTAGTGGTACAGGTTTTTTTTAATATTTTATAAATGCATTCCTAATTTTATCTGTTATTCCTGGTAATATATTTCTCCTAGCTCAATTTAAATTTATCCTAATATATATAAAATAAACAACATTTTCAATTTTCCTGTTAGTAAGTCATTAATTTTTTAGTTTTCATTGAATCTAGGAAAATTTTACTGTCCATATTGTACTGATTTTCTTCTGCAATATTGGGTCTCTTTGTAAGTGTTAATGTACTTTTGAACAACAATTTTTCTGCCTGGTCATTTGCATCTGATTTTTACTGTCTGTTTGTCAGTTTAGTTTTGTGATATTGCAGTAAAGATAAAAAAGGGCAGTATAGGACTTCAGTGGGAGTCTTGGGCTGACAAAAAAATAAATAGATTAACATCAAGTATCCATGTTTTTTTTTTCCCTATATCCAGAGTTTCTAAGAATAAAATTCCAGTAATTTAGAGAAAGATAATCTACTTTTATCAGGTTTTTCAGAATTTATAATGAATTTCCCTTTAATATTGCACATGGTGGGCCAGATCCCTCTACCATGCACCCCTCCCACCACATCCCTATGGCCAATGTTCCCACAAAAAAAAGTGAATGCACTGCCCCAAAATGCCGTCCAAACATGGCAGACTGATGACTTTGGCTTGAGCTAGTTTTTTTGGTAACTGAGAATCAGCATTTAGCTTAATTTTGTTTTAATTGGTCTTTTATTAAAGCTGGTTAGTCAGAGAATAATAAAACAATAAAAAATAGTTGGCTTAGGCAATAAAAAAACCACCATTCGATCTTTTAAAAAAAAAATCAGTAATTACAAAAAAATATGTTAAATTACAAACTTTATATAAAAAATTAAAGATATTCAGTGAAGTATTTTAGAATTAAGTTTAGTTATTACAAATATATCATTTTTTCAATAAAGGCCCTCTTGAACATCCTTCGTATAGAATAAAAAAAATAAAATATAATAAGTAAAAAAAATGTTTAATTTTTTGAGTAATTAAATTATTGCATTAATATTTGTCTGTTAATACAATCAAAACAATACACCAAAAACGTTTTTATAGCTCCATAACTATGCCATTTATTAGTAGTGAATGATGTGGCAGAGACCTATGCCTATAGGTGCGTCAAAAGGCGCCTGCCTACACCAGTATTGCTTTTCTGTCGATTAAGTGCATTTTATACAGAACTGCTTCAAATATTTTAAGAAGTAATCCGTGTTTTAAAAAGTTAAATGTATTCTTCAGTTTTATTTCAAGGCATTTATAGTTATTGTTGGCCGTTTGATTACAAGTGATGCTTGATTTTCAACATGAAAATTTTTTTCTTGTTTACTGGTGTTTTTTATTGCTTAAGCTAATTATTTTTTAATGTTTTGTTATTCTCTGACTATCCAGCTTTGATAAAAGGCGAATTATGAAGAAATTAAGCTAAATGCTGATTCTCAGTGACCAAAAACTAGCTCAAGTCGTCGATCTGCCACGTTTGGACGCCATTTTGGGGCAGTGCATTCACTTTTTTTTATGGGAACATTGGCCTTTTTTTAATAAATAGTTACACGAAACACCAGCAATTTATATGGAAGTGGGAGATAGCGGTGCACAGCAGTGGAGTCTGGTTCACAGTCTATTAGTTATCTACCAGGCGGGTGTGGAAGCATGGCATGGTACCATGCACCAATAGTATTATTTTATTGGAAAAGCATACTGCAGCTCCACACTGACGTAGTGGATGAAGCCTTTAGATTAGAAATTTCATTTATCTTCTTTATTTCTTGGATAAATTAATGTTAATTTTTCTATGTAAAAATAAAATTAATGTTTTAATTTTTCTTTGTAAAAATAAAATTAATGTGACTGACAAACGTTCACTCTAAATAATAAACCACATTCAAATAGTTGAGAAATTTGATCCTAAGCAACAATTATTATGGAGCATGAAATAAATTGTGTTCAAGAGAGATTCTTTGGTTGAAGAACCATAAGTTCTTTGGTTGATGTTCTCCACACTGGCCTAATTGATGACTAGCTTTAGATTGCAAAAAATTGATTGAAAAATATCTCTATGTCAGATTAATAGAGTAGCCAAAGTTGACCGAAAAATGAATATGTGCAGATATATTGGCAAATTCCTAAGCTTATTTAGCTAAATTTCTATTTCCTTGAAAGCATCTCACAAATGAATTTTCGTGGTATGACCTTAGGGATTTCACAAAAGTTCCTTCCTTTCATCAGCATTCCAATGGTATGTTCCACTTGGGGAAGTTATATAATCTTAGTATAGAGATATTAAGATCGGGAGATCAAAAAACATTTGCTTCCTACCTCAAACAATTCAAATACTTAAATAATATTTATTTTGTCATAGTTTTGCTTTCTCAAACATTAGAATTGAAAGTGAGTTAGTACTTCAAATATTTGGAATGTCTTTTACTATTTCTCCAATAATAATACATTACCTTTACAAGATTGAAATTGTTATGTATATCTCTAAAATCATACATGGTTTCAACATTATTGTTTCTAAAAAAAGTGAAAATAATATAGTAACATATATAAATTTTCATTAAGGTGTAGCTACATGTGAAAATAAAAATATCACTGTTAAGCAGAAAAAACAGCTAAATCATGATAGAAATTTTTGTGTAGAAACTAGAGATAATGAAGAAAATTTTCAAAAATTGATCTTCTAATGTAATATTGTTGGAGAAATAGTAAAAAGTATTGCTCGTGTCTGAGGTAGTAACTCACCTCCAACCCTGAGTGGAATTAGAAAAAAATGATGTCTTTGTTATAATTTGACATTAAGTAAATTCTAAACAAGCTGTTCACTGACCTACTGCTACTTTGTTCTTCTGACTAATCCCATTTATGAAAGACTTATTTGTAGAATAGTTATTTTAAGAGCTTGAGTTATTTATTGTTTTTTTTTTTATCATCAGTTATGAAAGTTATTCTGTACTGTATAAATCATGATAAATTAATCTTTATTTAGTGAATTTATGGCCCAATTTCAAGGTAATCTTTTAGATAAAATTGTATGGCAGTTTACTACGTCGTGAATATTGATTTAACTGAGTGACCACAAAAAAATACGCTAATCTATCATTTTTAAAAAGTTGAGCAAAATCCATTTTTTGTAACATATTTTTAATTTAAACCAATTCTAATGATTTTTTTTTCATGATTCAACTTGTGCATTCTTAAATAAAATCATCAGAAACGAATTGAACCTATAAAGCAAAAAATGGCTTTTTCTTCCACTTTCTGAAAATAGCAGATGCCTGTCTTTGATATGAAACCACTCAACTATAACAATCATACAAATAGAATGAAACACATATATCCTTTTGAGAAGTAATGAGTTTGATCAATTTATCATATAATAACAACAATTTTGATCATATTTACTTTATTAAACATGTATTAAGAATTAAAATTGTAATAGGTAAAAATATAGCTTTAGATAGAAAATAAGCTTCACAACTAAATGCTCAATTTTTCTTAATAAAAATAAATTAAATTGATTTTTTTTTTTGTTTTTGTTTCATTTTTATATATGAGAAACTGAGAGAGAGGATTTTCAAATGATTACCCAAATTTGCTGTCTTGATGTAGCTAACATTATTTTTTTTTTTTTAAATGTTATTTGAAAAACATTTTTTTAAACTTTCTTCTCTTTTTCATGATAATTAGACCTTTAAATTTTTTTAGTGCTTTTGAAAATTTTTCTAAAGAAATGAGAGGTATAAGAACTTGTAATAGAGCAATTCTCAAAATTTATGAGAGGCAAAGAAGTTTTGGTAGGTTCAGTGCAAACTACTAGATGCTCATTTTTCTGAAATACTGACAAATAAAAACAAAGAAAAATAATTTATGTGTGTGATATTTTATATTTATTGCTTTAATTAATTAATTTTTTATATTCTATAAAATTAATCTTATATGCACACAATAATATTAAAGGAATATTTGTAATCAACTCTCACTTTATAAATTTTGAAGTGAGGTAATAACCATTGTGGATATAGTAATAAAGTTTGCATGTCTCCTCCTTTCATCCAGTTACTCTGTTCTCATTTGTTAATTTATTTTTGTTGTTAAACTTATTTTTTATCCTTCAGTCATTTTAATTGCTGAACAACATAATTTTGTTTAATTTAATTATCAATATAATTAAACTATTATATTGATATCTGTAATTTGCTAGTGTCAAAATGTTTTGATTAATTGATGACAAAAGAAGAATATTATAGTTAATGTATCATTTTTTCAAATAGCATTCAATTATCTTGTTTTTAAAATAGATTGGATCATAATATATCGTCATTATAGCAACTGTTTGGAATCTAATAAAATGAGGATCCAGCTACTCTTAATACTCTTTAAAGGCTGCATTCTTTGCTGCATTCTTTTACTTGAATGATTCCACTATTCTTTTATTTGAATGATTCCAAAATATATAGAAGAAATTGACTACTCAGAAATTATTCTTTATACAGCTTAGATAAAATAAAATAAAAAATTAATTACAAATGACAGGTGGTTATTATAGAAAGTGGAGTCTCTTCAAGCTGTTTACAAAGTTTTGCCAAGAGCTATGACTTTATATTTTATTCTTTCTGTGATATTATTTTTCATACAATATCAAATTGCTTACTTTGTTTCTATTTTTTTCTTGTACTTACAATGTATTTAATTTTTAAAAAGTTGTCTGAAAGATTTTTTTATGTAATTAATTATTATAATATTTTTTTTTAATAAAACACATCTTGTTTTATCTTTTTATCTCCTATATATTTACAACTTATTAATAATATTATACAATTTAAGCATTATTTAAAAGTAATTTTACACATTAATGTATATTTTTTTATGCATTTTTACTGCATAAAAATGTATCTTCGATTTTTCATTAGCATGCTCTCCTAATAGAAATGAATTTATTCGCTTTTTATTCTTATAATTCATTGGCAGTTTTCCTTGTAAAATGTTTTACAATAAGAGCACACCTTAGGTGCATTTCAGTTACTCTAAAACATCAATAATGATGTACAAAATGATTATAAATTTTGAATAATTTCTTTTATATGTGTGAAATGAAAACAAAAAAAAAAGTATAGAAATAGAATATTATCTTTAAAACTATTGAATAAGGCTAACTATATGAAATATTTTGACATTTTACATAGTGATATATCATTTTCAGAACCTACAAAGGATAGAAAGTCGAAAATTTTGGATTTGCGATATTATACTAAAAGTAAAGTCTAAGTGGTTGTATGTACTTGAGAATGTAAACAGTAAATATATATACTACACGAAAACCATTTTCATTTTAATAGTAAATCATTAGACAATAGTTTTATATGAATCTCTTAATTCTTAACTTATTTATTCTGTGTAAGGTAATCTACAGTCCATGGCTTAATGAATGAAAATGCCTTTTTGCATTGGACTGAAATGTTAATGTTAAATGGAATGTGGAAAAGCTCTATTATATTACTTTGTCACAATTACTTAAACACTTGACTTTTTTTTTATATGAAACTGGATCACATGCTGTTCTGTAGTATAAAAAATAGTTGTTTTTTTATTACAAATTCATATTATTTATTTTAATTATTTTTGCTGTCGATTGTATGGTGCAAGACATAGAAATTACTATCTTTCATTATCTATTCAGTAACCAATCAACAAATGATTAATTGCACCATTCTGTTTTTCTTTTTAATTAACTGAATGAATTTTAAAATTTAAAATTTGATTAGATATAGACATAAAAAAAAATCCATATAGAAATAGGGAAACTTCCTCCTTCTGCCCTTTTATGACATTTATTTAAGCAACTATTCAAAATGTTTAAATAAAATTATATTATACTTTATTTATTCTAATAGAGACACATCTGTCTTCATTCGTGTATGAAACTCACTCATTCCATTGAAGTTTAATGGAATTCGGATTTTGGTGACTATTTAGGACATACTACTAAATCATGTTTTGAAATCAGAGAAGAATAGCTGAAACTGTGTTTGCAACTTTTTTTTTAACTTATCATTGGTGTATTATAAAAAGTCATAAAGTAGAATTTCGTAACGTTGACCCATAATGTTTTTTCCATTTGTAAGATTGGAAAATCGTGTGCTTGCTGTAACTGGATTTGATGTATAGAAAGGTTTGTGTCATTTTAGTGCATTTATTGTGTACTGTTATCGATAAATATGGTAAAAATTCACAAAAATGTGCTTAGTAACATTTTAATAAACCTAAAAAAAATAATTTTGTTGAATTATAATAAAATAATAATAAATAATGAAATTGATTTCAATTTATTTGGTATTCTTTGAGAAAATATTTCTCAATCTGGAGAATATTCCAAATCTCTGATTCCAAACTCCTATTAAGAGATAAATATTTAAGTTGGAGATTTTTTTACAAATAACAGTTTTTATTAACTTAAAGTTTATTCTTATTTAGTGAATAATTATTTAATACATAATCTTATAAAAGAAAAACGTAGGGGTAGAGGTCTATGGCAAAGAACCAGATATCCATCATATAAAACAGAACTCAACAAACTAACCAGAAAACTTCACTAAGAATTAGTAACATTTAAAAACAACAACTACAAGGACTATAAATAATAATAACAGATCAGTATGGACAACAAGACGTATACTGAAGAAAAAAGACGTTCAATACCCTATCCGATGTACAGATAACACACGGGCAATAAGAAGTGAAGAAAAAGTCCATGAATTCCCTAAATATCTTGCACAGTTATTTGGGACAATACACAAACTAACACTGTAGAAGAGGACCTGACAACACCATTACCTTATCACTACCCCCACCAGCATTTCATCCAAAAGAAATATACAAAGAAATAAACAGACTTCCAAATAAAAATGCTCCTGGCTATGATCTGATCACTCCCTTTATTCTTCGACACTTACCTCGAAAAGCTGTTCTCTTTCTTACACACATCTATAACTCTTATCTTACGCACAACCTATTTTCCTCTCCTTTGGAAACTTTCCACAATTAAAATGATCTCTAATTCTTCTAAACCTACCATATTACTCCTTCATCCTATCATCCTATAGCACTTCTTCTTATAATGGGAAAAATATTTGAAAAACTTCTTCTGAACCGTCTATAGCCTATCCTAAAAAGTAGTGAAGTGATACCAAATTACCAGTTTGGCTTTCGTTGTTATCACTCCACTGTTCAACAGTGCCATCGGATAGTAGACACTATCTCTATTGCTTTTGAGGAAAAGTACTACTGCTCTGTGGTCTTCCTCGACATAGAGAAAGCATTTGATAGTGTCTGGCACTAGGGCCTATTATGGAAATTAAAACCACACTTACCTTCTACTTATTTCCTAATTCTTCAATCCTTCTTTCTTAATAGGTTTTTCTGTATATCGGTAGATTCTTCTGACTCCTCTTTCTTCCCTCAACACATTGGCGTACCACAAGGTAGCGTCTTAAATCCAATTCTCTATTCACTATACACATCTGATATCCCTGAGCACCCTAGATATCACCACCCTCTGTTGCTTTGCTGACGACACTGCAATTCTTTCTTCCCCCTAAAATCCTATTATCACATCCATTGCCCTTCAAAACCACCTCTGTGATCATTAAAAATGGTTTGAGAAATGGATAATTAAAATTAATTATAGTAAATGATTGACAATTAACCAATGCCTTCAAAAAACTATGTATAGTACCTCGGATTCTACTTAGACAAAAGACTTAGCTGGAACATACATACTAAATTAAAAAGACAAGAACTGACTAGACGATATAACCAACTCTCGCATCTTCTGGACTACAGATCTTCGCTTAACTTATGAAACAAGCGACTGATCTACAACACCATAATGAGACCAATTTGGACATAAGGAGCAGAACTTTGGGGTTCAGCAAAACAAACACACATTAATAAATTACAAACGGCACAATCAAAAATTCTATGAAAAATTGTCAACACACCTTGGTACATTTCAAATAACACTACATAATGACTTAAACATCCCAACAGTAAAATCGTACATCCACGACAAATACACTTCATTTCATTCTTCTACTCTCAATCATCCAAACCCACTTGTTCTGTCTCTTTGTTCCTCTGTTACCTGATTGATGCACACTAAAAAGAAAATGGCCAAGGGACCTACTCCTTGATAAACTTATGTTAATCAAGCAAATTTGCTAGGTGCGCTGCAGTTCATGTACAAATGGCTTAAAATGTTAAAATAAATAAATATTTACTTAAATTGACCTAGAGAGCATAAATAGAAAAAAAAGATTTGTTATTAAAAAGTCGAACAATTCAACTACAATGTCTTATACACATTCCATAAAAATATAAATGAATAAATAACTGAATAACAATAGCCCTGATGTTATTTGATAACAGTTAACTACTTATCTCTGATCTAATTAGTTCGTTTATATCTAGAAAATTGAAAAATCGAGGAGCTGTCAAGAGGAGAAACATTATACATTTATCCAGTGAATTGGAATTAGTTTATAAAGGTGTAAATGTATCTCAATTGGAAATCATTTTTGATGATGTTTGAAAAGTATTGTTATTTAAGCCAAGCCACTGAAGTGTATATTTTATGGAAAAAAAAAATATGGTTGAGTGAATATTTTATTTTGCCTAGTTGCTAACTTGTCATTTCTAAAGATACATAAACTGACTGTTATTTTGACCTCTTGTTTTATTATTGTAACCAACTTTAAGTGGTAACTTCACTATCGTTAAGATTTAGAAAAATACTTTTTAATTAGTAACACAACCTTTACCAGTTATTTATTTGCTGTAATTTAATAATACAATTTTTTTTTATATGAACCACTAGCGTATTCAAGGTAGGCTTCTGTGCTGAAGCACCTTTCTTCTTCTCTTCCCAAAAAAGAAAAAAAAAATCATTGGTCCATATTTGTTACTGTGAGTGGTCTGAACCAAATACTTAAACAATCCAAATATGATATGTTTTTAAATTATTACTCATGTACTTAAGATAAAAATGATTCTTAAAAGGAGTATTGTTCCTGTAATTTAAAAAAAGAGGAGTTTGAAAATTAAATCCTGTATCCACTACTTATGTCCATGAGCATAAATAATGGATGGCAGGGAGGGGCATTGCCCTCTGCAGAGATCTCCCCCAAATGATTTGACAGAAAGTAAAACAAAACATAATAATTAATTAATAACATCAAAATTTATTATAAAAAATCAAAAATAAATTTATCAATTATGGTGATAAATACAATTAAAACATAATTTGAAAATATTTAAAAATTAAAGAAATAAATACGATCTTCCTGATATTCATTTTATGTTATTTCTACAAAAACCTTTGCCTTACCATCATCCCAAAAAAACGCTCTCTCAATGTTTATAAGTTGCTTTAGAAATAATGACATTGTATCACTCTTGTAAATTATAATAACAATCAACTACTTTGTATAATATTATAGAATTTGAAATAGTTTATCTACTTGAAATTTTCCTTTATTCAGTCTTGCCCTCTCCTATCTCTCACCCTCCACATGAAAGCTGTGTATGCCCTTGCTGATATCAACACATCAAGATGGTCCTTTACAATGATGATAATTTTAATAAAAGTATTATATATTGAACATAGGCTTGGTAATGTATAAGTATAAAGATAATAGACTAATGAAACTAATTTACCATTGTAAAATCATAAGTACAATTTAAGGATTATGATAAAAATAAATATAATTTTGTACAATTTAATAAAATAATAAATTTTAAAATAAATTAATACATATTTATTGAAAATTAAATAATGGTGAAAAGCCGAGCTTGCTCTTAGGCAAGGGATTTAGATGTTCTCTGTATTTTAATTTAATTAATGCCTCTCAGTATTTCTTACAAAAATCATAAATTTGCTTGAGGAATTCTTATCTCTCCGTAATCATAGAATATAAAACAGAAAAATGAAAAACAGCAAATTATCAAATAACAGCAACAAAATGTTATTATATTATCATTTTGAATTGTTAATTAAAATAATCAATTTTATTATAATGTGGAGAATGAATGAAGTCAATTTTATTCATTATTTGCTAAAAATGTGATGGAAAAAAAATCAAAATAATGTTTTAAAAAAGTCATAAGCTATTTACAAGAAAGTTTTATTGCTTATATTACTTTTTTTTTTTTTTTGGACTTACATTTATTTATCCGCACCTGTCAATTATTATTGACAATCAGCAGATGTGCTGGCTTAGTAATGAGAGAAAAATATTACTTAAATGGACATTTTTAAAAATATTATTGAATAGAATTGGCGCGAGGCACAAGCTGAGAGCAGTAGTTGGGATACCTGCTGTCAGAAAGCTCTGAGGTTGTAGGGCGATCGGGCGTTCAGTTGGTGTTTGACAGTTCTACTCTTAGGAGGTAGGTTCGTACGCAATTATAATATTTACGACGATCCATTTATTTCTATACGAAATTTTTTTGTAGAAGGTGCTTTTTTAATTATTACTCATCAATATTTATACTATGGTAAATTTTGTTGTTTGAAAAACTTAACAACCCAGACAAGTCTTCGGACGTTATTAAATTCCTTCTTTATTTATTGTATTACTATTCATGTATTATTCTACAAACTTAAATAGTCCATTGTTATAAGCATTACCTATCGTTAGGAGTGTTTTTCGTATTAGAATATACCGCCAGTTAACCAAATGTTAAAAAATTACTTATTGCTAATATACCATATTCATGCCTCTCACTAAGCCAGTCTAGAAATAAAGAATTTATTAAAAAAAAAAAGTCTTTCACTTCTATATGAATCTCTCATTTCTGAATTTTTATTCAGTTGTTTCAAAAAGAGATTTTTAATTTTTTAAAGGAATGTGATTTTCAAGAAAACACCGGTGAAGCATAGGGTATATGATTATTGGATAATTTAAGGAAGATATTTACGTTTTTGGAAATCACTTCACGTTTATGCAATTAATATTGTAGTTTCATTTATTATTTATACATACATGAATGTATTTTACATTTAAAATATGTATCACTCAATTCTAATATGTCGTTTGTTTAAGCAGCTAAGAATTAAAGTAATTTTTATATCAACTTATTGGCGAAATCCAACATAACTTGTAAATAAAAGTTTTTTAAAAATTAAATGTTCTGTTAAAATATTAGAGATGAAAAGTAGCAAGGGAAAAAGTTCTAGTTCTAAAATGAAAGAAAAAAAAAATTCATTTTATCGATTTCATTTCATCAAGCTCTGGCCTCTGGTACGAACCTATTCAAATAAGGTTAGAAATTTTCCCATGTCAAAAATCATAAATTTCTATTACTGTCGCACTACTCGATATTAATTGTGTATTAGTATTGTTAATTAATAAGATTAAAACTAACTTAATTGATTATGATTATGTACGTAGGATTTTTTGCGAATTTAGATTTATTTTAAAAAGTCATTAAGTACATTTTAGATGAAGCTGAACTTTTCAAGTAGATATTTTTGAATTTCGTTCATTTTATATACCAATCGTCGATCTAAAATTCATTCAGTGTACTAAAGTAATAAAAACCCTGTTATTTATCACAGCAGTTGCAATAATGCATTACAGATCGCGTTAATTTAACAGAGGAAAACTCATTAAAGTACTTAGTTATTTCATTTTCCAAAAGAATACCTAATGAAGTTTCGGAACAAGCCGACGAAATTAAATTTTTAATCCATTGTCAAATCGTTTTAAACAATCTTCTATCAATTAAATTCAATGTATAATTATACCTTTAAAGGAATTTTTCACTGGTGGGTTTTCTTGACCTAAATGTCTTTCAATTTTTTCCCCAATTCCTCTCTATCCTAGACTCGATCTTTCTTACCGTGTCCTATCAGGCTTTCTTCCATCACATCTTTTCACTTAACACTTGTTCTTCCTTTTGTTATTTTTCTTATTTCCTTTTCATATTTTCAATTATTTTCAGTGATCTTGAACTTAGTGAGCGGTTAAGTACATCTTAAAGATAGTGATGCGTTAGTTCGGAAGTGCTGATACTAAGAACCAATCTTGAAGAGCAACTTCATTTGATGACTTAGGATAAGAGCACTTAGTGGTTTAAATGGTTCTTAAGAAATAGAGATACTCATGCTCTCCCTATCTGTGAAAACGACAATTAAAAATACTAATGATTATAATTGACGCTTGTTTGACGAACGATTGTGACTAATAATGATCATATTTATATATTTATCACCACACTCTGAAAGCCGAGATAACTTTGATTGACAGTCGCAAATTCAGTGATTATCGTTTGATTCATCGGTTATTTATTAACTTAAACAAAGCTAATTCGTCAGACCTAGTTGATGTGCTAAGATTTAAGATAAACCGCTGAAATGTTTTTTAAATTCATTAATGCAATTTAAGGCAGAAATAAATGTTTATTGTTTGTATACCTTAGCGCTCTTTCTTTGTATACGTTAGCTAGAAAAAACGGGAAGAGACGTCAGGTTATATTTTAATAATAACAAAAATTCTATAAGTTATTTTTTATTTTCTCTTATCCATTTAGTTTTCCGTTTGTCTTCTACCTCGCCATTTCTAGCATACGGATAGGGGTTTGTCTAGAGGTACAACCAAACCTATTCTAACCAGAGTAGGAAGGTTGAGATTCACTCCGTGGGTCCAACTTGAGAATGTTAAAGCGGACAACGCCTCATCAAGCACGACCATCTCGGATTCTTTCTCTTATCTATGCATGACAGTTTACAACAGAAATGAACGTTTGAGGTATTTTGAGTCTAAATAGTCTGTTTGTTGAGAACAGGCTAGCTCAAAAACTAAATTCGTACGGAACTTAAAATATATATTCAAAGTATTTATGTAATCTGGCATCCGGGACTGATGTACAAACTCCGTAAATTCCTACCACCTACACACTTCTTCATTATTCGTTCCTACTTCCTAGATACTTATATAGATACTTACGTAAATCATAACAATACTTATTCAAATCTCTTTACTTAGTTTGCCGGTGTTCCTCAATGTAGTATCCTAGGTCCTATCCTTTTCACAGTTTATACATCTGATATCCCAACCCAATCCAACATTGTCATCACCACCTATGCCGATGACACATGCATCCTATCTATTAATAACGCTCCATCTATTGCATACCAAACTCTTCAATCACTCATCACAAGTCTTGAAAAATGGTGTCAAAATTGGAGGAAAATAAATTCCAATAAATCCCATCAAATTACCTTTACCTCACCGCCTTAAACCTATGACTTCTTGTCCTACAGCATCTTTCAACAATACCCCACTTATTTCTGTTGAACAAATCCGATACCTTGGAATCCATTTGGACAACCACTCACTTGGAACCCTAATACCAGACTGAAACGACTAGAAACCGCCGACGTTTTCGGCTACTGCAGCACTTACTAGACAAACGCTCTAAACTTCCAACTATTTACAAAAGACTCATATATATTCTGTAATAAGGCCTATTTGGACTTACGGGATCGAGCTTTGGGGCTCTACTAAACCATCAAATTCCTCTCGTATCCAATCCCTACAATCCAAAATCATTCCTAAAATCCTCAATGCTCCCTACTTTGTCACAAGTAAAATCATCTATAACGACCTTAATGTACCATATGTTGCCGATTTAGCTATCCCAATCCAGATACCTATCCCTCTATAATAAACTTCTAAACCATCTGAACCCTCTTGTTTTCAACCTTGCTTCCTCTTCTATTCCTGATAACCCTCCGAGGCGTCCGAAAAGAAGATGGCCTCGGGATTTTCTAATATAGAAATATAATTGGAGTGCTACCAATAGGTAGTTTCTCTTCATGTTGTACATTTCATGTTACTTGTTTCATATTTACTTGTTGTATTTATCATTTATAGAGTTGTAAATTTCATTAAAAAAAAAAAAAGAAGTATTTATGAGTCTGGGATACTACTGCAACTTTTTCTCTTTAAAGGGCTAAACGAAAGTGGCAATTCATGATACCGATTTTACGATTTTCTTGAAAACTGCTCTTAGCTATTTGGATTAAACTCGTTATGTCGTTGTAAAATTAAATGGTTCTTAATACCAGGGAGGTTCTATCCTCATCCAAATCGTCTGAAGGAGCTTACATGACGAATTTTCAAAATGGCTTCCTCTAAAAAAGCTTTGATGTAGTTTATATCTTACACCGCGATGGAGTGGCAATTCATGATCATTCTTCATGGCAATTCTGGTGCGACTTGTTGCGGGCAACATGGAGTGACGATAAAAAAAAACTATGTATTTTATTGACGATTACCATAATTCTTCCGAATTATGGAATAATACAATCGCCGAATAAAAAGATATATGAATTAAAAACGATAAGATGAAAAAGTTATCGGATAAACATAATTATTGTACGGTGATGCAAGTAAAAATAATTGGTTTATTTATTAATCGTAAACTTATTTAAATATGAAAATTTAATTGTTCTGTGATAGAGGTAAAAAATAATTTAGAATTTGTCAGTATTTCATCGCGAGCGCAAACAATTTCAGCAAGAAAGGAATGGCTTATCTCCTAGCAAAAACGGGAAATGGTTTGCTTTTGAGCTATTGGATTTTTATCGGACGTCGATGTAACCAAATCAATATTGTCAACTGCTGAGTTTTTATGTGATGACACGATGATGAAAATCACTGATGACACAAAATACACTTGCTTGCAACCCAAATAGTCCGAGAGCCCATGCGACAAAATCTACATTATTTAATAAAAACTTTAAATATTTGCATCTTTATTTGAAAAATGAGAGTTTGCCAGTCCGACCCTACTTCCTGTAAAAATGGACTGATTTAATGAATTTTGGGCTAGTAACTTGAGGATCGAAACGGAAAATTAATTGTGAAAAATGTCAGAAAAGTTTTTATTTAACTTGCTTATGTATATTGGTTGAGACATGTAAAAAACAAAATTGCTGTCGCGGGCCACCAAGAAAACATTTTTTACATCCAAAAAAGCTAGATTATTTCAATCTTTTTTTGTTCCTAAACGGTGCAATAAAGCGAAAAACTTTTTCTTTCATAAGTTAATTAAAGTTAAATTGTGCGTCGACCTAGTGCCTAAACTTAATGATTTGGTTGAGTGGTATGTTCGTTAACCACAGTCAACGAACTCCGATTTTCACCAAATTCGTCACAAACAGACAATTTATAATAAATGGCGCTTGAGCTTGGGAATAAGTTCTCTAAGAGAAAAACCTCGTAGAATAAAAGTTATAGAGCATCAAATTGCGCGTCCACTGAGTAATAACAGTTTTAATACAGATCAATTATATTTCTCGAATTTGGATTCGTTATTTCTTTATGAAATTTGTTTGTTTTTTATATCTCATTATCCTGTTTTTTTACATGTCTGAATCC